CCTCCTCATACTTATCAAATCAAAAAAGCCGCGTACCTAATATTGGCAATTTTTTCTCAAAATTGACTTGGCTCCTGTTTATCAATTTGCTTAAACAACAGATTACGGTAGAGTTGTTTAAGTAATTCATGATGCTTTGAGTCACCAAATTTATTCACGAAACGGATAATATTTTACTTGATAAGGTTTAAAATGGGTCCAAATTTGAATCAACGGGACTTTGTCTTTGATGAATAAATTTTGGTGTCTCCATATATGTTGACTATTATTGTGTACAGATTCAGTAGAGTTGTTTTCAGATAATCAATCACGTCCAAATGGAGATAGCAAGATCATTTCTTCAGTCTCCCACTTACGGGAACATCATTTCTGAGCATTCATGGAGGTGGAATTAGAGGGATTATTCCCGGAACTATACTCAAATTCCTAGAATCCGAGCTTCAGGTAATTAAGCATATATATTAAAACCCATAATTTAACTTTAATTAATAATGTTTAAAGTAATTGTCTTGCTAATTTATTTTCACTTGAACTTTGCCACATATGCAGAAGCTGGATGGTGAAGAAGCAAGGCTCGCAGATTACTTTGATGTGATTGCAGGGACTAGTACTGGTGGGCTTGTGACTGCCATGCTTACTACCCCAGATGAAAATGATCGACCCTTATTTGCTGCTAAAGACATTAACGATTTTTATCTCAAACATTGTCCTAAAATCTTCCCCCAAGAAAGGTACCTAACAAGCTATTTACATAAGATAGTGAAGGAAATATTAGGAGACATACAATTAAGTGACACGTTAACAAACGTTATAATCCCAACTTTTGATATAAAGCGGCTCCAACCAATGGTCTTCTCTAGCTATGAGGTTTGTTTTCATATCTTCAAATATATATATATATGTGTGTGTGTGTGTGTGTGTGTGTATGTTTGTTTTGTTAAATCTAATATAGTTACATGGTTGGTTTTGTGTTTCGATATGGTGATTACTGTCGGACATACGCATTGGGACTTCAGCAGCCCCAACCTATCTTCCAGCGCACCATTTTGAAACCAAAACTTCCACTGGTGAATCAAGAGATTTCGATCTCATTGATGGTGGCGTTGCTGCTAACAACCCGGTATATATATAATTACATTATGACCTTGATCTATAATACACCATGCAATTTCAAAAGCTTATTTAACTCTCGTTCATTATATTGTTGTTTTTTCTTATCAGGCTTTGGTTGCTATAAGCGAAGTGACAAAAGAAATCCACCAGGGAAATTCTGACTTCTTTGCTATAAGGTCAACTGAGTATGGTCGGTTCTTAGTGATATCGTTGGGTACTGGTTCAGCAAAATCTGAAGAGAAATATAATGCCGATGATGCAGCTAAATGGGGTCTTTTGGGATGGTTGACGAAAGGGGGTTCCTCTCCATTGATAGATGTATTTACTCAAGCAAGTAATGACATGGTCGATTTCCACCTTGCTACTGTTTTTCAAGCTCTTGACTGTGAGAAAAATTACCTCCGAATTCAGGTATTTGGGATATATTTACTGCCATACTACGAATCTATACCATAATCAATGATCCAAACTCACAGTAAAAATTGATAATTAACGGGTTGAAGTGAAAATATATATGGTGCAGGATGATACATTGGAGAAAACAGTATCTTCAGTGGATATTGCTACGCAAGAAAACTTGAATAACCTTGTAAAAGTTGGAGAGGAATTGTTGAAGAAACCGGTTTCGAGGGTGAATTTACAAACCGGTATCTATGAGCCTGCTCATCAGGAAACAATGAAGAAGCTCTCATAAGGTATGTATATTTGATTATTCACCAATCTAATATGAGTTTGTTTAGCATGATCATAAATATGTTATATTGATTAAACAATTTTCTTAATTAATCTGCACGTATGTAGGGTGGCGCAAATTCTGTCCAGAGAAAGGAAGGTCCGTGAAATGAGATCACCACATGGAAAGGCTGTAGCTGCCAGCAACTCCAACTTATGGTGAAATTAGTGCTAATAATTAATTCATTTCATATTGTTATTTAATTATTTTCTCCCAATAAATACCAACCAGCATGTTGGTTGTGATCAGCAGTATTTAGTTCATTCTTTATTTGAGTTAGAAATCAAAGTATTTTAATTTTCTTTTACTTTTCTCCTTTTCTCTTGCCAGTTTCTTGCCACACTTTCTTAAAACAAAAAAACAAAAAAAGACCAACAAAAAAGAATTCAAAAGAAAAGAAAGTCAATCTTTTGAAAAGAGAGACAAAATTCAATCAGGTTGGTTGGTAAGTAAGGTGATAGCTTTTAGCTTTACAGCTGAAGATGAGGTTAATTCCTAGTATTAGCCTATTGGGTACATAATTTCCTTCACTTTTAACCTTGGTGTAATTGTTTGATTAGTATTTGATGAATACAAAGGCTTATTAATGTGGCCACCATATGAACTTTCCAGGGTTTTAAGTGCCATTTTCACATAAAGGGTTTAAAAACCCTTTGTGATTACTGCGTACTGTATTTGTAATAACCTTGTATGATTATCTCTATTTATATTGGCTCTTGTGGTTGACGGTCCTTTGTGCTTGAATTATAAATACAATATCGTCTTTATCTTAAAAAACACAGAACTCAATGTCATGTTGTTTTACCTTTTTTTTTGTTGGGCAATCACTATAAATTTAACTAGTTTGATTGCTTTTAATGAAAATGAAATTTGGGTGTGTTAACTTGATCCTATATGGTCTTCTATTGAAATAAGGGGCAGGCTTTCTCACTTTTGGCAAATTTCACATATAGCCATTTCAGTTTGGTAAGATGTCCTAGTTCACCATGGCTTCAACTTTAAGTGTAAAATTGAAAACTACAGAAGAGGCACCAAATGTAGGAAGAACGAAAGAAACGGATGAAGTGAAGGGTCTTCAATGGAACAAGCAAGCGTTGCAACATCAAAGGGGGGGTTTGAACTTTTGTTAAAACGTCTAATGCTTTCTTTTTAGCTTTGTCTTTACCCCATAGGATATGAAGCAATATTCTCCATTTCTAATAAACAGGTCAATTTGGACATAAAGTCGAGTAAGAATGACACACACCAACACTAGTTTTGTAGATATCTTTTAGTCCCCGCGGTTTACAAACCAACACTCAACAGAAACTTTTAACTCCAACATGAGCATTTTTTTGTTGGTGAGATTTTGGTTTGATTAGGAGATTTATTTTTCTATTTTATTGTGATTTTATTTCTTTCTTTTTTGTATAAATTTTGTATAATTAGGAGTTTATTGGTTGCCTTGTATAACCCTATTAGGGTGCACATACTTGTATTATAAATACTTCCTTTTGGAGAATGAAAATATATCAGAAAATATTATAACCCATATTGTTTGACTTGGCATCAGAGCCGACTTTGTGATGACATGTGTGTTGTGCCCACTCATGTTCTAGCCCCATTTTTTTTGTTCTACCTGTGCCGTGTGTGTCCTCATGGGTTTGTGTGTTCTTCCTTGTATTATGTTTATGCCATTCCCGTCTTCATACATCTACTGTATTTGTGCCTCTGCTGTGTTCCACTATGTACTATGCCGTGATATGTTGAGTTTCCGCTGCAATCATGGGTGTTAACTCCATTGTTGGTGTTGTTGCTGCTATTTCTGCAAATTTGTGTGTTTCTGACTCTATTTCATGTATTGGGTCTAATACTTAGATAATTGACACTGGTGTTACTGATCATATGACTTATGATGCTAATTTTTTTAATGAATTGTCTAGTAACACCCATGACTTATACATAACTAGTGCTAATGGCTTGCCATTTTCAATTATTGGCGAGGGCACAATCTCCCTCACTCATACTATGTCTTTGTCTCGTGCGTTATTAGTTCCCAATATCCATTGTAACTTGTTATCTGTTGGTCAATTACTTGATAAACTTAATGCTTTTGTTACTTTCTATCTCACGCATCATTCTTTTCAGGATCTCAAGACTCACGAGACGATTAGGCATTGTAAACGGATAGGGGGTTATATTATTTGACATTGTCTGCCGCACCAGTTTGTGATCATGTTGTTAATAATGTTCAAAGTTGCAGTGTCAAAGACAAACAATAAATTTGGTTATGGCATCGTTGTTTCGGACACCCGTTGTTTGGCTACCTCAAGCATTGTTCCCATATTTATTCAGATTTTGTGATGAGTCAAGTTTTAAGTGTGAGACATGTATTTTGGCCAAGAGTCATCGCATTGTGTTTCTTTTAAGTGACAGTAAAGCTACAAAGCCTTTTGATTTAGTGCATTTTGATGTGTGGGGTCCGGCTCAAGTTATTTCAACGGATTTCGTTGGTTCGTCACATTTATTGATGATTGTACCTTATTCACTTAGGTTTTCTTGATGAAAAATAAACATGATGTTGTTTCCATCATTCTAGAGTTTTGTACTATGGTGTTTACTCAGTTTCAGGCTCTGATCAAAGTATTCTGGATTGATAACGGAGGATAATATGTGAATAATACTTTGACGTGTTTGTTCCATGCTCAAGGTATTATTCACCAAACGACAACCTCTTTTACCCCTCAACAAGATGATGTGTCTAAAAGGAAGAACCGACAATTTTTTGAAATTGCCCACTAACTCATATTAGATATGTCTGTTCCCCATTATCTTTGGGGGCATGATGGTCTATCTACTGCCTATTTGATTAATCGTACTCCTAGCCAAGTTGTGGATTTCAAGACTCCGCATGATGTGTTTGGTGACCATGTTTCCCATGTCTTCATCTCCAAGTTACCTCTAAAAGTTTTTGGATGTGTTGCCTATGTTCATGTTTACTCTCATCAACAGAGTAAACTTGATCATTGTGCTTTGTGCTGTGTCTTTATTGGCTACTCTTCTACTCAGAAGGGTTATAAGTGTTATCATCCTCATACCCAGAAGGTGCATGTTACTTTGGACGTAACCTTCCATGAAGAAGTGTCATATTATGTTTTTCTCTATTCTCCAATTCATGGGAAGAATGGGGAGTGAATTGGAGAGTCTTGAATTGGAAGATCTTGGACTTGATGGCCAAAATACTGTATATGAAGATATTGTTCTCGAGAAGCAAATGACCAGTAGCGCTGCAGAAAGGGATCGGTTACCAAGATCTAGAGGTGAAGATATTGCTCTCAGTGATGAAACGATCGATCGACATTTTGGAAACGATCGGTCGCCTGTCGCTAAAGATGAAGAAAATGCTCCCTGTGATGAAACAACCGGTCGACATTTAGGAACTGACCAGTCGCCCATGGTTGAAGAATGTGATAGTGATTCTTGTGACTCTTGGGTAGATGAGTTCGATGCAAGACCCCTTTCTGTCCTACCATTGCTCCTGTCAAGTAGTGATAATAGGCCCAGTGAGGTAATCACTGATGAATCATCTATGCTAAGTTACCAGTTGCCCCCATGTACTATTCGTGGGAAATCTAAAGTACAATACTCACCCGATATACATGCTAAATCTAAATATCTCATAGCCACGATGTGTTAACTCATCGTTTATTTAAGTCATATGCATTATATTTATGTCAATTATTTAGTGTATGTTTGCCAACTAAACTGCAGGATGCTCTTTTTGAACCTAAATTTGTGGATGCCATGAATGTTAAAATGGAAGCTTTGAACAAGAATGAAACTTGGGATTTAGTCCATTTGCCAAGAGGGAAGAAAGTTGTTGGGTGCAGATGAGTGTTTACTTTGAAGCATAAGGCTGACGGTTTCATTGACCGTTACAAGGCCAGATTACTCAGACCTATGGAGTGGATTACTTGGAGACCTTTGCTCCACTAGCAAAGCTCAATACTATGCGTGTACTCTTGTCCCTGGCTGCTAATGGTGACTGATCCTTGTTGCAGTTTGATGTCAAAATTGCAGTCCGACATGGTGACCTCAAGGAAGAAATATACATGGATCTTCCTCCTGGTATTCCTGTAACCTTCAAGAAGGGTGTTGTTGTGTAAGCTGCAGAAAAACCTTATATGGATTAGAGCAGTTTCCAAGAGCATGGTTTGAGAGATTTGCTGCGTCAATGAAGAAATTTGGGTATGTACAAATTAACTCGGACTATACTTTGTTGCAAAAGCATCATAAAAGTAAATTGACAACTTTAATTATTTATGTTGATGATATGATTGTGACTGGAAATGATCAGGCAAAAATGCAAAATCTTCAAAAGTATCTGGCTTCCGAATTTGAGATGAAGTCATTAGGTGACTTGAAATACTTTCTTGGGATTGAAGTTTCCAGATTTAAGCATGGTATCTTTCTGTCCCAAATGAAGTATGTTTTGGATTTACTTGCAGATATTGGAATGTTGGATTGTAAACCAATTGATACTCTTAATGAACAAAATCATAAGTTGGGGTTATATCATAATCAAGTCCCTACTGATAAGGAGCGTTATTAATGGCTTGTGGGAAAATTGATTTATTTAGCTTATACACGTCCTGATATAGCATATGCAGTGAGTGTAGTGAGTCAGTGTATGCATTCTTCTAGTGAAGATCATATGGGTGTTGTGATGCGTATTTTGAGGTATTTGAAAATAACTTATGGAAATAGGTTAATGTTTTCCAAGTATGGTCATATGGATGTGGAAGGGTATATAGATGCCGATTGGGCTGGTTCAATCACTGATAGACGTTCTACGTCTAGGTATTTCGCATTTGTTGGTGATAATCTTGTTACTTGGAGGATTACAAAGCAAAAAGTGGTGTCTCGGTCTAGTGCTGAAGCCGAGTATCGTGGGATGGCTTAAGGTGTGTGCGAGCTACTTTGGTTGAGGAGATTGTTGGGAGATTTTGGGTTTGAGCCCCAAAAACCTATGGATTTGTATTGTGATAATAAAGCTGCAATTGCGATTGCTCATAATCCTGTGCAACATGATCGTACAAAGCATGTGGCGGTTGATCGACATTTTATTAAAGAGAAGTTGGATGCTGAGATTATTTATTTTCCGTTCATATCATCCGAGTATCAGTTGGCAAATATTCTAGCAAATATTCTTACGAAAGTTGTGTCTACTATCATCTTTCTCAACTTGCTTGACAAGTTAGAAATAAGTGACATCTTTGCTTCAAATTGAGGAGGAGTGTTGGCGAGATTCTAATTTGATTATGAGATTTATTTCCTTTTCTATTAGGATTTTATTTATTTTTCTTTTCTACAAATCTTGTGTAATTAGGAGTTTATTTGTTTCCTTATATAACCCCACTAGGGTTTACACACTTGTATTATAAATACCCCTTTTGGAGAATGAAAATATATCAGAAAATATTCTACCCTATATTGTTGGACTTTTTTTTAACGAAGAAGAGCCACCAAATCCTTCCAAAAGATGCAAATTTCTTGTTGCTTGTCTCACGGAAGCATTTTCCAATTGCCATATTGGCAGATTGCTTCTAACTTGGAGCCCAGCAGCTGAGGATCAGTACCTAACAAGTGACTTTGATCAGGAAGTACTCACTAACCACCCAAATGAATATTTAGATATGATCTTTTCATTCTCTTGTTAAATCCATGAGAGTTTGTAGGTTGCTTTTAGTTTTTTGGTGTTTTTTCTCAGGTAATTGTATCAGCAATTCGAAGCTCTGCAATGGAAAAGCTGAGACGGAAGCCTAGCAGTTGGACAGATAGCTTTTCATTTGTCTACTCTTCAAAATCAGGAGATTTATTCATAAGCCAGAAAGGAATGCAAAACAAAAAGGATAACGGTGAAGAAGAATTTTTATATGTTAAAAGTTGCATCTCTTGCTGCTCAACTGCTGCCACAAGTAGAGATGTGTTTCTTTCTGTCAAGACAAGTTTGTCCCGTTGTTCGAGCCTTAATGGGATTGAGTTTAAAGATTTTGGCAGTACATAATTCAGCAATTCTGTCGTTGTGAGTGCTGGCTGATGAGAGTCTCAAATTACATACGTCTTTTTAATATCATTTTGGAGACTTTATGATATAAATTTGGTTTAATAAATATAATTTCACTTATTATTATATTTCATTCTCACCAATTGGATTTATGAATTTTATGTATTTAATTTGGTGAACTTAGGTGAATTTATCTTTCGTAGGAAGTTGGAAAGTCAAAAGATGAAGATATATATCTGTCCAAGTTCAAGCTAATTGTGAAGATATTTTATTGAAGAACTGATTGTTGTTGAATTATAAGTGCTCAAGCTGACTTCATAATTAGTAGTTTTCTGTTTATTTGTATTTTCTGATTTTATCCAAGTGGCATAGATTGATTGGTTAGTTTAATGGAAGGCTGAGATTGCATTGTGATGTAATGCATCCAGCTGGCACAGTATAACGGATATACTCTCACACCAAGAGTGTGAGCGATACTGTACAAAATGCTTGCAGTCTAATAGAAGGAGAATGTTCTCTTTGCTACACGTATAGCAGAGGAGATTTCTGATTTCATCTTGCTCTCTCTTTTTCTCTTCTTATCAAAACTCACACACAGATTCACAAAAACACTAACATGGCCTCAGAGCCAGGTTCGATTATCTGAAGCTGGGCGTTTTTTGTGAAGAAAATCGATCGGGGTGAAGCTCATTCATAGCTCACGAAGCTGATTGAGCTCGATCTATTGTCGATCTGAAAACAACTTGTTTCCAGGTACATCTGAAATTCGAAATGGCTGGATCTGGAAGCTCAGAGGCTAGAATCCCAATTTTCTCTGGTGAGAACTATGAGTTTTGGAGGATTAAGATGGTTACCATATTCAAATCATATGGTTTATGGGTTTTGGTAGAGAAGGGGTTTACAATCCCAGATTCAAAGAATAAGGAATCTGAGGATGTTTCAGGAGAAAAAGTTGATGAGAAAGCAGCTGCCATTCTCATGAGGGATGCGAAAGCTCTTGGAATTATCCAAAATGCAGTTTCTGATCAGATTTTTCCCAGGATTGCAAATGCTGACTCTGCAAAGATGGCTTGGGATCTGCTGTACTCAGAATATCATGGTGGAGAGCATGTTAGATCGGTAAAACTTCAAAACCTCAGACGTGAATTTGAGTACACTAGGATGCGTGATAATGAAACCTTATTTGATTATCTTACTAGACTAAATGAATTGATCAACCAAATGAAAACATTTGGTGAAGTTTTGTCAAATGAGAGGCAGGTTCAGAAGGTGTTAATTAGTCTTAGTAAGAAGTATGATCCTATATGTCTTGTGATTGAAAACACAAAGACTCTAGAAACTGTGGAGTTGCAGGAAGTGATTGCCATTTTGAAGAGTCAAGAACAAAGACTTGAAATGCATAATGTTGATACAGCTGAGAAGGCATTTGCCTCAATCACTGTGAATCCCAAAGGTCAGAATAAAAATGGATCGCAGTCTGGTTCATCCAAGTCACAGGGAAATTGGCATTCTAAAGGAAAGCCATGGGAGTCAAAAGGCAAGTCACAGCAGAACAGTTATCCTGCACAGAATGTCAATTCTACAAATCAGGAGAATGCAAAACCTCAATGCAAGGTGTGTTCAAAGCATCATTTTGGTGAGTGTAGATACAATGGGAAACCAAAATGCTATAACTGTGATAGGTTTGGACATTTTGCTAGGGACTGTACTGTGAATAAAAATGTGCATAAGGCAAACTATGTAAACCAAATAGATGTGACAGGGAATCTGTTTTATGCCAATTGCACAACCACTGAGATCAAAACCAATGGAGAATGGTATGTTGATAGTGGTTGTAGCAATCATATGACAGGAGATTTAAAACTTCTGGTTGATGTGAGAACTAATGTGACAGGGAAGGTACAAATGCCAACAGGTACACTTGTAAATGTTGCTGGCATTGGTTCACTGATGATTGACACAGAAAATGGTAGGAAATACATCAGAGAAGTAATGTACCTGCCAGGGTTAAAGGAAAACTTGCTGAGTGTTGGACAGATGGATCAACATGGATATTGTCTGGTGTTTGGAGAAGGAATGTGCAGGGTGTTTGATAGTCCATCTATGGATTATCTAATCATCAAAGTACCAATGAAGAGTAACAGATGCTATCCAGTATCTTTTCTTGCTGACAACCAGCTACTCATGAAAACCAGTTTCACTCAATGCACATGGATGTGGCATAAAAGACTAGGTCACTTGCACTTTAAAGGTCTGAAACAGTTAAGAGAGAAAGACATGGTGCATGGTTTACCACAATTGGAAGAACAAAGTGGTGTGTGTGAAGGGTGCCAATTGGGAAAACAACACAGGGTTGTGTTTCCAAAGGAACAAGCTCAAAGAGCAAGCAAGGCACTTGAATTGGTGCATATAGATCTTTGTGGTCCTATGAGAAATGAATCAGTTGCAAGGAACAAATATTTCATGCTGATTATAGATGATTTCACAAGAATGATTTGGGTATATTTCTTAAGAAACAAATCAGAAGCTTTCAGCTGTTTCAAGAAGTTCAAGTCTATGACTGAATTACAAACTGGACACCAAGTGAAATGCATAAGAAGTGACAGAGGTGGAGAGTTTCTATCTACTGAATTTGTGGAGTTTTGTGAAGCTCACGGCATTCAAAGGCAGCTTACAATGGCCTATACTCCTCAGCAAAATGGAGTGGTAGAGAGAAAGAATAGGACTGTCATTGAGATGGCAAAATCAATGTTACATGATAAGGGAATGCCTTATTTCCTATGGGCAAAAGCAGTGCATACAGCTGTTTATTTGCTGAACAGATGTCCTACCAAAGCTCTCCATAACATTACCCCATTTGAATCATATAGTGGAAGGAAGCCTGGAATTGCACATCTGAAAGTTTTCGGTTCTCTGTGTTATGTTCATGTACCAGCTGAATTGAGGCACAAGTTGGATCCTAAGAGCACAAAGGGAGTGTTTGTGGGATATGCCACTTGTGAAAAAGGCTATAGAGTTTTTGATCCAATCTCTAACAAGCTGATATTGTCAAGGGATGTGACATTCGATGAGGAAGGTGTTTGGAATTGGACAGATAACCATGGTTCAGATATGCCAACATACTCAGTTGAAAATCAAGTAGAGTTTGATGTCAATTCTGGAAATTCAGGTGACAATGGTGCAGCTACACCTCTAACTCAGAATCTGCAGGAAGGAAATTTGTCATCTACTCATCACACTCTAAGTGATATAAGTAGTGAAGAAAGGAGAACTCAAGCCTATGATCATTCTCCATTAAAGTGGAGGAGACTAGATGATGTGTTGGCACAATGTAACTTGTGCATCGTGGAACCAGAAAACTATGTTGATGCTGCACAGGATGAATCTTGGCTTAAGGCTATGCAAGATGAATTGTACATGATTGAAAAGAATGGAACATGGGAATTGGTGGAAAGACCATCTGAAAAACCAGTGATTGGAGTTAAATGGGTTTACAAGACAAAACTAAATTTGGATGGTTCAGTTCAAAGGAATAAAGCAAGGTTAGTTGCCAAGGGATATGCTCAGAAGCCTGGACTGGATTACAATGAAACATATGTACCTGTAGCTAGATTGGATACCATCAAAACACTTATTGCTCTTGCTGCCCAAAAGAACTGGAAATTGTACCAACTTGATGTGAAGTCTGCTTTCCTTAATGGAGTATTACAAGAAGAAGTCTACATTGATCAGCCGGATGGTTTTGTGATTCAAGGTCAAGAAGACAAGGTATATAAGCTACATAAGGCTCTATATGGTTTGAAACAAGCACCTAGGGCCTGGTATGGAGAGATAGATAACTATTTCTCTCAATGTGGTTTTGAGAGAAGCTTAAGTGAAGCAACCTTGTACACCAAGGTAAGGGGAGATACGGAGATCCTAATTGTGTCTATCTATGTAGATGATATTTTGTATACAGGGAGCAAGCAAACACTGTTAGCTGAATTCAAAGAAGATATGATGGCTAAGTATTAGATGACTGACTTGGGCCTACTTCATCATTTTCTTGGCATGGGAGTTATTCAATCTGAGTCTAGTATATTTCTACACCAAAAGAAGTATGCTAGCACCTTATTGAACAAATTTGGTTTGATTGAATGCAAATCTGTGTCAACACCTCTTGTTGCCACTGAGAAACTAGCTAAGGATGATGGAAGTGGAGCTGCAAATGAAGAACACTACAGAAGCATTGTTGGTAGTTTGCTGTACTTAACTGCTACAAGACCAGACATCATGTATGCCTCAAGTCTGCTAGCTAGATTCATGCACTGTCCTACAAACAGGCATTATGGAACAGCTAAACGTGTCTTGAGATATGTGAAGGGAACTCTAGATTATGGCTTAGAGTATGTGAAAGGCAGGAAGTCAATTCTGATCGGCTACTGTGACAGTGATTGGGGAGGATCAGTTGGTGATTGCAAGAGCACATCGGGGTATGCTTTTACTTTTGGAAGTGGAGTGTTTTCTTGGGCCTCAGTGAAACAGAACTGTGTTGCACTGTCCACTGCAGAAGCTGAGTACATCAGTGTAGCTGAAGCCACTACTCAGGCCATTTGGCTTCGATTTGTTCTAGAGGATTTTGGAGAGCTTCAAACTGAAGCTACTCCATTGCATTGTGATAACATCTCAGCAATAGCAATCACTAAGAATCCTGTATTCCATCAGAAGACAAAGCACATTGACAGGAGATACCATTTCATAAAGGATGCTTTGCAAGAAGGAGTTATTAATCTGGAATATTGTCCCCACGAATGAGCAACTGGCTGACATATTCACCAAACCTTTGGCCAAAGATAGATTCAATTATCTCAGAGAGATGCTTGGAGTGAAATCAGCTCAAGACTTAAAGGGGAGTGTTGAATTATAAGTGCTCAAGCTGATTTCATAATTAGTAGTTTTCTGTTTATTTGTATTTTCTGGTTTTAATCCAAGTGGCATAGATTGATTGGTTAGTTTAATGGAAGGCTGAGATTGCATTGTGATGTAATGCATCCAGCTGGCACAGTATAACGGATATACTCTCACACCAAGAGTGTGAGCGATACTGTACAAAATGCTTGCAGTCTAATAGAAGGAGAATGTTCTCTCTGCTACACGTATAGCAGAGGAGATTTCTGATTTCATCTTGCTCTCTCTTTTTCTCTTCTTATCAAAACTCACACACAGATTCACAAAAACACTAACAATTGTGAGATTATTTTGATCATAAAGAGAAATAAAAAGGAAGAAGAGAAGACAAAACCAATGAAGCTAAAGAGCCTATTTCATGTCATTCGTAGTCATTTAACGCCGGAAGACTGCGTTGCTTCCACCTCTGCCCAAGTCGCCTTCTGAGTCGTGGTCATGGCACAAACGCACTAAATATGTCAAGATGGTTTAAAGTCAGAGCTCCCCCACCCCACCACCACCAAAGGTCCAAAGTTCTTTCCGGTTTAGATGATTGAATGCGTTGAATAAGAATGCAACTAGAATAAAGTTTCTTTACTTCCAACTAGCCTAATGGAAATTGAAGCTCTCTCTCTCTCTCTCTCTCTCTCTCTCTCTCTCTCTCTCACACACACACACACACACACACACACACACACGAATTGTGATCTCATATCATTGTATTTATAATCTGCAATTTGGCTATATTTTCTTAAAGTTAAATTTGCCTTTGTTTCTGTGAGACCAACTGTGAGCTTTCAAAGGACTAGTACCGGGAGCTCACAACACTTTCCTTGGCTCTTGCAAACATCGAGGTTTCCACATGCAAAGTTATAAAGGGCAAGACCACTTGCCTTGATTGCCATATTATGGTTTTCTCATATTGAAAGGTTAAATGTAAAACACCCAATTTCTAACTTTATATCGTAAACTTTTATTTTTATACATCTTTTAAGTTCTAGGACTAGCCCTGTCCAAGAGCAAACAACTTAAGAGGAAAAAGCAAAAAAGAAAGAAAAAACTAAAAGCAAAGCAGAAACCCCAAAGAACCCAGCAAGCCAAAAGAAAACACTCCCAGAGCGACAAACTGAAACCAAACCTGAAGCCTAAGAAGAACGCCAACACTCAAAGGACTAGTACTAAACGGTACATCTGTTAAATGGTGTTCATTTGATTTGAACTGCTCAATCTTCCCTCATCGCCACTCGCAATCGCTGATTCTTCAGAGGCCTTATCAATTTCCAAGCATTCCTTCAATCTGTCATACACAGAACTTATTTTTGGCCTTTCGGTTGGTGTTTTAGACACACAGGCCTGGGCAGTTTTTTCCAGAAGAATCCTTGTATGTCCCTTGTACACTCTAATCCAGAATGCTTTCAACTTCCATTCTCTCAACTTTGGCCCTCACCCAATCAGATACATTAACATGTACAGGTTCTAAATCTGTTATTATTGCTGGTCTGCCAGTTATAAGCTCTAGCAAGACAATCCCAAAGCTGTATGCATCACTCTTTCTAGTGTACGTACTGTCCAGTTGTGCAATATCTTGTTCAACAAAAATCTTTCTTGTAATAAATGTTTTGTTTTGGGGCTGACTTTGTTGTAAGTTGTAACATTATACACGATACATTTAAGGCCGACCATAGAGATAGTGATGGTTTCATTTTAATCTTATCTAATAAATTTGTGAGAGATTTTAAGGTGCGATGGGGACGGGGGTTTGTCATACACACACACACACTACTAAGGTGTTGTTGGAGTTTGAACATAAGAGTCTGCAAGTCAAGACCCTTTTTTTTATCGGGATAGACCTTGTTGGTTTTTCATTTACATTACTAAATATGTCGACTAATTTGTAATCGGAGTGAGTCTTATCAGCAATCACATTATTAAATACTGAAATATCCTTCAATGGGAGCGGCTGTCATTACTTGTTATAAACATGCCATTAAAGATTGGGTTTATCTGATAAATTTGTTGGCATAAGTAAGCATTTCCCACGAGGAGGAGGCAGCCATGCTGGACCATCGCAATCAAGTGAGCCAGAGCCTGTACAAGACAAATTAAGAAGCTGGGCCAGACCAGAGGACCTGGTATTGGTAAATAAAATTCAAAACACAGGAAAGCAGGATGAACAATTCATCTTGGTTTGGATGTTCAAGCTTCAAAACGATGACGTACATGCATATGTGTGAATCTCAACGGAAGTGAATTGAAATGTGGGATTTTAAATCAATATTACGTTTTAACATCGTGAGTTACATTTAAATATGAAATTTCGCACTAAAAACATTGCAACTTGTCGATACATACAATGCATTGAAAAGACGTGTTGAAAACTATATTAACGTATATAGTCGTCTATCTAACCCTAGCGATCCACTAACAAGTAACAACAATATTGATGATGATAATAATAATAATAATATTATTATTATTATTATTTATACATATAGACACATGTAAGTACATTTACACACATACATATACGTACACAGATACATAGGTAAATATGGTGGGATATAAAAGGTGTGTTTAACATGTGAGGTATAAATAGTGATGAGTATTTCCACGTGCAGGAATCAATGCATTTGCAGCAGTACAAGTTAGAAAATAGAAAATAGAAAATTCTGTGTAGGAAGATTTATGTGATCACTGCGAAGAACATAAACTTATTTTGGCAAACTACGTATAACATGGATGTCGTGGACTTTGAAACGATAGGAAAGCAAGTCTAATAACAATATAAGGACTATTCAAAAGACAAAGTAAACGGAAACAACTCGGTCAAGATATGCATAAGTTTGGGGTCAAGATTTGGGGGGAAAGAGCTCTATATAAACCCCACAACCAAAGCTTAATTCCTACAACCTACAACGCCTTCCTCTTGAGATTCTTCAAATTTCAAATTAATCTCTCTCTCTCTCTCTCTCTGAGTTTTCGTTCCTAAACTAAGTCTTGTGCGTAACCTTCTCTTGTATCACTAATGGAGAAAACAAGATCATCCCTTCACTCTCCCACAAATGGAAGTCTCATTACTGTTCTTAGTATTGATGGAGGTGGAATAAGAGGGATTATCCCAGGAACCATCCTCAACTTCTTAGAGTCTGAGCTTCAGGTAAAACAATGATCAAACCAAAACTTTAAATAAATACACGTGTTATAATATAAGTGGATTGATCACGCCATCACATGGTGTTACACCTAGCGAGCATGTTTGCTCCACTTCTCATAATTTGTTGGTGTTTCTCATTCTTTTTTTAAATAATAAAAAATAAAAAATCTAATGCGACTAACTTTTCGCTTTACTTGTTTGCCATATGCAGAAACTGGATGGTCAGGATGCAAGGCTAGCAGATTATTTTGATGTGATTACAGGGACTAGTACAGGTGGCCTTGTGACAGCCATGCTTACTACCCCAAATGAAAATAACCGTCCTTTGTATGCTGCTAAAGATATCAACCCTTTTTATCTCGAAAACTGCCCTAAAATCTTCCCCCAAACCAGGTAATAGTTATATTCTTCATAGTATATTTTGTATACATAATGGTTCACGATAATTAATTTTCATCCATGTACAACAGTTCTCCACTCGTCAATGTCGAGGATAATTTGAAAAGTCTAGGGAGACCAAAATATGACGGGAAGTATTTACATAAAATGTTGAAGGAAAAATTAGGAGACAAACATTTGCGCGACACATTAACTAACGTTGTAATCCCAACTTTTGATATAAAGCGGCTGCAACCAGTTATCTTCTCCAGCTATCAGGTTTGTTTATTAATTATCTCTTAATTGAAACACATGCATGTACTTACATAATTTAATTATAATGGTGCTCTTTTTATGAACATTTCTTGATTTTGTATATATATGTTTGTCATGATTTTAGTTGAAAAAGAAACCCAGCTTAGATGCTTTGCTCTCGGATATATGCATTGGAACTTCAGCAGCCCCATACTATCTTCCAACCTATCAATTTAAATCCACAAATTCAAATGGTGAATCAAGAGAATTCAATCTCACCGACGGTGGAGTTGCTGCCAATAACCCGGTATACATTGATCAAATTGCAAAAACCTAATTTGCATAATCTGAATTATTTCATATATATGATCATCATTAATATGTGTGTATTCATTTTTTCTTTCTTTCTAGGCCTTGGTTGCTATGAGCGAAGTGACGAAACAAATCCACAAGGGCAACCCCGACTTCCTGCCTATGGGTGAAAATGAACAGTTGTATGGGCGGTTCCTAGTCATATCACTAGGGACGGGTACAACGTCTGAGGAGAAGTACGACGCCAAGGAAGCGGCTGAGTGGGGTGCTTTTGGGTGGCTTATCGGATCCGATTTTTCGACTCCATTGGTGGATATATTTACCCACGCAGGTAGTGACATGGTTGATTTCCACCTTGCTACCATTTTTCAAGCCCTTCAGTCTCATGACAATTACCTTCGAATTCAGGTAACAAAAGAATGTGCAATAAAATTGAGATAAATATCACTAGATCAAATGACTATTTTATATACAAAAAAAAAAAAGAAAAAAAGAAACAGAAAAAAAAGGTATTACGTAGACAAACTAAGCTCACAAGTACTCAAAAATGAATACGCAGGATGATACGCTAAGTGGAACATTGGCTTCTGCGGATATTGCCACAGAACAAAACTTGAATGATTTGGTAAAAGTTGGAGAGGCATTGTTGAAGAAACCGGTTTCGAGAGTGAACTTTGATACCGATAAAACCAAGCCTGTTCGTCCTGAGGTTACAAATGCAGAGGCTCTTGTGAGGTATTTGCTCTATTATATATTATGATTAAGTTGTAGCATGATCATGTAAATTCAATAAATTAACATACTAATGACTTTTGTTTTGTTAATTAATTTGCATGTGTAGGATAGCGAGCGTTCTCTCTAAGGAGAGGGCTCAGAGGAGCAAGGTCGTTCATGAAAGGACATGATCAGCAGCACCACGAAAGAAATAATATGCTGCTCTCATACGTATATATATATATATAATTCCTTTTAATTATGTTTAACCTTCAAGAAAAATAAAAGGCCATCAAAGTCATGATGAAATGCTAAGTCAATTATTTTATTTTATTTCTTCATGTAATTCAGTACTGAAATTATTTTCTCCCAATGTAAGCAAGAAATTGTTTAATTTATTTTTCTCCCAATAAATACCAATTAACAGGTTGGTTGTGATGTAATAATCAGCAGTATGTATATATGTATAATATGTTCCTTCCTTCATATTCTTTATTTATTTGGCTAAGTATTACGCACCAGAGTGTTTCTTTTTCTTTTTGAAGCATTGCAATGAACTTCGAAACAAAGTAAACATATATCCCACGTTGTAAATTGATTGATTAAACACTAATTAAACAATTAAACAAGTATCTTGAACCACTAATGTCCCACTAATTAAACAAGCTAATATGATTGATTATGATAGGTCTTGTCTATGGAGCAGTTTTGACTGAATTAATTTACCACATATTTTTCTTATCAAAATTAAGAAAAAGAAGCATCTTCATTTGAAGGAGCCTCCTCATACTTATCAAACCATCCCTGTAGTAGCACAGACTTTAGGCTTCAAGTGATGCATGTAAATCAATTGAAAAAAAACCTAGATCAACTAACAACTTAAATCCTTTGCCGAATAAAACACATACATATTTTATCCATATTTTTTCCGTTCCATATTTTACTAACTATACATAACCAGTAAGGGTTGGCTATATGGGTCAGCTTTAGAGTTAATTAGTATTATGTCTGGGGATTAATTATTAATTTAGGATTGCCCAAAAGTTTCGATAGATTTAAACTTTTGATCGTCATACATGTCATCAAGATATTCAACACGTTTTTTCCTTTCTTTTTTTCTTACAAGAAAAAAACACAAGGCTTGATAGAAATCCATACAAATTTCAAGCCCAATTTCTGAAAAACTGACCACTAAAAGTGAATAAATTAACACATTCCCCTGCCCATTTTTATGACAAAATACATACAATACAATTTTAATTTATCATATATGTATTATTAATAGCATTATATATATAGTCGTAAAGGATGCATAAAGAGTTTTATTTTTCGATTGGATTTATTTAATGAGCTTCGTTTGTATAATTTACAGAGTTGAAAGAGTCGAGACGAAGGGTAAAACTGGATTTTGGTATATTTGATGTCCGGCCAAGCGATGCATAAAGAGTCAATTGATTACAGTTTCGGTTTGAACCCAAACAAAAAAAGTCCATGAGAACTTTCTTTTCCTTCGACCAAAAATGTTTTTCAGGAGAGAATCTTACGAAATTTCCTAACTTATATGGTAATTGCGAGACACTGTTTTCTCGGTGTTTTTTTTTCTTCTTCTTGTTTCTTTAAAATTTCTCAAAAGTGCTCACCCACAGCTTTAATTTGAAAAGCCTTGCAGTATATTTTTGAGAGGGGTTATTCGTAGCAATGATCCCTCAACTATACCTGTAGTTACAGTTTGGTTACTCAATTCAATTATTAGTTGCAAAGGTCACTCAAGTAGGTGTTTTGTTGCACCATTAGTCCTTCCGTCAACTCTGTTAAATTTTCTGTCAAAAGTGAGGATAAATTCGGAAATTCATCCACAATCCTCCCCTTCCTCCACAACCCTCCATTGCCGCAACCCAATCCTCGCAAACACCAAAAAATTTCCCTTGGAACCCTTCCTGGCTACCTTCTTGAATTTGTCTCTCAAATGCTCTTGAATTAGTCCTTCCTGGCTACCTTTTTTGGTGTTTCCAAGGATAGTACGCGTATGTAATATGTTGAATATTATTGTGAATAGTAATTAGGTCGAAGCACTTAATCAATTATGTCCACACGAATGCAGTGTTTAATTAGAAAAGTCTGACAGTAGCTCCTTGATTGATGAAATATATTTTATCATGTGTATAAAATATATATAATCGTGACTAAATTGGTGAATATTAAGATTCACATTTTTTTTTTTTTTGGGCAAATTATTTTTTTTTTTTTTTTTTTTTTTTTTTTTTTTTTTTTTTTTTTTTTTTTTTTTTTTTAAAAAAAAAAAAAAAAAAAAAAAAAATTTTTCCCCCCCCCCCCCCCCCCCCCCTTTTTTTTTTTTTTTTTTTTTTTTTTTTTTTTTTTTTTTTTTTTTTTTTTTTTTTTTTTTTGGGGTTTTAAAAAAAAAAAAAAAAAAAAAAAAAAAAAAAAAAAAAAAAAAAAAAAAAAAAAAAAAAAAAAAAAAAAAAAAAAAAAAAAAAAAAAAAAAAAAAAAAAAAAAAAAAAAAAAAAAAAAAAAAAAAAAAAAAAAAAAAAAAAAAAAAAAAAAAAAAAAAAAAAAAAAAAAAAAAAAAAAGCCTTCTTTTAGGGTTCAAGCTTTATCTCTCTCTGCAGTTTTTATTCATTAGTTACATACTCCTTAATAAGATTCTATACCTTTTCTGTGTTGTGCATCATTCGGTATGCCTTCTCTTTCATCTCAAATGGAGAGAGCAAGATCATTTCTTCAGTCTCCCACTTACGGGAACATCGTCACCGTTCTGAGCATTGATGGAGGTGGAATTAGAGGGATTATTCCCGGAACTATACTCAAATTCCTAGAATCCGAGCTTCAGGTAATTAAGCATATATATTAAAACCCATAATTTAACTTTAATTAATAATGTCTAAAATAATTGTCTCGCTAATTTATTTTCACTTGAACTTTGCCACATATGCAGAAGCTGGATGGTGAAGAAGCAAGGCTTGCAGATTACTTTGATGTGATTGCAGGGACTAGCACTGGTGGGCTTGTGACTGCCATGCTTACTACCCAGATGAAAATAATCGACCCTTATTTGCTGCTAAAGACATTAACGATTTTTATCTCGAACATTGTCCTAAAATCTTCCCCCAAGACAGGTACCTAGCAAGCTATTTAACATCAATCTTAACTTCAACTCAATGTCATTAATCTTGTACATGTACATCAATTATTAGTATAATTAATCTTAGCTTGAACACCTTTTTCTTTTTTAATATTATACATATATAGTGGCTAACAATCACATATATTTTGCTTGTGGAGCAACTATACATTGATTGGTGAGGCCATACTGTTAATGTATGGTTTTTACTATTTTCTTTTGGCTTCCCTTGACAACTTTGTAATAGAATGTGTGTTGTTATTTATCAAGCTCAAGTTTAAATTAAGGAAAACCTTTCCTGGTGCTCTTCTCTAACTTCTGTTGTATGGAGGTTCAAGCAATTTGACAAAGGTATTGTGCATTGCATATCATTTCATAAAACAGTCTTCATAAAATGATGACTAGTCATCCGTTTCTCAGATGACTAGTCATCCTTTCTCTGTAGAATTTCCAGCTGGATAACAAACTGTTTTGTCCTATTCCTCTTTCTCTCTCTCTGCTGCCATCTGTGTTTTCTGACCTAAGGAATTTTTGGCTGTAAAGGCTACGTTTTTGGTCATTTGGTGGTTGTCTCTTTTGGGTGGAAGTTTTGGAAAGTTTGGCTTGCCATCTTTCGCTTCTTCTTCCTCGAGAGAACCATCTTATTTCATCTATGAGTTTTTCCAATTGATTTCTTTTTGAAAAACTGCATTTGAAACACAAATCTGCATCTAGCTACTTAAATCATTCTATCATTTATATCTAGGTCAGATTCAAGATTGATTTCTTCAAGAGTATGGTTTCTTGAAGAAATTGGTCATTCTTCTTTAAATCCAAATTTTGGTTTCGGTTTGTGTTGGAGCTTGCAAGCTAGTGCCATGGGATGAACGAGCTGGAGAAGGAGCTGCCATTGCCATGAAGAACTGAGCTTCAAGCTTTGCTAAGTTGGAGAAGAAGATTGCACAAAGGAGGTATAGCTCATCTTCCTAAATAGATCTAGGTTTTTCTTGAGCTTGCTTGTGTTCCTTTGTAAGAATCTTTTTCTACTTAGTGGATTGCCTGGTCGGTTGATGACCCCCAGTTTTTCCCAATGGTGGGTTTCTGGGTAAACAGTTTCTGGTTTCCAACTCTGTAAATTTTCTGGGTTTGTGTTCTTGACAGTTGACTAGTCATCTGGGTTTGTGCAGTTGACTAGTCATCTTTTTCTGCTGTTTGGTGTTTGCTTGATTCTGCTGTTTGGTCTTCACACACTTTCACCATAGTTGTTGCTAACACATGGGATGCCTAGATTGACGGGTCCTTCTGAGTGCTTAGGTTGTCACTAGTAATTCTCTAGGCTTGCAGGTACATCTTGGTGTGCTCTGTGTATGTTATTGTTTGGTATAATTCATATATGACAGTTGACTAGTCATAAGAGTATTTGGTCAAGGTCTAGAGTGTGTGAAGTTTGCTGCGTTCTTGGTTGAATATCTTTTAAATTTACCCCTCGTCACCTAAGTACCATTTTCAATTGGTATCAGAGCACCAGCTCTTAATATAAATAGAGAGATCCTTTGGGTGCTAATTGGTATTAGGTTTGCAAACATAAAAATGGACCAAATTGCTCCTTGCATTCATGATGAGCTTGCCTTGTTTGTTCAGAAATATAGAAGGGTTGTCAAAGGTAAAACCAAAGTCACTAGGAATTGTCAAAATCTTCCTAGCTCGTCTACATGTGTGTCTCAAGACAATGTTTTTAAGGAGATGAATTTTTTGGACTCTTATGGCTTTAGGGAGGACAAAAGTTTGAAGGGTCTTGTAAAGTGCTATCTATGTGGTGGTGTTGGTCACACTGATGTGGAATGTGCAAATAACCACATGATAGAGTCTAATGGGAGAGAAGAGTCAATTAGTGCACAATGGAGTGATAGTGATAGTGTTGATTCCAATAATTATATCACTTCATCTTTTGAAGAGACAAATAATTTTGCCCTTGTTGGTTCTGTTCATAACTCTAGCATTGCTAGAGTTCATGTAGTTAAGGAAGGAAAATCTGATTCAAAAAATGAATCTGTGTCTGGAGATGATAGGCAGGATGACCAGTCATACAGGAAACAGGATGACCAGTCATACCTGGGTATGTGTGAAAAGTATGATGTCTTTTTTACTGAAACTTCCAAGCTTAAGGAAAGAAATTTCCTACTTGAAAGGAAGGTAAAAAACCTGGAAATTCTTAATTGCACTTTTAAAGAAGCAAATAATGAATTGAGTGAAAATATTGAGACCTTGAAGAGTGAAAAGGATTCATTGATTGTCATTAAAAATGACATTTCAAACCAATTGAATGTGCTCAAGGAAAACAACTTGGTTTTCCATGCCTCCAACAAGAATTTGTTGACTCAGATAAATGAGGCAAATGACATGGTGATCAAGCTTACCATAGGGGCTAAAAAGGTGGATAAAATGTTAAATATGGGTAAGGTTCATGGAGACAAAATTGCTTTTGGTTATGGTTGTTCTAGTTCATATGCCCCTCCTCATTTGACCACATTTGTCAAGGAGTCAAATACAAAGTTTGATGTTTTAGAGCCAACTAGGACTCAAAGATTCATTCCTACTTGTTACCATTGTGGTGTGAAAGGTCATATTCGACCTAGGTGTAATGCTCTAAGGAATGTGTCTAGAGCAACCGATGCAAATGGCTTTAAGAACCATATTTCATCTCTTAAAACATGTGAGCTTGCAAAATCTGTTATTTGTACAAGAGATAAACATTTTTCACTTGCAAAATTTGGTTTTCAACAACCAAAAAGGTTCATTCCTATATGCCATCATTGTGGCACATTAGGACACATTAGACCAAAGTGTTTTGAGTTTAGGAATTTTGAGAAAAAGCCTTTTGTTCATTTCAAGAAAGTAAATGACGACTCACTTCAAACTCAAGTGAATGATCTTCTTTATAAAGCTGTCAAAATTCCTAAGGTGATCTCTATGCCTCATAAAGTCTCAAAAGTGAAGCAAGTTTGGATCAAGAAGGAAGACCATGTTCTTCCTCATGTTGGTGACTAGTTTCTTTATCTTATGTATCTAGACCATTCTCTTGTTTGTGGTTGCTTCATGGAGTCTAGATACCCTGTCATGCATATGCATCTTACTTCTTCTTTTTTATTTTTGATATATTTATTTCATTTTTGTTTTAGAAAGATGTGGTCATTGTGTGCATGTCTTTTAGTCATCTCCCTCACAATCTTTTGAATCTTGAGTCCAACTAAATTCCATGCTTTATGTAAGAACTTGGTGACATTTGACTAATTGACTTAAGACATTTTCTTGCACAAGAGATCTTAGTAATTGCCTTGCCTTGCAATTTGTGTCTATTGAGAAGCAACTAGCTGTTTTTTTTTTTTTTTTCTTCTTCAACCGCTAGATACTTGAAGGTATTGATTTCCTTCAAAGATCTATTGGGTTGTGCAAAATGGATTAACTTGTATTTTCAATTTCATGTGCTTATAATCTGAATTTCCATTTTGTTTGTGTTAATAAATTGCATGTAAGCTCTCTTCTCTCAAGATGCATGATTCTTATGAGTGGAAGTCTTTTCATGATGTTGTAGGTGTGAAAGAGTTATCCCCATTCTTATCTACAATTTTGAGCATTTTTTGTTGAATATACTTGGGTTGCATGATATGCTTTGAGCTATCTATAAAGTGTCTAAGATCACTTGTAGTTGTCTCTCTACCTTGATCTTTTGATCCATTTGGAAATCAAAATGCAAATAAATTGTTGGAGTAAAAGCCTTGGAAAAGCAATGTCCACAAATATAGAAAAAGCATTTTCGGACAAGCAAGTGTGCTATACTTCATTTTTTATAAAAAGGTAAAAGCGCTTGGAAGAGCATTGTACATCATCAAATAGAAAAGCAAAATTGTACAAGCAAGTGTGCTATGCCTTTCTAAAATATTGATAAATGTCAACTTTTGGATCACATTTCTTGGTAGGGTTTATGCCTTGATTTCTAGAACTTATATTAGATTTGATGCTTGGAAAGTCTCATGCAACTCTTGGAAATCATTATTGAAGCTCATATTGAATTAGACCTCATTTTCCCAAACTCCTTACTCTAAGCTTCATGAGAAGTTCTAACTTATGTGTCTCATTGATTTTGGGAATTGAGTGCATATATTGCCTTGACATGTTAATCTTTGTAGTTCAACTATTTCCCATTTGTGTTTTTCCAAATAACCTAAGCACATGTTATGGAGATGCATGTTATTCTATTGCATGTCGTTTTTCTAATTCAAATTCTAGTTGCTTCCATCTCAATATGGCTTATTATGCTTGGATATCTCTTTGTATGCTATGTCTTGGGTCAATGTGTTTCATGCTAGCTTTCTAGAAATCATTTCTGCCTCGCATGACTAGTCATCCAATCTAACATTCTTTGTGTCTCATTGATTCATTATTGGTTGCATTTTTGTTGTGTTATTTGTTGTGCTTAAAGGGGCTCTACACTTTATGTCATTCAAGCTCTTTTCTTTTGATGTGGTTTGGACTGTGTTGAGTCTTATTGTATGCATTTGTGAGCATACTTTGGAGTCATTGACTACTTGGTAGTCTCTCTTGTATCTATTTGGTTGTGATAGTCCATACTTTGCTTTAGTGAAGCTTCTTCATTGACATGTCATGGGTTTGGTCACACATTTGAGAAATCTGTGAGTTTGCTTGTTTAAGTAATGTTGGTGTTTGTCTTCTGAGCCCATATGACTAGTCATATATACTAGTCATTGGTCACTGGTATTAGTTTGGTCTTAAGGTATTTAGTCATTCTTGGATTTGACCCATGTTACCATATGTGACCTGGTTGTCTCTCCTGTGGGTTCCTTAAGTCACTTTTGAGTAGTCTTCTATTGATGTTGTTGCTTTATGTAACTCGAATGATGATTGTCTTGGCTGCAATCTCATGTTTGCATTTATAGGTCTATTGCACTTTGTGATTTTTCCATTAAAGGGAGCTTGTCATTTGCTTGTCCTTGGAACATTTTGTAATGTTGTGAACTGCTTATATCTTGTTAGGATTGATCTCGGCATAGGCCTTTAATTCTTTTCTTTTTTTAATTCATGTGCTTGAAGACTTGGCCTAGACAATGATTGCTGAACATCCCTGATCACTTGATATGTTTACTAGTGCTTCTCTGTGTATTAGCAAAGTCCTTCATCTTCTATAAGGTCGATACTAAACATGATGCTTATTGTGATTACTGCTCTGGTTGACTAGTCACTATATGCATACGCTGATTGTGGTTGACTAGTCATCATGATCTATTTTCGTTTCTGGCAGTGTATCTGGTCTTGTCTCTTATTCTTTAGCTATGTCTCTAGCCATCAAGTCATTCTGTATGTTTAATAGGGATCTTGTGCCTTTTGGTGAAATTAATTTTCACTCTCTAAGAACCAAGACCATTGGTTATGACACAAAGCACAAAGGCTCACTTGTCTTCTCCTTGTCTCATTTACACCTTCTGTTTCAACACTGGTACTGTGTTTATGTGTGGTCGTGTTTGGATGATGCCACTTTGGTCTATGACCAGTCACCTTAATAAGTTGTCTTGAAATCCTTACGAGTTTGCTGTGCTATATGAGTTTTGGATTGTTGGCTAATTTATTTTGTTGGGGGAGTTTCTTTGAGATGCATGTGTTTTGGCAACATTCTTGCTGGTTGTTTTTATCATTTTCATACATCAATGTTGCCTTCCTAAGCCTTATCTCGATTGATTTGCTCTCTTTTGTTCTTGGCTATGTCTATGAGGTTGTTGGTCTTTTGATGCCACCTCAAATTTAGACATGCGTGACTAGTCCGTTTCACTAGTCCACTCTCTTCTTCTTGTGCTTTTTGGAAAGCTGTGTTGGTGTTTTTTGGACAACCTAGAGACTTATTTCTTGTGCTCTTTCTCACATGTCCTCAATTTTGAGCAAAAATTTAGGGTTCATCTTGCTTGGTGCTTTCTTCAAATTTGACAATGATTGATGCCTTAAATTTTGAAATCTTGGTGCTTTGTCTTGATTTTGCACTATGGTGTGTAAAGAAAAATTCATTGGTTGTCCCTTGTTTTGATAAATATGTTGCTTAAACTTTGTCTTTTTAGGGGAGTTTTCTTTATGTGTAATGTGTACACGTTGAAATTCAATTCAGCCACTTGATTTTAATTGCTTTAGGTATGATTCCTTGCAACTTGTGCTCCATTTCTTATTCTTTTTAGCTTGATGCACTTTTGTGTTTGTTGGCTATTTATGGAAAGTTTGCTGAATCAGTACGTCAAAGGTTATGTCCTTTATGTTATATGATACTCAAGGGGAGTATGTTTTCTAAAGGGGTGTTTTGCTTTAGGAAGAGTAATTCTGGACAGGTTGTGCATGTTGATAGGGGGAGTTGTTTTTGTAATCACATTGTGGGTAGTCTGTGCATTTTGATAGGGGGAGTGTTTTTGTAATCACATTGTGGGTAGTTTAGTGCATTTTGATAGGGGGAGTTGTTCTGTCCTGTTTTGAACAACTGGTATTTGACTAGTCATCTATGTTCTGTACTGTTTTTAAACATGTTGTTGACTAGTCATCCATCTATGAAATGTGCTGTTAACCTTGTTCCTATATGCCTATCCTTTGTGGTTAATCCCTTTGTATGTGATGTTTCTATCTCTCTGCCTTTTTGCACTTTCCTTATCAACAAGGGGGAGAACACTCTCAACCCCACATTGCATATTGTTTTAAAAATTCTGTGATAATATGCTTGTTTTTGTGCCTGGAAGATTGGTTGTTCTTGCAGGTACCTTCACTCCATCATCTCCTTAGTCTCGGTTTTGGGTTGAGTGTTTTTAGAGAGTGTGTTGTCAAGGAAAGCCAAAAAGGGGGAGATTGTTAATGTATGGTTTTTACTATTTTCTTTTGGCTTCCCTTGACAACTTTGTAATAGAATGTGTGTTGTTATTTATCAAGCTCAAGTTTAGATTAAGGAAAACCTTTCTTGGTGCTCTTCTCTAACTTCTGTTGTATGGAGGTTCAAGCAATTTGACAAAGGTATTGTGCATTGCATATCATTTCATAAAACAGTCTTCATAAAAATGATGACTAGTCATCCGTTTCTCAGATGACTAGTCATCCTTGCTCTGTAGGATTTCCAGCTGGATAACAAACTGTTTTGTCCTATTCCTCTTTCTCTCTCTCTGCTGCCATCTGTGTTTTCTGACCTAAGGAATTTTTTGGCTGTAAAGGCTACGTTTTTGGTCATTTGGGTGTTGTCTCTTTTGGGTGGAAGTTTTGGAAAGTTTGGCTTGCCATCTTTCGCTTCTTCTTCCTCGAGAGAACCATCTTATTTCATCTATGAGTTTTTCCAATTGATTTCTTTTTGAAAAACTGCATTTGAAACACAAATCTGCATCTAGCTACTTAAATCATTCTATCATTTATATCTAGGTCAGATTCAAGATTGATTTCTTCAAGAGTATGGTTTCTTGAAGAAATTGGTCATTCTCCTTTGAATCCAAATTTTGGTTTCGGTTTGTGTTGGAGCTTGCAAGCTAGTGCCATGGGATGAACGAGCTGGAGAAGGAGCTGCCATTGCCATGAAGAACTGAGCTTCAAGCTTTGCTAAGTTGGAGAAGAAGATTGCACAAAGGAGGTATAGCTCATCTTCCTAAATAGATCTAGGTTTTTCTTGAGCTTGCTTGTGTTCCTTTGTAAGAATCTTTTTCTACTTAGTGGATTGCCTGGTCGGTTGATGACCCCCAGTTTTTCCCAATGGTGGGTTTCTGGGTAAACAGTTTCTGGTTTCCAACTCTGTAAATTTTCTGGGTTTGTGTTCTTGACAGTTGACTAGTCATCTGGGTTTGTGCAGTTGACTAGTCATCTTTTTCTGCTGTTTGGTGTTTGCTTGATTCTGCTGTTTGGTCTTCACACACTTTCACCATAGTTGTTGCTAGCACATGGGATGCCTAGATTGACGGGTCCTTCTGAGTGCCTAGGTTGTCACTAGTAATTCTCTAGGCTTGCCCAAAAAAAAAAAAAAAAAAAAAAAAAAAAAAAAAAAAAAAAAAAAAAAAAAAAAAAAAAAAAAAAAAAAAAAAAAAAAAAAAAAAAAAAAAAAAAAAAAAAAAAAAAAAAAAAAAAAAAAAAAAAAAAAAAAAAAAAAAAAAAAAAAAAAAAAAAAAAAAAAAAAAAAAAAAAAAAAAAAAAAAAAAAAAAAAAAAAAAAAAAAAAAAAAAAAAAAAAAAAAAAAAAAAAAAAAAAAAAAAAAAAAAAAAAAAAAAAAAAAAAAAAAAAAAAAAAAAAAAAAAAAAAAAAAAAAAAAAAAAAAAAAAAAAAAAAAAAAAAAAAAAAAAAAAAAAAAAAAAAAAAAAAAAAAAAAAAAAAAAAAAAAAAAAAAAAAAAAAAAAAAAAAAAAAAATGCTGAGGTTGCAATGCATATGTCTGAGAGTTTAGCATCGAAGCCTGGCTTATGTTTCACCTAACCACCCAAGAAAAGCACATAATTTAAACAGAGTAATTATCAAATAACAAACAGTAAAAGTAACATTAAACTGGTGATCAAGAAAATTAAGTCAAGAAGTGATATGATGGGTTAAATTCAAAGGGGACAACCTCATAGCTGGAAAAGATTGTTGGTTGGAGCTGCTTTATGTCAAATGTTGGAATGACAACGTTAGTTAATGTCTGGTGCAGTTTTTTGTCACCAAGTTTCTGCCCAACCAAGTCATGCAAATACTTCCCATCGTATTTTGGTCCTGCTAGAGCTTTGATAATCTTTGTAGCATAAGGAAATATTGGACAGCTGTTGTTTAAAAAATTAGTGCTTATGTTAGAATCTATTTTAACAAAAACATGTTCTGTAATATTTAACAAAAAATTGGCATTTAACATGTAAACATTACTGTTTCTGGGGGAAGATTTTGGGGCAGTGAGTAAGGTAGAAGTCCTTAATATCTTTGGCAGCAAACACAGGGCGGTTGTTCTCATCTGGGGTTGCAAGCATGGCAGTTACAAGGCCACCAGTGCTTGTTCCTGCAATCACATCAAATAGTCGGCGATTCTTGCATCTTCACCATCCAGTTTCTGCAACATGATCAAACATTTTGAGTACTTATATGACTTAGAAACAATGTTATTTGACATGGAATTATCGATCAAAGACATTATATGTGAATGCGTATGCAGAGGACATAAGGATTGAATAGTCTACCTGAAGCTCAGCTTCAAGGTAACCAAGGATGGTTCCAGGGATAAGCCCTCTTATTCCACCCCCATCGATGCTTAAAACGGTGATGAGGTTTCCATAGGTTGGGGCCTGCAAAGGTATACTCTTGCTTTTGTTCATGAGACTTGAGCTGCTGCTATATAAGAGAGAGAGAGAGAGAGAGAGAGAGAGAGAGTCTGAATTCTAGAAGAGGGTTTAGATAAATATATAGCTAGAGTTCTTTGGTAAGTTTCCCTTTGACAGAAGTACTACAGGGGTATTTATAGCCAAGTCATTGGATTATGCATACATGTACCCAAAAAGTGTTAAGAAAAGTACAATGTCAATGGGTATGAATGTGATTCAAATTTTTTAATCCTTTGTAGTTTATTATTGGATATAGTTCAAGTTGGACAGCATGTAGACTGAGAATGGAAATGTTCATTTCTAGTCAAACATTAGCACCTTTCTACAGGAAATGGTTAATTATGGTTCCTCTAATTGTAGAATTGTAGGTGAGACTCCATGAGACTTGTAGGTGACAATGTGAAGCCATCTTGGAGGCTAATTAACATGATGCTGGTTAGGCCAATCCCCACTGAGGACGGCCATGAATTTCCTACCCTTAAAGCACCTCTATCAAGCATGCAGCCAAAACTTTAGCTTATTATAAATTTCAAGTTCTTCTCTGCGGCTACATACAATGAAGGGACATTATGATATTTAAGATTCCTTGTCAAAGGATTAAATCTTTACGTGTTATGAGCTGATTCGTATAAGGCGGCGATGAACATTAGCAGTAAGATTAGAAGGGCAATCAGGAGGCCACAAGTTGCCAGTGTGATGGAAAATGGTCTTCCATTCAATTTTGCCTGCATTTGACTTCAATAGGATGATAAAGGGATGCTGCAAAATTTAATCAAGTTCTATTGTCATATGTTGTTCGTGGACTTCAATTTAGGGGGTAACATGTTGTCTTATTAGCAATCGTACACTTCAACAACACAGTCATCAATCATTGTACAATAAAATGCTACTGTCAATAAGGAAGAGGAAAACCTTTTGGTTTCTGTTTTACCATGTGGTACAAAGCTTAGTAAACGCTTCCCTTTGAATATAAATTGAATTTCTGTATAATTTACTGTCATTCATCCGTTCCCACTTTCCCCCATACAATAACTAAAGTTAGCTGCAAGTGAAAAGTGACTTATCCATTCTTTTTCTTAAATTTGCCGAAATCCTGATTCCAGATAATCCATTATTATTTGTTTAAATGGTAGTGGAAACCTTCCTAAAATTTATTACTTTAATTTAAGTCCTCAATTCCAAATAACATGTTCATTGTGGTAGAATTTTCAATGTTTTGTAAAGCATACGTGCACAAATACATACATCTAGTGTGTATATATTTGTATACTCACCTTACTGAGTTGGATTTTATAAAAGATTGAGGAGCAGATGATCACTATGACTATTTCTTCGGGGAGATTTAAAGGATGCAAAAATCACAAGATTACAGTCTGTTCATCAAACCAATGAGTCTGCAAACTAACTGAGATGTAACAAACTTTTAAGAACAGTTAATTAGTTTAGAGGCTGAGCTTGAGGATAAGCTTCAACTAGTACTCTGCTCCTCATGATACTGCTGTTTCTGTAATACTCTTTAACTAGTACTGGTGGTGATATCATATTTACACCCAAAACAAAAAACCAAAGGAGAACGCACCAGACGACGCATGAAATTATAGAATTCAGTCCATGCATTTATGTAGATCTAATTCAGTGAAAGCCAACCCTAGTCCATGTTCAATGTTTGACGATTACAATTCGGTTCACCGTTCTGTCTTTAAGTGATGATGAAGCAATTGAATTGGTACGTTTGATGCTAATACTTAAATCTTCAACCTTTTGGCTGTGCTCAAGGAGATAATTATTACAGTTAAAACCAGTTCAAAGCCCGGTACCGCCCATGTGAAATTGTATTTGTTTAAGTTTATCAATGATTTCTATATGCCCTCGAGGCCAAGATAGATGGTGGCCTTCATTTTCACAAACTTGACCTGCACCCTTTTTGTCCGTGGACTTGTTGGTAAGAGTCACATTCCAACTTGACTAATACAAAATTACACTTAACCTCTGGGCTTAACTTTTCCAATAATAGTGATATGCGTCTACTTTCTGCATGCTAATAATGCAAGCAACAAAATGCCAAACACGAAAATTCAGCTCTTAAAGCTAACATCACTATCTCTAATCCAAAGAGTTGGTGATATGTGCATAGCCATTTTATCGAAAGAGCTCAAAAGGTCACAACACGTGCATAGTTTTCTTTTCTGCAAAAAAGGTTAAATTTAATTTGTTTATTATACTAAATACAGTTTAATAATAATAATTTAATCATAAACAGAGTTGCTGATAATATATAAAAATTTGGCCACGTGCATAGTTCTTGCTTGCAAATTGCAATTCTTAAATTTCATTGATAGAGAAGAATGAATACATCTGTTACATTGATATCCCACCCCTCCTGGGATTTATTCAGATACCTCAAAAATTACAATTTCTATTTACTACTCGACAATAATAAATGAAAGAATTCATCATGAGCTGTGAACATAATATGTGTATGATCGATCAGTTGGGTTTTGGAGTGTGTCCGTGGGGCGACCTTGCGAGACGAAGCCACTTCTCTTCGGAGAGTAGTTTTGCAAACCTGCAAGTAAGTTACAGATTTTATATTTGGATGAATTACTAGAGAAAAATACTAGCACATAGATTATGGAATAATATTAATATTTGCAGTTAATATATGATGCATACCTTGTAAGAGCCTCTTCATTAGTTTCATGATTACAAGCCTCAAATTTGCCTGTCTCCAAGTTTACCCTGGAAACTGGCTGTTTCAATAGGCCTTCCCCAACTTGCACAAGACTGTCCAAATTCTTCTCTGTTGCTACATCCACGGAAGCTACATCCCCTTGTAGCTTGTCATCCTGCGGGTGTTTTTTTTTATAATGTGCCTATGTTAATATATTTGTTTTTGCATGTTATTAATCAAATTGAGAGAATTGATTAAAATAAGTATACCTGAATTCGAAGGTAGTTTTTCTCGGAGTGAAGGGCTTGGAAAACCACAGAAAGGTTAAGATCAACCATATCTGCGCTACTGTAGCTGAAAACATTAATGATTGGGGTGGAACCACCGCTGGTTAACCAATTCAACATGCCCCATTTAGCTGCATCATGTGCATTGTACTTCACCTCATCTTTTGGTGAGCCAGTTCCTAATGATATCACCAGAAATCGGCCATAGTCCATAGGTTTTATAGGGAAGAAGTCGGAGCTCCCCTTGATTATTGCCTTTGTCACTTCACCAATAGCAAGCAAAGTCTGAAACAAGGACACATCTAGAAGTCATTTTTCTGAACCGGATTTTTTATTATAAATAATTTAATATTTAATATTCAATATTCGGTTGTTTTATATTATGTACCGGATTATTTGCAGCCACTCCACCATCGATAAGGTTAAATTCTTTAACGTTTCCTTCACCGTCCTTGGTTTTGAAATAATGAGCTGGAAGATAAGTTGGTGCTGCTGAGGTTCCAATGCATATGTCGGAGAGTAAGGCATCAAAGCATGGCTTATGGTTCACCTGAAAAACCACATATATATGATAAGTCAATGTTTGCTGGAAAAAATGAACTTGAGGAAGAAAGAAGTGAATAGCAGAAGGTGAACCTCAAAGCTGGAAAAGATTGTTGGCTGGAGATTCCTTATGTCAAATGTAGGAATCACAACGTTAGTCAATGTTTGGTGCAGTTTTTTGTCACCCAGTTTTTGCCTCACCAGGCTATGCAGATACTTCCCGTTGTATTTTGGTCCTGCTAGAGCTTTGATAATCTTTGTAACATAGGGAAACAACGGACACCTGTTGTTTAAAACATTAAGCTTGTATTTAGTTTACTATCTATATATATATATAGAAAGTATTTATATCAAAAAATGCAGCAATCTGCAAATTAAAGTTATGTAAACATTACGTGTTCTGGGGGAAGATTTTAGGGCACTCATTAAGGTAGAATTCCTTAATATCATTGGCAGCGAACAGAGGACGGTTGTTCTCATCCGGGGCTGTGAGCATGGCAGTCACAAGACCACCTGTACTTGTTCCTGCAATCACATCAAAATAATCTGCCAGTCTTGCATCCTCACCATCCAGCTTCTGCAACATGATCAATAACATTAGTATTAGCAATAGTGTAGCTGTGGTAAAAAGTTAGAGAGTATTATAAGACAGATGTTGGACATGTGAATATCTTATACATGTATATGTGCATGCATGCACATGCCAAGGAGAAGAAAATAAATATTTATGCATACGAGCTTTTAAAGCTTAGAGCATCCAACCCAAAATTAATTGGTAACGATCGATAGAGAAGTCTTGCATTTTATGTAGTGTGATGCAAGACATGGAATAAACAACATGAGGTTATGTATCCCCAAAAACAATAGCAGTGCCGGATGCATACATCGCAAATGAATCTATACATTGTGAAAAACAAGTCATAAACCATGTATACTCCCACACAAAGATAACCTATAGTAAAATTCTTATTCTACCTGAAGCTCGGATTCTAGGAAAGCAAGGATAGTTCCTGGGATAAGCCCTCTTATTCCACCCCCATCAATGCTTAGAACAGTGATTAGGTTTCCATAAGTTGGGGGCTGCAGGGGTATACTTTTGGTTCTTTCCATGAGAGACTTGAGAGTTTGAGTTGCTGCTATATAGAGATAGAGAGAGCTAGAAGGAAAGAGAGTCTGAAGTTAATTATTAGAAGAAGGATTTATAGCTTGCTAGAGTTCTTTGTGAATTCTCCTTTGAGAGAAGTAGAGGTATTTATAGATTCCATTGCACACACGTTTTCCAGGATTCAATCAAGTCATGGATTATGCCCCCAAAAAAAGTGATTGAATAAAGCACAATGTCAAAGGATGAATGTGATTCAAAGTTTTGACCCGGTTGATATTTTTCGTGGATATGGCTCAAGTTGGAGGCATGTTTTCTAAGCAAGGAAATGACATATAATTATTAAAAGAGATTTAGTCATATACTCATCATTTAATTTCTGTAAACAAACCCAAAAAATGACAACTGACCTTATTGAATTTAATTTTGATTATTAAATTACTTTGATGCCCTATTGAGTGTTTGGGTTTTTTAATGAGGTTTTGGAGTTGGACTTGTTTTAATAAATCGATGGTTGTTTTGTAATTTATAAGAAGTTAAAAGCCTCTTAGTTATGTTATAAATGGGTTTCGGTTGTGTTTCTAAAGTCCATTTCACATAGGTTCATAGGTTTTTTTTAATAATTTGGCCCTATATTGGGTATAATGATGAATCTCCCTTATTAAAATGATCATGTACAGTCCAACAGTGCCCTGCTTCTACAGCAAACATGTTCATTGCTCCCCAAGCTATATGCCATGGACAAGACAAATATGTGAGAGTTCTAGAATTGTAGGTGAGACCTCATGAGACTTGTAGGTGAAAATGATTAGGTGAAAGAATTGAGGTTAGCAAATGCACAGGAAACAGCTTGTTAGGTCAAACCCTGAATTGCTCATGAACTGCCTAACCTCTAAATAACCTCTATCAAGCAACTAGTCCTGCTTTTGATTATAATTCATTAATATCAGTTTCTTTTGTGTGGACGACATACTAGGAAGGCACCAAAAGATCTTGGTGCTGCATATTCAAGGATTAGCAGAAAATTAACATAACACGTTGCAAACGCTTTGATTCGTAAAAGGCGGCAATGATCAACGATAGGATAGCAAGCCAAGAAGGTCAATTAGGATAACTAATCCTAAGTACTTGCACAAAATCATAAATTGAATGGTCTACCGTTCAATTAAACTATGTCTGCACATAGCTTCAACATGCATGATGATAAGAGATGTATGGTACACTACATCAAGCAAATGCTCATAATTTAATCATATAATTTTATGGCCGCCGTAGTTTTTCCTGTACCTTGATTAGGGTGGACATTATGTTTTAGTACATATCTTACACTCAACCACACAATAATAATTGTAGACAACATCAGGACATCATCTCCAATTACACAGAACTCTGTTAATAGAGAAAAGAAAAACATTTTGCTTCATTTTCTGAATTTTTCACTGCACTAAAACAGATTTTTCCCTATATATAAATTGGGATTTTTGTATGTTTTCATTTCTTCTCACCTCCCTTTACTTATAATTTTGATTGAGCATGGTTTTTGCAAGCAAACTAACTCAGAGAGCTGAGGTAACCATCATGACAGCAGGACGTCAGCATTGAAGAACAGACTCTCTACAGAAGCCTATGCTTCCAGAGGTTAGCTGAAGCTAATCCTCCAGTTCAGCTCCTAATCTCAATTAAGAATTAACTCCATTTGTAATCTTATCCAGACGTGATATTGAAAAACTCTTACCTACGTAATGAAGAATTCTTTTCTGCATTAAGTCTCATTCAAGTTTTTGTACTTTTCATCGGATTTTCCCCATATGGAAACAGCTCAAATCTTAATTACATTCCCTTAGGTGACCTGAAGATATAAGAATGATATGCCTGTAATTTGAAGATCAATCTACACTGAAAGTGAATTTTCCATTGTCTTTCTTGGAGCTTATATACACCAGTTAGTTTGATGTCCAGACATTCACCATGCATCATGACTGAGTTGAGAGAAAAGAACTCAGAAATGCAAAATTTTCATAAGAATCTGCAACAGACTTTTTATTCTCCAGCTTGATGTCATGCTTAGGAAACTTGTGTACCGCACAGCTGTAATCGAAGGATCGAAGTCAGAAGTCAATTCTGCAGACTGCATTATAAGCATTTCCAGGCCAATATGCTAAATGTTCGACAATTAGTTTTGCTGATTAAAAAACCTTATTCTTTTTCCTTTTTGTTCAAGTGATAGCAGCCCCTGCTGAGGCTCTTGACCACATCACAAGTTGGTGACATATTCCATTGCGTTCATGCGATGCTAAAAATCAAAACTTCAACTTTTAGCTATTACATTCTTCTGATTTTGAGAAATAAAATACTACTAAAAAATAGTATTGATTGAATTTAACTCTTGCTTAAATAGCAGCCATAGAAGAAAATCATTAAAGGACCAGTCTTCATTAACTTGAACTGCAAGTTGTATTCAAAAGTAGAATTTCCAACAAGGTCCGTACAACCCACGAAAGTAGAAAATGTTAAACATGCAGGAGATTGACTATATAAAACGATTATCAACAGAATTGTAAAATTTATTTAATTACTTTTATTCTAGTCAAATATGAGAAAACAAAGTTTCAACCACCCAGGAAAGTTACTAATTATATATAACATACAGAATCCAAAACCTTTACCCTATGAAAGTTCCCCTGGCATACAAAATGATTAATACTTTTAGAGGGATGACTTCAAATTTGGACAATTTTCTATCTGGATACAACCTACAAGTCTCAAGCAGACTTTATTGCTTCAACAAAGGAAGAGAAAAAAACACTGAAAATCTCAAACTGCATCACAAATATTTGCCACGGGGTTCTAAGATGATGAGGCTTGCTCACGAAGGTGCTTCTCTTGAGAGAGCAGCTTTGCAAACCTGCATACGGGTTAAAGAAAAACTGTTCTGTGTTATTATGTGACAGAAGCCATAAGAAGGGTTTAATTGACAAGCTAAGCTAGAATATATAATTTCACACCTTGTAAGAGCCTGTTCATTGGTCTCATGTTTTGACGGTTCAATATTACCCGTCTCTAAATTCACCTTTGACACCGGTTTCTTCAGCAACTCTTCTCCAATCTTTGCAAGATTTTCCAGATTCTCCTTCGTGGAATTATCAACAGAGGACACTTTCCCTTTCAATGTATCATCCTGCAATTTTAACCAAGACTAAATGTACTTAGTTTTCAGCAATTTCATTTTCCAGCTAGACTACATAATAACATACATGTAATAAAATTAAGGCACCAAATGGTTGTGAGACCGATCGAGCAATGTCGACGAATACCTGAATTCGAAGGTAATTTTTTTCGGATTCCAGGCTTTTGAAAACCACAGACATATGAAAGTCTACTAAATCTGCACTTGCTTGAGTGAAGGCATCAACTAATGGGGTAGAATGGTCACTTACTAACCAACCAAACACTCCCCATCTGGATGCTTCATTTGCAGTGTACTTCTCTTCAACTTTAGGAGAACCTGTTCCCAGTGATAGTACCAGTAGTCTACCATAATGATCAGCTGCTTTTATAGAATTGAAATCTGGGCTTTTCCTGTGAATCTCTTTTGTCACTTCTCCAATAGCAATTAAAGTCTAGGTGTTGATCACAATAATTGAACACAACATTACTATAGTTGTAGGACCAAAAAAATAAACACCCATAAAGGAAAAAGATTGTTTAGTATAGGGTATCAATATGCTACACTATCCATGTTGTGCCGATCGATATTTTGTTGATACTTAATCAATATTCGATAACGTATCAGATAGTGCAGATTATGATACCCGTTACCAAACCCAACACGATCATCAAATTTATATTCACCGGATTGTTAGCAGCTACACCACCATCAACAAGATTGAATTTTTCCACCTTTCCTGCAGAGTCTTCGTTTCAAAATAGTGGGCAGGAAAATAAGTTGGGGCAGCGGAAGTTCCAATACCTATATCTGACAGTAAGGCATTGAGGTGTGGCTTCCTCTTCACCTAAAACCAAGTATTAATTAAGTACAATATATATTGCCCTTAATTTTGAGAAATTTCAGACATAAAAAATTTGGTTGATCAACCTCAAAGCTGGAGAAGATGGTGGGCTGGAGTCGCTTGATGTCAAAAGTTGGGATTACAAAGTTGGTCAATGTTTGTTGACATCTTGTGTTTCCCAGTTTTTGCTTAAGGAGATTATGGAGATACTTGCCATCGTACCTTGGTCCAAGCACTGCTTTGATCATTTTGGCAAGTGGCCAACTGTTGCTTATGCAGAACATAAGAGTGTGTAAGACAATAATCAACACTATTAGGATATAAATGATAGTAAATTAAAACATTTTTCTGAATGCCGATGCTATATTTGTGATACTCCAAGCACCACATTCGTCATTAGTGTCTGCATAATATGTGATTTAAAGGTCCACTTATCAATTGTTAGTTAATTTGTTAACTAGTTGCTTGGGCTCATGTTGTTACATATGATAATACAACCCAGTACTCCATTTGTTCTATACATACAGGCTTATTGGGCTTTTTGGGATGGTGTTCATGAGCTGAACATGGTATTGGGGCTATGGAAATCAATATTCGAATTCGAGTACAAGAGGGTAAGTACAATCAGCTGGGACAACCCATATCATGCGTCGACCAGAAGCTTAATTATATTATGATTAAAGTGTGTGATTATAAATGACAAAGAACCAAAAAAAGATTTGTTAAGTCTATTATATGTTACCTCCCTTGAGGAAAAATTTTTGGGCCGTTATCAAAATAGAAGGACTTGATATCTTTGGCAGCATACATAGGGCGATTGTTGTCATTGGGTGCAGTTAGCATGATGGTCAACAGACCACCTGTGCTTGTCCCTGCAACTACATCGAAGTAATCTGCAACTCTTGCTTCCTCACCATCTAGCTTCTGCACGCATGGACACCATGAAAACGAAAATTGCATCTTAAATTCTCAGGTAAAAATTGATCTCTAATTAATTACTGTAATATTAACATTATATATATAAGCATGAGTGTACGAGAATTGTATGACCTGTAACTCGGACTCTAAGAAGGCAACTATAATTCCTGGAATAATTCCTCTAATTCCACCTCCATCAATGCTGAGAACTGTAATGAACTTTCCATGAGTAGGAGCTTTTAGGGTTCCTAACTTTGTTCTTTCCACCTCCATTGGTTTTTAATGCGCAAGAACTATGGAAATATATTAAATAATTGTTAATTGTTGACACATTCTATCTGTATATATATTACTCCATGGAAAAGAGGAACCAACAATCTGGATTAGTCCCTCTGGATTAGTGGGACTAATCATTCTAAATGTGACCTATATGAATAGTGGGTTCTAGCTTGGACATGAAATGTGAACAAATGATGCGTTCACAATTGGAAATATTGCGCCATTGACGATAACAACTCTTGAGTGCCATTTCCTCAAGTGGTGAGTGCTCTTAGTTTGGCAGAGAAAAGATGGCAACTTTTGGCACCACCCCATGCAAGAATTGTAGGTGAAACCATGAGAATTGTAGGTGAGAACAATTTGGTGATCACACATGAGCATCTGCTCATGTAATCTGGATTTCGGTACCTAGCTAAAGTGATTGGCAGTGTGGGGGTTTTGATCATTGTTTGAAACCTAGGTTTTCAGACAAGTAGTGTGTGGCATCTCCAAAAATTAATGATGATGAGCATTTTAATTTTCCTTTTGAAACTTAATTAGGTTTATTTGTTCTCCCCCAAATGAGAGTAAGTGATGATGATAAATAAGATTGGCCGAAAGGAGTTATGATTTTAGTCCATGTAGCTTGAGCAATGGCAGACCCAGGAATATTTACAAGGGTGATCTTCTTTTTTTTGTTGGGATCAATTATAAGCCCTATTTTTAAACAAATATATATCAAAAGCAATATTTCCTTCATTTTAATGAGAGTGGTATACTTTTTGACTAATCTTGTATATTTCCTTCATATTAAAAACTATTTTCAGAATTCATTAAACATTATTTGAGCTAGCGGATAGTGGTTTAGACAAAGAACAATTTGAAGCTCAAGGACTTTGGGTCACAAAGTGGTTTAGTTAAGGAGAGTCCATATTTCAATATTTCCAAAGAAGCAACATCAAAAAAAAAAAAAAAAAAAAAAAAAAAAAAAGCAAAGTATATAACATTATTTGAGCCAAATCAAAAGCTAAATAAACCCAAAGAGGAGAGAGAGAGAGAGAGAGAGAGAGAGAGAGAGAGAGAGAGAGAGAAATTAGTAATTGAGTATTAAAAGTATTGGTTGTAGATGTGGGCTGCTTTCTAGGAAAAGTGATGGGCTATTATTTAATTTTTCTGAATTGAGCTTACACAACTAACCTAATTTGTCTCTTTGAATTGAGCTTACACAACTAAACCTAATTTGTCTCTCTCCAAAGTCTACACTAGGTTAGAGTAGCCCACTCTAACCCAAGCATGGATCCACCCTTGAGCTTGAGGGAAGTAATTAGTCCATATGCGTACTTTCAGTTGTCGTGATTTTACATGTAGTTCACTAATTGTTGCAATTCATACACAATGACTTTTTTGTCAAATTTTATTTACACAATTAACTCACGAGTGACTATATGAGGGTAAATTGCAATACTTCTTGAGTTGTAAACACACCAAAACATGCCTTTCACATTCAAATTTCATGAAAAATATGGTGCATTAGTAAAATACATAGGGTTAAATCATGACAAACTAAATTGACCAAAATGAAAGTTGACTACATAATATATGATAATGTTTCTTACTTTTTGAACTTTTGAAGAGTTTTGTTTTGGAGATAAGATTGCATGCTACCGTGTACGGTTAGCTAATCGCCAAGAATAAAGTATAAATGATGAATGAAACGTCCAGAAAATGAGTATTAATTTATAGGTTGTTGTAATCCTCATGGGATTTTACATAAACTTTCTGTTTCTGTCATGCCGCCATATTTTACCACGAATAATATTAAACTCCAGAAAAAGCACCGATCAAGCGAAGAGATTAATTCATGAAGAAATGATCATCCTCCCTCAGCTTGATGAAGAAGACAATGCCACATCATCCTTGCCCTAGATTGTTCTGGGTTATAACTTAGGCTAACAGAACTTTCGAAATAATTATTTGTTTCAACATTAATAGCTTAATTTCTATCAACGATTAGTATAACTTGTTTTGTTATTGATAGTCAAATCATCATTCCCTAAATACGAGCGTTTGATGTTAACCCAAAACTTAACTCATATATACATGTAATTCCAATTTCACCCTCCTTGATCTCCTCATGTAGGTTTTTTTTTAAAAAAAAAAATTTATGAACGCTCCTCAAGTAGTCTTTAAACCTTCTTTATTAATTATTCGAAAAACTTCTAAAAATATGTGAATAATTTTGTTTCGATAACTTTGTGTTGAGTTAATTGGACCAAGATTACTGCGCTGGAAACTACCACGCACAGGACTTTGACTAAGAAAATTCCCATCCCAAGTCCGAACCCTTTATCATTCAACACAGGACTTTGGTGTAGACTCTTCATATATCATCTTACAACTCCTTTTCTTTTTTTTTCTTTTTCTTTTTTAACTTTTATTATACAAATTATAATGGGGAGGGAAGATTTTTGGACCCCAAAAAAAAAATTTAACTAGTAGCGAAGATTCGAATACGGGACATTGGTGGGTGTATGGATAACTATTCTTAACTACGTAAATTACAAACTCTTTATTCCTTTATTTATATACTTCAAACGATTATAATTAAGGATGGTTGTAGAGATAATAACTATAATAACAAAATAAAATGTTTTTATTGATGTTCCACAACCAAAAGAATTTGAAAGAAAGAATGTATATGTATACATCTATCTACATTGATATCCCACCAGGGATTTATTCAAACACACACAATATTAAAAGAAGGGATCAAGGTATGATGGGATCATTTAGCCCCCATACACTTGACCTTACAACAATTTACAATTTTCCAAACGATTCTAAATGAAAGAATCAATAGTTGTTTGTATACTTGGATCGATCATAGGGTAATATATATCAGTGGGAGCTTGAAGCAAGCCCATCATTCAACGTTTCTTGGCGAAGACGCCTCTCCTCAGAGAGTAGTTTTGCAACCCTGCAAATTATAATTAAGTTAAAGTTAAACCTTTCCATTAATTAATTACTATGTCTATATATATTATGCATGTGGATTTAGATAACTGTGTGATATATATATATATATATACCTTCTAAGAGCCTCTTCATTTGTCTCATGATCAGAAGCCTCAAACCTGCCACTGTCCAAATTAACCCTGGAAACTCGTTCTTTCAATAGGCCTTCTCCAACTGTGACAAGACGGGACAAGTTCTTCTTTGTGGCTACATCCACGGAAGACACCGTCCCACGAAGCGTGTCGTCCTGCGTACACATACAAGTCAATATAAATATGTAACCCTAATCTAATTATCATAAGAAATTATATTACCATCCTTAAATCAGATGTTTTTCTTTTTCATTAAAGAGTACCTGAATTCGAAGATAGTAATCCTCTGAGTGGAGGGCTTGGAAAACTCCAGAAAGGTGAAGATCAACCATATCGGCACTTGCTTGACTGAACACATTGATGATTGGGGTGGAGCCACCGCTGGTTAACCAGTTCAAGAGGCCCCATTTGGCTGCATTATGTGCATTGTATTTCACTTCAGCTTTAGAAGTGCCAGTTCCTAATGATATCACCAGAAATCGTCCATATCCACTGGTTTCACAGGAAAGAAGTCCGGATTCGCCTTCTTTAATTCGTTTGTTACTTCACAAATAGCAAGTAAAGTCTGCAAGGGCAAGCAAAAGTGTTTAACATCAAGTTTACTGTAAATGAACCTTACATATATATAGTAAAATATTCTCTTTCCATAATATTTAATTACTCGTTTGTATATGTTGCGTTGTTAGACTACAAATCTGAACTTCACATTCAAAATGGTTCAAATTAACAATATGATAATATGAGAAGAGGATACTCTATTACTATTAGTACATTAATACTAATATTAATGGATCATTTAATTATAATACGCACTGGATTATTTGCAGCTATGCCACCATCTATGAGGTTAAATTCTCTAGTTTGTCCAAATTCGTCCTTGGTTTCAAAATAATGAGCTGGAAGAAAAGTTGGTGCTGCTGAGGTTCCAATGCATACGTCAGAGAGCAAGGCATCATAGCATGGCTTATGCCTTACCTGGTCAACCAAATAGAGCACATGTTAGATTATTATATAGGTAATTTTCTTAATTATTTATAATTAGACATGATGAAGAAGTGATGAAGTACCCTAAAGCTGGAGAAGACAGTGGGCTGGAGATTCTTGATGTCAAATGTGGGAATGACAACATTAGTCAATGTTTGGTGCATCTTTTTGTCGCCCAGTTTTTGCCTAATCAAGCCATGTAGATACTTGCCATCGTATTTTGGTCCTGTCAGAGCTTTGATGATCTTTCTAGTATAACGAAACAAAGGAAACCTGTCGTCCAAAACATTGAAACAAAAGTTATTTATACTGTGAAAAATATATATCCACATATTTATTAATTATGGATTAGTACGTACTTCTTTTGGGGGAAGATTTTAGGGCAGTGATTCATGTAAAAGTCGCTAATATCTTTGGCAGAAAACAGTGGGCGGTCATTCTCATTTGGGGTTGTGAGCATGGCCGTCACAAGACCACCTGTGCTTGTTCCTGCAACCACATCAAAGTAGTCGGCGATTCTTGCATCCTCACCGTCCAGCTTCTGCAAAACATCAAAAACATTAATATAAATTAGAGGGAAAGATATTCGAATTTTAGACCTCTTCGAACAACCTGAAGAGAAGTGACACTAAACCTAAAAAATGAAGACTATATAATACCTGAAGTTCGGATTCGAGGAAAGAGAGGATGGTTGCGGGGATAAGCCCTCTTATGCCGCCGCCATCGATGCTGAGAATTGTGATCATCTTTCCATATCTTGGGGGAACTACGATACTGTCGGTTCTTTCCATTGAGACGAGAGAGAGAGAGAGAAAGAGAGGTTTCTGATGGATGAACTTTGTAGGCTAATGAGAAGACTTAAGAGAACAAATCAAAGAATAAGTAGCTAGAGAGTTCTTGGGTTGGTTCTGTGTTGTAGGCTAATGAGAAGACTTAAGAGAACAAATCAAAGAATAAGTAGCTAGAGAGTTCTTGGGTTGGTTCTGTGTTCCCATTTTGAGAGATTTAGCGTTGCTATTTATAGCCTCTAATACTTAACTTGCTGGTGCATAATTACGCATCTTCCAGGAAACAACAGAAGCCCATAACGTTGAAGATGATGATCCGTCAGCTCAGCTAATCCTGTGTTAATCATAATTAATTTAGTTCTACTCATACTTTGTATATAGGCATGTGTAACACAAGAAAATTTAACTCCTATATCCTTGAGGCTCTTGCGTATTATGAAAAGTTCTTTCTGCATGAGATATTGACCTGGGGAGATTTGGGACCATTAAATTAATAAAATAATGGATAAACATGAAACAGAAGCGAAATTCAACGAATTAATTTAATCATATATTAAAAAATTATAGATTGTGATTTCGAATTTGGACTGTTCTGTATCCGGCAGGGGAAATAATCATTGAATCGTGCCGCCTCTTTTTATTCATTCAACAGCGCACACAAAAAAGATAGAAATACAATCTGACTATACCTTGCGTCAACCATTTGCCAATAGCCAATTCAACAATCAGCTTGACCCATTGATCGCCATGTCTCACAACTTCTTGTTACACATAAATATGAAACATGTAATCTACAACAGAACTTATCCAATTTTATTATGACTTGGTCATTCAACCTTTCTTGGTTTGATACATCAAAAAACTTTTCAAGTAATTTGTTTCAACACTAGAGATTTTTCATGCACGTGCACCCAAGTAATTTGTACCATTCTTCTGCCGGTAAAGATATAGGAAATTCCCCGACTCTCTCTCTCTCTCTCTCTCTCTCTTTCTGTTACTTGGGGACCATAAACTTGCGGCGTAAAAAGAACAATTTGGCTACGCTTCAACAACCATGGTCAGCAATATTCTCCAAACTGGGCCAGGCCAGGCCAGGCTCCATCTAGCAGCCCTGGGCTGGGCCTAGACCAGGCCCAATTTTGAGGCCTAATTTTGATGCCCAATTTTGAGGCCCATACCGTTAATTGAGGTAGAGGTTCGCATATCCCACAAGAAATTCGTCATTTGTAGACCCTTCTTACCGTCTCCCAACTCCTTTTTTATACTCACACTTCCCGTATAAATCGCCAAATTTCCTCCCGCCATGGAAAGCCTCCCTCCTCCCAACTTCACTCTTCTCTTCAATCCTTTTTTCTCTTGATTTTTTTTTCTTTCTTTTCCCCCAAACAGACCTAACATTCCCCGGAATCCCCAATTCCAAAATGATCCTCCGCCTCTGTTACAGAACCCGTCGCTACTGCCACTACCTCTTCCCTCATCACCGTCGTCGCCATAATCATGGCCCTTCATTTTCCTCTTCCGCTTCCGGAAACCCCAACGACCCCCTCAACAATCTCCAAAATTCCAATCAAGTCACACAGCCACTGCCAATCCTCCACCGCCGCTTAAACCCTCTCTCTCCTCTCCCCAACGCCTCAACTCTCCCTCGCACCGCCGCCATTGCCCTCTCCGCCACATTTGCCTCCGCCCTGATCGCCTCGTACGTCGTCGTCGCCACCGACTCCGACGACAAGCCGTCCAACCCTCTCTACGACAGCGTCCGACACGCCGTCCTCAAATCCACCGAGTCCTTCAGAAGAATTCTCCATCACGCCAAACAGACGGGCGTCGCCGCCTCCGTCCTCTGGCACTCTCTCAGCTCCGTCTTGTCCTCTGCCAACCACGAGGTCCGCTCTGGCTTCGAGCTTCGTGTTGCAGCTCTCCTTGCGGACATCGCCGCTGCCAATGCCAGCCGCAGGGCCGCCATTGTTGGGGCTGGAGGTGGCGCCGTTGTTGATTGGCTGCTCGAGTCGGTGGCGGTCCCTAGAGATGGGTGTGGGACCCAGGCCGAGTCGGCCAGGGCTCTCGCCTTCTTGATCGCCGATCCTAATGTGTCCCCAGCCGTGCTCGGCAGGCCTGGCGCTGTTCCTAATCTCTTGAGGTTCATTTTCTCGTGCCAGCCTCAGCCGTCTAAAAAGGTGAGCTTTCTCGGTTCGTCTCTGGAATTTCATTTGTAAGTTATGGACAATCGATTAGGCAATCAATTAACTGAATATTGGAAAGTTGAATTATTGGGATTAGGGAAAATTCGCACTGAACCTATAAGGCGTTGATTTTAGCGTTTGCGTTTTTGCCATTGAGTTTGTTTTCAAGGTGATAAAGACAATTCGTATGCTTTAGACAGAAACTTGCTCTGAGGCAATCTTCCTTTTACCATCATTCAAGCTTCACAACTGAACCTATAAGGCTTTGATTTTAGCATTTGCGTTTTTGCCATTGAGTTTGTTTTCATGGTGATAAAGACAATTCGTATGCTTTAGATATAAATATGCTCTGAGGCAATTTCCAATGACTATGGCTATGATTTTTATTTATATTTCTTTTAACATCATTCAAGCTTCACAACTGAGTTTGTTGATGCATTTGGTCTTGTTTTACCATTAACCAATGGAATTTCTATGGGAGCAGCGTTCAAGACATAGTTCACTCGATGTTTCTGAAAATTTGAAAGGCAGGAGCATGCTTGTAGCTGCCATTATGGATATCGTCACATCCAACTGTGATAGTATAGAAAAGGTGTCTTTTAAGCCATCCCTGTCAGGGAATGCTGAAACACGGGATATAGCAGCTGCCATTGAAGTTATTGAAGACGGTGGCATGCGTTTGGATGAGTCACATGAAAATGAAGATGATGAAGACGGTGACAGTGGAATAAAGGGGATTGGTATTAAGGTTCTTGGGGGTACATCAGTTTTAGGCCTATCAAGAACACATCCCGTTGTGAAGCTGGGGAGTTCTGATACTAGTGATTTGGGATTAACAAGGCTTACTACACAAAGTCTTGTCCTGCAAAATAAGCATGACAGTTCACTAGCACAAAGCAATTTGTCTTCTGCTGTTGTTCCTGGGCTCTGGGATGATTTGAATTGTCAACATGTTGCTGTTCCTTTTGCTGCATGGGCATTGGCTAACTGGGCGATGGCATCAGATTTGAATAGATCACACATACAGGAATTGGATGCAGATGGGCAAGCTGTCATGACTGCTTTAATGGCGCCTGAGAGATCAGTAAAATGGCATGGGAGTTTGGTGGCTCGCTTGCTATTAGAGGATCAGAATCTACCTTTGAGTGATTCTGTTTCTGATTGGAGTTCCAGTCTTCTTTCTACTGCATCTCAGGCAACTAAAAATGAAGACATTCCTTTGGCTAGGGTGGCTTTGTCAGCATTCTTGGTTTCTGTTGAGAAAAGCCCGGGAGCACAAAAGATAGTTATGGAAAAGGGTCTTCATCCATTGAGAGACACTGCTAAGCGAACTATGAAGCATAATCATGTGCAAGAAACATTAGCAAAAGCATTGGAATTGCTTTGTACTGGGGACTTGAATTTACCTCTTGAAGAGGGTCACAGGTGGTCTGCTGTATTGCTACCTTGGGTTTTTGGAAAATCTTCCTCTGACACTATACGTTTGTCAGCTATAAGAATCCTTTCTCGCATTCTCGAAGACAATGGACCGTATTCTGTACCGATTTCTCAAGGATGGTTAGCTATTCTGCTTACAGAAATTATGGCTTCCAAAAAGGCATCATCAACTAAAGGAACCACTCAGCCTAGTTCTGTCAAAGTGAAGGTCAGGATACTTTTTTCCCTTTCCCATTATTCTTTTGTACCTTTTAGAATGTTGTATCCAATTTTTCTTTATCCTTACACCATTCCAAGTCTAATATCTTTCTTGTAGTTGTGTTTAGAATGTGCAGTTGACATTAATTTCTTTTCCACAATTCATGAGGCTAAATAACTTTTGCAGACTCAAATTGATCAGGCGAACATGCTTTCCGCTGCGCAGAGTACTAACCAGTTAGTGGCAGCTGTTGTTAATCTAGCAGGAAATGCGCTTGGAACAACCACCAATTCTGTTGATTCATTTCCACTGGCAGATCTTCTTTCCACGGAACCTTTTTCTGGGACATTTAAAACTCTAAAGAAAGATAGTGTGCCTAAGGTTAATGTGGCAGATTCTGCAATGGCAACCCTGAAGGGAATCAAAGCACTGACTGAAGTTTGTGCTGATGATTCTTTATGTCAGGAGAAAATAACAGATTTTGGGGTTTTATGTTTGTTGAGACGGTTTTTGTTACGTGATGATTATGAGAAACTTGCTGCCATAGAAGTGTATGATGCTTCTAAGACGCTTGAGGCACAAGAGCGACCCTCAAATGTACCTGGAGAATCATCTATTTCAGAAAGTAATGATCCATCTAGTGTCCGGGTTCCACCTACAGCTCACATCCGCAGGCATGCAGCGAGGCTGTTAACTATCCTCTCTCAACTTCCGAAAGTCCAGAAAATCATCATAGCAGATGAAACTTGGTGTAAATGGCTTGAGGATTGTGCTAACGGTGAGATCTCAGGTTGCAGTGATCTCAAAACACAAAGTTATGCTAGAGCAACACTTATAAATTTATTTTGCGGTCGCCAAATTAATAGAGATTCTGCAAATGATGACATTCCTGATGCTGGTATTGCAAATGGAAACAAAAATTGTCCCCGGTATGATGACATGATATTTTTAATTAATCCTGAACTACCCCATTGGACTTGTCCTGAAAATAACGATCAACACACTGTTCAAATGGATGCATCCTCTTCGGATGAAGCTAGTTCTCTTGACAGTGAGGATAGGTCTGTTCCCAGATTTTCAAATGATGTTAACATATCCAGTTCTGTGGATGCATCTCACAGTGGTGCAAGCACAAGGGAGCCTCCTCTTCTGGATGTCGTTTTTGTCCATGGCCTCCGTGGAGGGCCATATAAGACTTGGCGCATCTCCGAGGATAAGTCATCCACTAAATCTGGCTTAGTAGAGAAGATTGATCAGGAAGCAGGAAAGCTTGGAACATTCTGGCCTGGTGAATGGCTTTCAGCTGACTTCCCTCAAGCGCGTATGTTTAGCCTTAAGTACAAGGTTTGTTCTGGTGATAGTTGTATAAAATGTTTTGTTTTCTAAGAATTTAAAATGACTGGTTGCCTCTCCATACACTTCATCCCATCCCTTTGAAGGTCCAATGGTTTTTGTTTCTTTTGTAGGCTGGTCCCCTCATTGGCATCTAACTCTTAGTTTGAATGTTTTATGCAGACAAATCTAACACAATGGTCTGGTGCTAGCCTGCCTCTTCAGGTCAGTGCTTTTGGCTGACAATTGAGGATTTCTATAAGGTGTTAATGGCATTCTGTTCATTCCTAGGAGTTAAGGAGTTTATTCATTTGTATGGTTTTATGCTACAAGTTAATTTTGGGCAATCATATATGGATGGGTCAACAATAGTAATCAACTGGTGTAGATGTTATTCACTTTTTGCAATTTCCCATTATCATGTTTTGTTTTTAAATTGTGCAGGAAGTTAGCTCGATGCTGTTAGAGAAGCTTGTTTCTGCAGGTATTGGGAATCGCCCTGTTGTTTTCGTGACTCACAGGTCTGTAAAGTGTTGCTTGTGCGTGCATGAACCTGTCGCTGCTTGTGTGTCAATTTTGGTTTTCTCATACATTAGTCATCATATTTTTTAAGTTTTGTATGTGGTTCTCTTTCGTGTGTTTAGATGATACTCGTCTTTTCATGCATCTGTTGCATCTTCTTTTCAGTTTTGGGTTCTAGCCTTTGACTGATTTAAGGATGTCTGAGAGGTCTTGTGTGCTGTTATAAAGTTTTCCGATATCCCCAAAAAAATGAAAACTAAAAGAAGCAGGTGCTGCAGGAAATATTTTAATTTTAAATAAGCTTTCCGGCAAACACCAAATGCGGTTATGTATGCTACAGAGTCTTACAATCCAAGGATATAATCTTTTAGAATTGTCTTCCTTTTCTCCCCTTCAAAGTTTATTGCAGTAAATAACACAATATTATTCTTTATTTTGGCATGCTCTACTATGTGCTCGGTCTTACTTTCAGATAGGCGTCAGCAGTTCATCCTGCAAGATGTTCTCCAATTTATTCTATTATTTGTTTGCCATACTATGTTATGTAATGGGGCTGGGATCAGTTATTTTATGGTAGCTATTCGCAAGGGGTTGGGATTTTGAACTGGCATTTATTCTCTAGCTATGAGTTTCATGAGTAGATTATACAAGGTGGTCAAAAGTTGAGCAGGTATCGGGTTTTGATTTTTGATTTTTTGTTAAAAAGGGTATGGAGGAAACATGACTTGAAGTTTGTTTATAGTTCACAGCATCTTTTTTATTACTAAGTTTTTAGAGAATTTATTTTATATGTAGTTTTATATTTTAATGCAATAATGTACCAGCTTTCTCTTCTTTGCAGCATGGGAGGTCTGGTTGTTAAGCAGATGCTGCACAAAGCAAAATCAGATAATCTCGATAACCTTGTGAAAAACACCAAAGGAGTTGTAAGTGACCCTCTATAATTAAATATTTCACTTACACTGCAGTTCTTTTCTCACTTATTAACTATCATTTTTATATAATAACTCTGGTGTTTTATGCTGGTTTCAGGTTTTCTATAGCTGCCCACATTTTGGAAGCAAACTTGCAGACATGCCTTGGAGGATGGGACTGGTGTTTCGTCCGGCACCAACTGTTAGTACATGATCTCTACAACCAAGAAGTTTTAACCAAATCATTGGTTCTCAATATTTACAACAAGCAATTCTTATCGTATTAATGTTAATTACTTGTTGATGTTTCTCAGATAGGAGAGCTAAGAAGTGGGTCTCCAAGATTAGTAGAGCTTAATGACTATATCCGCCACCTTCACAAGAAGGGGCTGCTTGATGTCCTCAGTTTCTGTGAGGTAGTCCAAAGTAATGTAGCTGTTCTTTGTGTCAATGTGTGTCTTTGTGAGCTTGATAATTAGGCAGTAACTCTTTTTGCAGACCAAGGTAACTCCAATTGTTGAAGGTTATGGAGGATGGGCCTTCCGAATGGAAATTGTACCAATTGAATCAGCATATCCCGGATTCGGTGAACTCGTTGTAAGTATGATTGTGGACAACTATAAATCACTTCAAAAAAGTTGAGATCATTTTCCGAAAAATTATTTATAATGAGCTAAAGCATTGAAATGAGACATGAATGAGATTTTATATTTTTTTTTTTTTGGTCAACCATGAATGAGATTAGTTTAGGTGTATCGACTAACTTTCTTCCAACAGTAACTGTTCCATATTCTACATGTCTGTTCCATTTTTGTCGTTAATTTTGTAATTTTGGAACAGGTATTAGACTCAACGGATCATATAAACTCTTGCAAACCACTCAGCCGCACTGATCCCTCATATACAGAGATACTAGGGTTCTTGTGGAAGCTGAAAGCCAAATACAAGAGACAATAGTGTAAAGAAAGCATGCCTCAGAAATTGTGTTCAAGAATCATCCAAATACCGAAACCAGACCTCACCGGTGTTTTTTTGTATTGAATGTGGGTCTGGTCAGGTGTCGCCACACCGAGTCGCACTGAGTCACATCGAGTCGCACCTTGGTGGAAACGGAACCAAAAGCATATTTTTGACATGTGAGAGTTAGCCAGGCATTCTGTATATCAGAAACTATTCTAACCCGCTTTGATCAATTAGCGGAGTTGTTTATGTACGCTAGAATTGTCAATTGTCATCCAACAGAAGCAGATAGGGCGGATTCTTTTGTACATTATCATCCAGAATCTCCACCCTCACAAGTTGTCAATCTTTAACCATTATTCTGTGTACTCATTTTACATTGTTAATATACTTTGTAGAGTAGCTAGCTTCATGACAAAGATGTTGTATCGTCATGTCTGTACTCTCAAATTGTTATACTAGTGAACAATTTTTATTGTAAATTACTCGAAGTTACTATAATTTATGGAAAGATGGATGAAATTCGAACGCAAGGGGAACAAATTCACTGTTGTGCTCAAACAGTGAAAAAAAAAGTAGTTGGTACTCAAAAGGCAATAGATTTTATAAAAACAAGTCAGATAATTATTTTTTTCAAAGTAGAGTCCTTTGGGATAATTTGGTGGATCATATATATTTAAGCACCAAACATTTAAAAAAGAAAGAAATGTTTTAACTGTGGTTTGCAAGAGTTTATATATATTAGGTACGTGTACAATACGTGTATTGTATATTTGCATCTTAAAATATGTGTATTTTAACGAGTCTTTAAGAGGTGTATGGAAAATAAAGTATTATTAAAAATATATACGTACGTATATAATACAAGTATTAAATAGAAAAATGCTAAATTTTTTATACAAGTAATAACTCTAAAAAAGTAAAAAATCAAAAGGGGATAATAGAGACTCGGGTAATGGCCTAATGGTAATAGATAACGCTCTAAACTACTCTTATGGATAAACAAAAAAAAGAGGCCCCAGTATAGCCGCGCGGCTATAATATCTATTAAAAATAATTAAATTAAATAAAAAAGGTGAGTCTGAGTCTGAGTCTGTGTCTGTGTCTGTGTCTGTGACACTCATAAAACGAACTCTGCATTCTGCAACGCAATGTGTGCAACGATGTCGTTAATGGTGAAATCGGTCTTAGCATCAATGGCTTACGCCGTCTTTTCACCGCTTCATTCGTTGAAGCCCTCAACAGTTTTAACGAGAAACAGTCGTCGAGCCCTGCCGCTCTGTTGCTCTGGCTCGAGCACCCCCGCCTCCATGTCTACGCCTCCGCCGCCAATTTCGACGGCTAGCACAGGTACGGCGCCGCCGGTTGTAAGGAGGAGGATGAGGTACAGGAAGCAGTACCCGGGAGAAAGCAAAGGCATCACTGAGGAGATGAGGTTCGTCGCTATGAGGCTCCGTAACATCAACGGCAAGAATTGAACGACAACGACACTCAGTCTGAGGAAGACGACGACGATGACGGTGATAATGACGATTATGCCCCCGAAGAGAACAATAGTTCAGAATCAGATGTTGATGGTGATGGGGGTGAGGCGGAGACTTGGCGGCCCAGTGTGGAAGGGTTCCTCAAGTATTTGGTGGACAGCAAGCTCGTCTTTGACACCGTCGAGCGCATTGTGGATGACTCAAACGACGTCGCTTGTCAGTCTCTTTCTTTTGTGTATTTGATTGATTTCATCTTCATAAAGTTATCGTCTTTTTGAAAGGGAATTGTGTGTTTTTCAATTGTAGATGCCTATTTCAGGAAGACTGGATTGGAAAGGTCAGAGGGTCTTTCTGAAGATCTTGAGTGGTTTAAACAACAGGGTATGGTGATTCCAGAACCCAGTAGTCCAGGAGTTTCTTATGCCAAGTATTTGCAGGAGCTTGCAGACAATTCTGCTCCATTGTTCCTCTGCCATTTCTACAACATCTACTTTTCACATATAGCTGGTGGTCAGGTCATTGCAAGACAGGTAGGTACTTTTTGAGTTTTTAGTATTTTAACTCTTCACCACTTCAAAGTCTTCAACTTTATATTAATTGTTCTGAAATCTGAGGTGGTACTGCTCAAGTCATTGTCTAGTTTGAGCCCATTTCCTTAAACCATGGGATTTGTATGTGGAAAAGATGAAGTTTTTTCTTGTTTTTTGCTAGGACCAAATGAACTGACTAATAAATATTTTTATTTGGATACTGGAATTGGTAATTTTAGGTATCTGAGAAGCTCCTGGAAGGAAGGGAGTTGGGATTTTACACATGGGAAGGGGATGTACAAGAGTTACTGAAAGGTGTTCGTGAGAAGCTCAACAAGCTTGGAGAGGTAAATTCCTGAGATGCCATTTGTTCTCACTGTGCTTGAGTTCTTAATTGGGTTACTTCTTCTTAATACTTAAAACTTTTGGACATTTTTGTTTTGTGATTAAAGCACTGGACTCGAGATGACAAAAACAAATGCTTAAGAGAAACAACGAAGTCATTCCGGTATTTGGGGCAGATAGTTCGTTTGATCATCTTAGAGCTCAAGTAATCTCAAATCAACAGCTCAGGAGGTCGGTTATTGGTAAGGCTGAATTTCATTTTTTGTTTCTTTTTTTTCCCCTTCCTTTTTTGAGTTCCTCTCTGAATTAAGAGCTCTGGTCTGAACATTGGTTGCTAAATTTTGCCATACATTTTCTGGTGCCTTTGTTTCAGAGCGTACATCATCACCGAGGGCGGTTTTCTGCTCTGAGTACCAGGAAGCATGGTTCTATTGTGGTGGGCTCATTTTTGTATAGAAGGTGAGGTGGTTTGTTCACCAGAATTAAGACAGCCGGCTTGTAGTTCATGTAACAACATCGCATCGCTAATATAGAGACAACGCTTCTTGTTGTGAACCTGTCTTCAGAAGAAGGGTTGCGCTGAGCACAAGAAGCAGATTCTTTTTATGGTTTCAGATTTTGAATTCCTTGTAATGTCTTAGTCTAGGGATGATCTTTGAAAAAGTTGAGCCATAATGATGTGCATTCTGCATTTACAAGCAAGAATATTGATGAACAACTCAATGAATTGATATTTTATTTATTTTATTGATCTGTGTCGTCTGCATGGATTTACATATTGGTTTCTTGGCCATGACCTGACATAAGTCACTAAACCAGAGCCAGCTGCATTACTATGCTCTTTCTTTATAATTTTTGTTCCTTTTTTTCAGTTTTGTTTAATTCTTTAGATAAATTATCTACTGTTATCAGATTTTAAAAATAAAAAATAAAACTCTCTACTGTTGACTATGAGAGTATGAGCACGTGCTTAGACCAATTTAGAATCTAGGTCAAGTGGGAAGGAAACAATTAAGTCAAACAAGGTATATTTATATGTAGAATGAATTGAATTGAAGAGGAGTTGGATTGAGGAGAGTTAGAATTTGGATTTCCATTGATGTTGTTTACTAAATCATATAGAATTGGTGTAGGAGTGGTATTGATTCCTTATAAATTGTTTACTAAATTCTCATTAATCGGAATTGAAATTAGTTTAATTACTAAAATGTCTTTGTTGTTGTGTTAAAGTATATGACAAATTTGGAATTTTAAAAATTGTGTGAGGATATAATTGATAAAAAAGATAGATTCATGATGAGTTAGTTCTTCAGGAATTAGAATAACACCTCCCATCTAAGAGTCAAATTCCTCCAAAATCGAGAGTTAAATCCTGACTTTGCATTTTCATTTCTCCATGTGAAGTAAACACAGGAGTAATCCGTAATCGAAATCCAACTCTTTATTTTGATTCCAATTATGGATTAGTAAATATATCATAAATTAATCGATAATTTGTGGTCTGTAGAGCCCAAGAACGTGTCCCAGATCAGCTTATCAACGAATAAATCCTTGTTGGTTTGATCTTCTCAGCCTCCTCAACAACAATAATATTATAGTTAATTAGCTAGAATAAGTAGAATTATCATATTCTATTTGCATTAATTGTTCTTGCGTATTAATAAGTAGTATGCACAATCTCTCACACTAGGGTTCAAAATTTCATGAGCCGCACATGGTATCTAAATTATTTTTTCTACTAAATCCACGAGAAACAATGCAACTGTGGGACAGATTTCAATCCCTCAAAAATGTGTCAACCGACAACCATGAATCATGCTCCCATCAAACTATACAAACCCGTCCTGCTTGGTGGTCTAACTCGTAAGTGTTACATTACTCTATACAACTACTTGGAAGTGGTAAAAAATTCGAATCTCATCTCTCTAATTCAAAAACTAATATATGAAGTTATGTGTGTGCCCAAGCATGCAAAATCGTTTTTTTCGTTTTTATAGAATGAATTTATTAGTCCGATTCATCACAATTAGTAAACACTTTAACGAGAACGGGAAAATGAAAATGAGAGATGAATCTAAATAAAGCAACTAGAATAAGAGAAATATTCTCTAATGAAAATACCTTCCAACTCTCGTTTAAGTAAGCAAAGCCAACAAGGAACCAAGTTACTACAACTGTATTTTCTTTCCTTAATTGAGCCACAACTCGACACCAACTGGTATTGAAACGCACATACAGAAAAATAATATAAAAATACCAATAACAAAAGAAATTTGGAAACTAAACCTTGAAGCTAAGAGAAGGAAGGGAAAGAGCGTGCTGTGTTGTAAATGTTGTCGTTTTTCACGAGGAGAAAATTAAAAACAGGACGTAACGTAACAGGCACACCTTTCTTTTCTGTTCTTCTCTTCTTCCCACCACCTTACTCTGTCCCAAATCCAAGCTCCACTTCTGAAGTTGTGAGAGAGACAGAGACAGAGACAGAGGCAGACAGAGAGTGTGTTTTTGTGGGACGAAGAAGACGAAGCCTACTCAATGCCGATTTATCTTTCTTCTCCTCACAGAATGGATGATGAAGAAGAAATCTGTTTCTTCAACAAGGTCCGTAGGGTTATATTGGTCACTCTGTATATATGTGTGTGTGTGTAGCTAGCTCCCTCTCTGTCACTTTATCATCCAAATATTTTTTTTTTTTGGGAATTTTATTTTGATTTAATTAGTGCAAGTATTATACACTCTCATTGTCATTGGTATAAATCACACTTGTCTGAAATATTATGCATGAATGTTCCAATCTGATCTTTTCAAGCTCTGACCACTTCTTTTGCCTTCTTTTTCTCAAAACTTAACAGCAGAAATTAGTAGGAAAAAAACCACCAAATTCCCATTTAAGCTGTTATTTCTTCTTTTCTTTTCTCTTCTTTGATGGGGAAGCTTAGATGGAAGCCACCACAGTATGCTCTGCTATCACTGTTACTGTTAATTTCTTTCGTCAACTAATTAATTTCACACTTATCAATTGTCATGCTTTCTTTATTATTTAATTACAGGATACACTTGTCATCAAAGCTCCCAAGAAATCTCCACTGATACTGAGGATGGTGGTTCTACTTTTTGCAATGGTTTGTGGAGTTTACATTTGCTTAGTTTGTTTGAAGCAAATAAACACTGACACCAAGACCAAATTCTTGAACATCATAGCCATTAATCACCAAAACCAAATTAATCAATCTTGTCAAGTTCCTGATCTTGAGAAATCCGAAATCGGCTATGTTCATTACCCAAAACCTCAAACATTCAAAAGGTAATTTGTGTTTGAAGTTACGTGCATGGTGATGGTTTCAACAAATTAAGTACGAAATTGTCAAAAATGATGGTTTTTTATTTAATTGATGGTGTAATTACAGGAAGGAATGTGCCTGCAATCCAGTACGGTACTTTGCCATATTGTCAATGCAGAGATCCGGGAGTGGATGGTTTGAAACGTTGTTGAATAGTCACATTAATGTAAGTTCAAATGGGGAAATATTTTCGGTCCGGGATAGGAGGCTTAATGTATCTTCAATCTTGAAGAACATGGATAAAGTTTATAATCTGGACTGGTTTAGTAGTGCTTCCAAGATGAGTGTAATGCTGCTGTTGGATTCAAATGGATGCTTAATCAGGTTAGTTGACTTTAATTGATAATGCTTTGGACAACTACTGTAGCAAGTAGGTGGATGTCAATTGTTGATGGATTGTAGGATCAACTTCCATCAACAGCTAACAACCACTCACGCACGCATGTGCATGTATGTATCTAGATATGATACAGGAGCTTAAGATGAATGGTAGCTAAATTATATGTATATATCTTGGTGCAGGGTTTGATGGAGAATCATGAAGAGATAGTGAAGTACTTCAAGAAAAAAGGAGTGTCTGCAATATTCCTCTTCAGAAGGAACTTGCTCCGCAGAATGATTTCTGTACTTGCAAATTCCTATGATAAAGATGCTAAACCACTGAATGGGACGCACAAGTCTCATGTCCATTCTCCATTGGAGGTTTCAACTCTCTCTCTCTCTCTCTCTCTCTCTCTCTCTCTCTCTCTCTCTCTCCCCTTGGACTCCATAATCTCATATCATCCCAAGTCCTAACAAATAAATTCAATTCAATTGCAGGCTGAAATACTAGCAAAATACAAACCCAAGATAAATGCGACATTACTATTCGAGATCTTGCGCAAGATGAGGAGGCAGCTGCCAAAGCTGTAGAATATTTCAACACCACTCGCCATATTGTTGTTTACTACGAGGACGTTCTCAACAACCGCACTGTAAGTTACCCTTTTGTTTATTATATATGTGTTACATAAAATAAATACACTTTAATCATTGATAATACAAATGTTTTATATTTTGCAGAAACTTAATGAGGTTCAAGACTTCCTTAGGTTGCCCCACAGAGAGCTCAAGAGCCGTCAGGTTAAGATCCACACGACGCCGTTATCAAACCAAGTTGAGAACTGGGAAACTGTTGAGAAAACACTCAAAGGCACATCGTACGAGACTTTCCTCCATGCAGACTATCAACTGCCTTCTTCACCACAATCTGCACTAATTAATTTCACTTGAGAAGAGATTGTCATCAGAGTTTATGTACATAACCCACTTCATTTCACAATTCTCCAAATTTTCTCATCTCAAAAATTTTGTTTATTGAATTCTTTTTTTCTTTGTATATTTGTCAGCAGAATTTTTTTTGTAAATTCATTATATTAATTGATTGGATTGTGTAAATTCAATTGCTTTGCCCTCGTTGGTCTCTCCAGTACAATTGGAGAAATTTTGAATTTTCTTTTTTCTTCTAATCTGAGAGAATCTGAAACTCCAAATTCGCATTACCAATTTTCTGTACAAATCTGGCAACTAAAACAATCAAATATGTGCAATCTTAACATACAAACTTTTTTTTTCTTTCTTTCTTTTCTTTCATTGCTATCTAAACGAAGGGAACTACAATAATGTTACAGATAGAACACAAGCCCAGATCAGCTAATTACTGATCCATCACTTGCTCCATTAACAGTTTTATCTGTTTGTCGAATAACAAAGTGATCAACAATTTTAACGGTATTTAACGGATCCTGTTGAGCGGCGGCTGCACTCCACTTGCTAGGAAACTTTCTAAGGTGGCTCATTTGTTGTGGCTGTCTTAGCTCCCTATCCCATTCGGGGTCTAGCTTCCACTCTTTCGGGACCTGCATGTTTTAATTAGATTTAAACTCTTAGAAGTCCCAAATACGGCACTTGAAATTGAACAGGCATCACATTCTTACCTTATCAACTGCAAGAGTGTAGACTTCAAGATCACCGTCACTTTTGATGTGGAATCGGGTGAATGACTTGTAATTAGCAATTCGGAGGGAGGAGAAGGCTTCATCAAAGTGTATGTGAAGCCAGTTAATGCAGATATATAAGTAACTTCCAAATACTAAAGAAACTACAGGAGTTGAGAACATCCAGAAATAAAGGAAGACGGAAGCATAATAAATTATGGCACCCGCTCTAGATAGTGATTCCATCCCATTCTTGCATATATTGTTTCGGGTGACAGCCATAACCTGAAAGATTTCTTCATCGTCAGAATGCAACAAAGAAGAGTAAAAATAAGTTTGCAAAAGAGCTTTCCATACCTCTGGAACATCAAATGCGGACATGAAATACTTGATGCATGCTGGATAAAGGCCAAAAGTCCATTGTTCTATTCGAGCTCGAAGGCCAGTTGGATCTGGAAAGTGCTCACTCTCCACCGATCGGTACCACTGATATAAAGTATGATAGCCTGAAAATTAAAATTTTCATCATCAACATACAATCCAACAACATAATTTGCATATTTTCCCTCCTACCATTAACATTTTGGTCAGACCCATGCTTACACCATCATATACATTGTATCCCAATGTCGTATGGCTATCTTTTTAGGCAATTCTCAACAGAAACAAAAATGATTGAATTATCTGAAAGTTAAAATAATAGATGAACAAATATAACAGGCAACGACAGAATAACTGCCAAGATCATAAATCACATTAGTATACAGGATGAGAAAGGTGTGCTTCTTCTCTGTTCATGTAGGTCTTGAAAATGGTAAACAAGAGACTAAAAGCTGACCTGAAGTTCCCAGTAGTTTATGTTGGATACACATCTCAACACCCAGTTCCAACAGTAACATAAGAATCAGTGCTGCAGCCAGGTGTGCAGACACATGAAGAACTCCAATCATCAATCGTTTCTTCCGAGACACTTTAGAGGGGACAAATATAATTGCAACAATTAGCAATACCACAGCACCTGCTACAGATACATAAGACTGCCCCAGCATGTATACAAAAGCATTCCACACTGTTCCAAAGAAAGACCCCATGTGGCCAGAAAATGAATCATCTCGCAGGATATGATCAAGCTTACACTACAAAAACAAAAAGCAAATTAGAGTTGTCATCTCGCAATAACAGAGTATAATCACATTACCCCAAAAAACGAATGGTAAACAATTTTGCAAGCTCTGAGGAAAGCAAAAGGACTAGGATATCAAAGATTGGTAAGGTACGCGTTATCTCAATTCCAGAGAGAGACAAAGTAATGCAAAGCCAGGGTAACTGTCATCAAATAATAGCAAAAAATCAATCAAAGACTCACCTGTGGAAACATAGAAAAGACCAGTAGGAAGTATATAATGCCACCAATAAAATCAAATTGCCAGTTCTTCTTTCGAAACTTTAAAATATTTCCTAAAGCAATCTGCACATGGACCAAAAAAAAAAAGACTCATTAGAACCAAGAGTTGAGAGGAAATAAATAAACAAGTGAACTTTCTATAGACACCCTGACAGACAATGAAATTACAAAACTTCAAACCGAAACTTGCCCTGCTTGAATCTTCAAATGAAGGATAAGCAGCTTTGCTCTCATAAGAAGCTCCATAAAATTTCTTAAAATTACTAAAGGTGTGGGTGGGATGTAGAAAAGCCCCACCACAACCATTTACAAGTAAATGTTGCACATGAACTGGGTCCTCCGTTTTAACAAATGAATGACGCATATAATGATGCAAATCTCCAGCCACTCGAAGCTTACATCTCCCTTTTAGATAGTCGCATATCAGGTGTGCAACATTCTTTCCAGAAACATCATTCCAGTACCAATCAAGAAGCCAGTTTGGTTCGTGTGTCATGATAATTACAGAGTCATCATCTCTGACCTAGAATAACATGATGAGATGAGAATGTTAACTACAATCAGAAAAAGCTTGGAACTTGGAAAATTGGGATGAGCAAACAAGTAAGAAGCTTAACATCATTCATCGTAAGCATACATAGGCGAAACCCTATATATAGGTTTACATGCATCAAACACAGGTCTAGCTGTCACATCAGCAAAACCCTCAATTCTATATGACATTTCTATTTTTATAAACAGGGGAAATAGATATGAATTCATAACAAGTCTAGTGGAATTCTGTCCAGTTCACTATTTGAAAAAGAGAAACATCAGTCTCATCCCCAGCCAACGTTGTGCTTGTGTAATGTCAACCTTAGTAACAATCAAAAGTGCCCTGTTTACAATTTTGGGTCCAATTATTCACAACTCCAAAAATTTAAAATAAAAGGCAAAGGACCAAAGAAACTACTCAGAAAATATAGCATAACTTGACACACCATGGCCATTTAAGGGAACCATATCTATAAAAAGAAAAAGAAGACAAAACCTAAAAAAAATAAAAAGAAAAGAAAAGCAAACTTAGAAATACCTTGTTCTTTACTAGTTCTGTAAAGAATTTGAATTGGTACACATCAATATCACCGTGGAGTGCGAGATCAAAACCAAATACCCACCATCTTTTTGGGAGTTGCAGAGCGAAATAACTCTTCTTTTGAGGCATAAACCACCCGCCCAACCAGCTTTTATGGCATATATACCTCATGAATGTATTAAGTCCATCAAACCAATCTGTAATGGCAAGAAGAAAGAATGAATATTTACTACACCTATATTAACACTCTAGCTTTTAGCAAATTCTCTCTTTTTCTTTTTTCTTTTTTGGAAAAGAGGGGGGGTGTCGAGGATGAGAGAGAGAACAAAAGCCAACCGTGGTTGCCAGGAATGACAAAACACTGAGGTCCATCATATTGCTTCAGTTCAGACACACCACAAGGTAGCTCAGGCTTATCTACAGCTATATGCTCTTGTTTAGACCATGGAGGGGGCTGGAGAGCATACTCAAAAGGGCAAAATAGACGCCTTTCATAAGTGAATGCTGATGGATTAGGATACCTAAACCAGAACCATGACATAATTACACACATAACAGATATTCAGCAAAATAAAATATCATTTGTCAGACAATGGCTGTATGATAAAATTCTAAATAACGAAACAATGATTAGAATTAGAGGTTGGGGTGCTCTTTAAAAAAAAGGTCCAAATGAAACATAATCGGCATGTGCATGTACAGAAAAGGGATGATAAACATCAACAAAAACTTCATAGATTGGAAGCTTCAAATGAAACATCAAGGGCATATGCATGTATTTAGATAATTATCACTATCTGTATCAAAATTTCAACAGGGAGTTGTTTCAATGAGTAAGGCATAAAGTAGACAGCACCAATTAAGAAGCTAACCAATTGCTCAACTGGTCAGTGATATGGTTTAATCAGAGCAATTGGTGGTGGTGGTTTAGTCACAGTTCTTATTGAAGTTGTGGATGAACTTCGCATTTCCCACCTTAAGCATCAGTTTCCATAGTCCACAAAAAAACAAAACAAAAATCCACCAAACCTACACTAGCACTAAATGCCAGTAAAACAAAGCTCGGGATGTTTCTAGCCTTAAACTTCACCCAAGGTGTTGAAACAGATATTTGGGGTTTATCTATAATGGCTAGGAAATTTGAGACTTACAAATTAATTTATTAAGTTTTATGCAATGTCAGACAGCAATACTGATGAAATACTTTCAGGTGATCATTTAAACCACAGAAGAAACCTCGTGAAATCATTTCACCTTTGCGACAGAAACAAATATCTATATAATAATTGATCCCTCATGCCATATTGTTAAACATAAAGAAGAACTTTCAACTTACGCAAGATCCCCTCCAATCAGGAGTAAGTCGCCACGTGGTAAGTGCAGCATAGAATCATCTTGGTTGATGTTAATGGAAGGTTGAGCAAGGAGCCGAGCCACAGTATAAGATGAGTTTCCACCATCGCCAGTATCAGCCATAAAGTCAAACCACAGATCATCCTTCCCAACAAAATTATCATATAAAACATCCTTTTGTTGAGCTCCATCATGGACCTTGTCCATTGCTGCCTAATGATTCGAGACATAAATATGTAATTACATCATGACCTTTATTAAGATTCCAAACCAAAGTCCATGACAAAGTAAATATTAACAAAAAGGGAGCTCATTGGCAACAAGGAACATAAAAGTATCTGCCAGGAAGTTGAAAAAAGAATAGGTTTATTAGAGTACCTAGCCCCGCAAAATTATTTCTATGATGAGATCAATTATTTCATATATGGTTCAAGATCAAACAACAGTTAAACACAAAATTTTCTTCTTTCTGATTTACTAAATAAACTTATACATGGATTCTTTGAAAGAAAAGTTAATAAATAAATTCTTGAATGGTACCATATACAAAGAAACTAAATGTTTCAAGTGTATATTTGACGGGTGTCGAAAATTTCAAGAGGATAATCTCAAAGCCAGGGAGAAAATAGTTTAAGTTACTAGAGCAATACAATGAAGAAAGTACACAACATGAAACTATGAGATTACCTGCATCATACGCATGTCAAAGCGGCCAACAAAGACAGTTACTGATACCAGGAGATCAAAGACAGTCTTGAATAAATCAGCTGATGTTCTGCAATACATACACCAGCAAAGTGAGTACAACTCCCCCGAATACGAGAACAGCAAGGAAGAGGAGGGGGGTGTGGTGTGTGTGGTGTGTGTGTGTGTGTGTGTGTGTGTGTGTGTGTGTGAGAGAGAGAGAGAGAGAGAGAGAGAGAGAGAGAGAGAGAGAGAGAGAGCATATACCCTGAATACCAAGGAACCATATCCAAAAAATCAGGCTTCATTTGCTTCTCCTTCGACTTCTCATATTCTTCAACAGATAGAGGGTGAGTAAGAGCCCACCTATTTATCAAAAAAGATACCATTGAATGTAAAAGATAACAATCAGTCATGGTTTATGCATCACAGAAAACATGTTACAATTCACCACTTACCCTGTTGACCTTTCCACCACATAATTAGCAATGTAGAGGCCTATGAATGTGGCCCATAATGAGTATAATGGGGAGATTTCATCCGATGAACCAGCACATGAACCATTGCATGCTAACTGTGAAATGAAAAATTAATAAGCATATAACACTAAAAATACTACCAACAGAAGAACACTATAAAAAAAATTAGGGTTGTTCTACCTGTACCTCACCATAAATGACCCACTTGGACAAAAGTGGATAATCACTCGCAGACCCAACTGGAGCAAACCAAGATGAGCAGACCTGATCTTTCAACTCATTCATTCGGAGGAATTTTGAAAGCCATGTGTTCCTATCATCGTTCTTCCAGAAACTAAACCAAGAGTTTTTTCGTTCCAGTGGTCTATCTCTCAAAATAGCACGGTTGCCACAATGACTATAAAACACACAGCAGGCCACACTAAGAACCTACATGAACAAAAAATGCATGAAAATAATATCCAAAGCTTATATGTTGATGCATAAGCATTTAAGTTTCTTCTGTACTACATGCCAAGTAAATACAAACACTGGAAACATGATAGGGAGGTAGAAAAAGTGTTATTATAACTTACAGCACAATTTTGGAGAATTGTCAAAATTGCTGGCCTCTTTCCAGCTACACGTGACACAAGACCAACGTACCAAAGGCCAAGAAATATAATGTGGAAGAAAAGAAGAAAGAGAACAGAAGTGACATATACATTAAAACCCAAAGACAGATTCATCCTCATATCAACTCCCATTGATTGAAAACTAGGAAGATGATAGACAGCCGCCACTAAAATCCAGGCTATATACCTACAAAAGCAATTCCCATTGTTAAAACTTGTATAGACTCTTTATACGTCAGTGTATGGGTTATGTACATATATGTGAATGTGAGATACTGCAAAGTACAAATGCACTGACATAGGATTCAGAAAAATTTACTTACCACCGACTGAAATTTGAATAGCTTGGTTTGATTGTCTTCCCTATAAATGGGGATGAAAAGAAATAGAAGAAACCCAGCAAACATGCATACATAGACCACCATTTAATATTGTTGTCTAACTTTTCTACAAGACTATTGATGTTGTCGGACGAGATAAAAAAGAGGCAACCCACAACAACAGCAATTACAGCATGACGGGAATGTTCGTGCGGATAAGGATATGTATGGGTTAGAATTGTCCTAACCCTCTCCATTCTTAAAGTATCTAGAAAACCAACAGACGGCGTAGTAGATCCCATCAAATGAACTTGCACTGCTTCAAATTATTATAAATCAACCACACCACAAGTGTGCCAGAATCACCCACAGAGAATAACTCCAATATCCTGAGCAGAAAGATAGATGACAATAGAAGTAAATAAAAGATCAAAATAAACAATTTACTGATATTGCATATTGTTCAAGTATAACAAAAAGATACTCAAATAAGAAACATGCAAGATCAATTGACATGGGAATTGATGTGGAGAAAGCAGCTTATCATCATTTTCTAGTCAAACGCTCTGGGCCACTAAGCTCATGCATATCCTATGAAAAGAACAAGCTCTGGGCTGATAATGTCTTCAGCATTACAAGTTATCTATATAAAAATATTACCATATTTGCATCCCAGAAGAATTGCAAAAGCAGAGAGAATCTAGTTTTGAGTTATACTAAACTTGGTCATATATACCCATACCACCACACACACAGCAGACAACTCGACTACATTGCTGTTAAAAACAACAAAACACCCGCTTCAGTCAGAACTGAGAAGTAGCCCAACTCATTAAAACTGTCAACAAAACTAAACAAAGCGCTCTAAGATCTTCAATGACTACTGCAAATACAAAAGAGCTCAAACGACAGAAAACAGAGCGCCAAAAAATAGTAACGACCAAATAGTCACTCAGAAAAGCAACAGACACCAAAACGCAAGCAACAAACATTGAAATAGAAAATTCGAAAACCATCTGCAACTCATTTACCCAGACGATTGTACAAAGTTGAATTCAGCGCCAACAAACAAAAGGGTAACCATAACTCCATCAACGGAGTACTAGGGTTTGATTCAAAAAGAAAATTCCAAAACCAAAACGAACATCGAAGCAAAAAAGCAGAAGCAATTAATCAATCAAACAAAAACCAACCTTGCGAAGCCGAAATCAAAGAGCAATTGATCCAGCGACAATCACGAAGAAGAAGAATGCTTCGAAACTCTGAAATTGAAAATTTGAAAGAGAGGAAGGAAAAGGAAAGCGTCGTGCATGAGGAATTAAATTCTAAGAGAAAACGGGTTAAGTAGTTGTTGGGTTCTCTCTCTGTCTCGCAGGCTCAACCGACTTTACATTTAAGAATGTCTGCGACGAGGAAGGACAGAAGCATTATGGCAACGGCATATTCGTTTTTGCGCCAAATACCACCACCACCACCAGGATTAATATTGTGATTAAGCCCATTAATCACTTTATTAGCTCTAATTAATCACAGGATTTAGGTTTGGCAGCCGATACCGCGTCCCAACGACCATTGACAATTGGGCTGTGGCTTGCTTTCTTCGGGTAGGTTGCTTCTGTTTTGGTTTTTCCTCATTTTCCTCGTGCCCCTCGTTTAATTTCATTTCAGAGTCGTTAACCGTTGCGTTTGACTGACGTAATGATAAGTGGGCTTGGGCTTATTGTATTTTTTGGAGATAAGTTTGGGCCTATTTGGAATATTCAAATTAAAAGCCCAATTTGGCTCCGACCCGACATAAATATTTAAAAATATAACATATGAGAGAAATTATCCTCTAATAATAAATGCAATAAAGTAAAAGAGTACAATAGATAGCCAAAAAAAACTTATCTCAAACCCAAATATGAAAAGTATGGGCAATAGTGTAATCTTAAAAAAAGATTTGCATACTAATTGAATATTTTTAGTGCATGCATGGTATAAAGCCTCAAGCATACTAGTATTGATTAGCATGTTTATGTTGATGTACTAAATATTGAGGTCATGTGTGTGTTGCTAATCCATATGATAATGTTTTATTGTTTCTTATTTGGGCCCAAAATGAAACAGTGTTTTCACCATCATGGTAACACTGCTTTACTATCTACAATTTTAAAAGAAAGGTTTTTATTGTGGTTTTTTGCACACACAATAATAAGGTGTCATGGAGGTTCGAACCTGAGACCATAGTCTGCAAATCAAGGTTCTTCTCACTATGCTAGATTTCATTGGCAAAAGAAAATAGTTTAGTTAAAAGATACAATAGTAAAAACAAATCTTTAAAAAATAACATGACAAAGTTCTCACCTTCAACCTTTTTTGTGAAAAAAAGTTTAGGGGAAGGAGAGACTACTCCTACATCCAAGGCAAGGGCAAATCTACGACCTAGAGTCGGTTGAACTGATGCAAGGGATCATTATCCCCCTTGCCCCCGATATGGAATTACACAAGACATTTTCTAAATTACCCACTAACATAAAACTACTGGCAACGGGTATCAAACTCAATTGGGACTCAACCCACAACTCACACCTTGCCAACTGAACCAAACCCATATGTTGGCACCTTCCTACCTTTTGAGTTGCTCTCTCTGGTTTCTTTTTCTTATCTTTTCATATAATACCTAAAAGGATTATACATAAAATAGATCAAAATGCGGTAGTGGAATATAAGGAAAGTTGGTGAGCTAGATGTAAAGTCAAAGTACTAAGTTTAAGATTCAATCTAACACTCAGGTTTAATGAAAACCATATCTTATTAGTAATATAATATTCTGAAGAATTAAAAAATAAAATAAAACAAAAAAAGGTATCAAGTAGGTAATATTATAAGTTTTATAATGTTTTTGTATATAAATATAGTGAATTTTGACATTCACAAACCTTTTTTTAAAAGAAATTGAAAATAAAATGATACACTTGGAGACAGAGTTGACGAATCACTCATAGATTTTACTTTATATAGATGTGCACCAACATATCAACAAATTTAATGAATAAATTTGATGAAGTTAACATAATATTATACTTGCCCCTCTACATGCGCTTCGGCGCCTACAAGAGGCTTTTTTAAATTTAAAAAAAATATATTTTAGAATTAAAAAAGATAATGGGTTGTTGTGTTCCATAAAAATAGGATTCATTATCTGATTTTGTTTTAATTTTTAATTTTTTTACTATGAAAAAATGTGAATTTACCATATTATCCTTATTTAATTAATAATTTCAATTCTTAATGTTTGAATTAACCAAGGGTATTTTCTGGTATTTTGAATGTTTCATCATTCTCTGTCTTTTGCTTTATATATATAGATATACTAGCCCCTTGGCACATGCTCACGCATGTGCCAATTGGTTTCCTTTTTTATTTTTTCTTTTATTTTTAGAATTAAGAAAAGATAACATGGGTAGTTATATTCCATAAAGTATGACCTATTATCTGATTTTGTTTTTAACTTTAATTTTTTTTAATATGAAAAAATATGAATTTACCATATTATCCTCATTTAATTAATAATTTTAATTTTTAATGTTTGAATTAACCAATGGCATTTTCTGGTATTTTGAATGTTTCACTATTCTCTGTCTTTTGCTTTATATATATAGACTAGCCCCTTGGCACATACTCACGCATGTGCCAATTGGTTTTATTTTTTAGTTTTTATTTTATTTTTAGAATTAAAAAAGATAATGGGTAATTGTGTTCCATAAAAATAGGATTCATTATCTGGTTTTTCTTTTAATTTTAATTTTTTTAATATGAAAAAGTATAAATTTACCATATTATCCTCATTTAATTAATAATTTCAATTCTTAATGTTTGCATTAACAAAGGGTATTTTCTGGTATTTTGAATGTTTCACCATTCTCTACCTTTTGCTTTATATATATATAGATATATAAACAAAAACGAAAAAGCTAGCAGCAGCTCAGTCAAAGAAAACGGAATCTCATAGCTCCCTTGTAGTGCTTGCTTTTCAATCCAAAAGATTCCTTATCTCAGTTACATTTTTGCGTGTTGTTTTCAACGGCTAAGATTTGACAGCTCTTGTAATGCTCTCTTTCAAGTTGCAACAAAAGGTCTAGTTGGCTGATTTGCTGAATTCCCCATCGCCCATTTCAGGGAAGAAGAAGTACTTAATCGATCGATCACAGTGCTAAGGAACTGACAGCCTCCTCCATTTTCTAGCCAATGCATATTGGATGGTGGGACTTCCACGACTTTAGGAACCAATCCCTTCATTTTCAAGAACCCTTTTAGTCCTAGGGATTTTAGTGAGGTTAATTCCGGTTCGAAAATATTTTGAGTCTAAACGTCAAGTAGTGTTTTTAATTTACATGTTAAGATACAAAATAAATCGTTGATACATATTATAATATGAATGAATTGATAATACTATATAACGGTGTTACAGTATTGAGTATTGAGCTCAAAGTAGAACGGATCTTTAGAAGTTTGATTTGAATACTAGTTTATAATCCCAGATACGCTATAAGCGGCTGGTGTGGATGTGTTTGTGGGGTTTGAAAGCTTGCAGACCTTTCTTTTCCTAGCAAAAACTATAGTTTTTTTCTGACAAAGTTAGTGCGCACTGCGCACATGGCGAAGAAGATCGACTTGCAGACGAGCACTTTAAGTAATGCCTCTCAAGATCTTTGATTAAGGTAGACCAAATCTTAATTAGTTTAATTATATTCATTTGGTACACTAATTAATTATTGATCACCATTTTTTGTTTTGGAAAACCATGATTGGAATGACGTTTACACCTCCATTGGTATTTTGTTAATTCCTATATTTTATTTCAAGTGGCTTTTCACGCGTCAAGTTGTTTCCCACCCGAGCAAAATTTATATCAGATACATGGTGATCTCGTATTAGGGCTATTTGGAGGGCTTGGAGTTGGCGAGAGAGAAATTAATCATGGCCAGCTTAAGTGCTCAACTTAAAATGGAATTGGCATTACGTACGACACAGTTTCAAGTGTACTCGTGGAATATTAAAGATTCAGTCAAAAGGAGCTTAGCCCCCCTAGCTAGCCCCCACACGATATCCTAGTTTGATTCTTATCATTATAGCTAGCTAGAACACCGGATGTATTCAAATGAGATTTTAATATATTGTAATTACATGATTTTAATATAATGAATTTTCGTCGGATTTGTAATTATATAATTTTAATTCACTTAGAATTTTACTTATGATTTGAATAGATTGCAATTACATGATTTTACTTATATTTTTATACAAGCTTGAACTTTATCATCCAACATCATTCACACAAATACCTAACCTGAAGGCATATGCCATTACACTATATACAAGGAAATATCATGATTGTGGCATGAGAGCAAGTCAGAGCTGAATCAGGAATGTAAATAGAAAATCATCACGAATATATGTGAAGTGGTCTAGAGTGTCACCCAAGTAGTTATGCCTTTACACCAACTGTTCTTGAAAAAATCACTTTGACAACTGTTTGTTTCATTGGTTTAAATTTTCAAACAGTTCATGAGTTCAGATTTTGAAAAATTAATGTTATCTGATGACTTCTTAACATCTGTACCTTTGATATTTTCATCCCCAAAGAGCAGGAGATTCTGAAAAAAGTATCGAAAAGATAAATTTGCTCCAAATAAGCTTGTCTACAAGGAAAGAAGAGCCATTGGAAAATGCCAATTAACTTCAGAAGAGGCAATATCTTCTCTCTTGTTAATGTGTCTTTATTGTCTCTCTTTTTTTGTATAATAGAAAGCAAGAAAAAATAGTGGGAAAAAAGAAGAAGTATGACAGCATATATGAGAATCAGGCATAAGAGGGTGGGATTTGTTATGTGATTTGGTATTTATATCACACACTCAAAAGTCTCACACAATCCACTATTTAATGAAATACATTAAAATCAATAAGTTTTTGAAAACCACGGTACTTTTTCTTATCTTTTAAAAGTCCTAATTAAATACAACCGGACTTGTATTGATTATTTAAAAATCATAATTGAATACCACCAGACTTTTATTGATTACTTAAAAATCCTAATTGAATACGGTTGTACTTTTAAGCTTCAAACAATCCATTATAATTTCAATTGAATACACCCACTAACTTTCGCACATAGCTTAGCTCTTTACATGTAAGAAGTCATTATTCCTCATTGAAAAATCATTGTCCGATACATATGCTAAATTAAATTATTGGAATTACAATTAGAAAAGTTTATGTACGTACATGTCAGACAGTATTTTCATTAACTTACACACAATGTGCCTGCTCTACTACTGTAATAAGACTGTTGGTAGCTAGCTACTAGCTCTCCAAGCTGCGGACGCAAGTTGGGTTTGAGCAGCAAAAATTAGATTTGCAAGGGGCTAAATCCCCAGCTTCCAACAAGCACTAAGTATGTATAAGTCAAATGTTGGTTTCATACCAGAAACGTCTCATCAAACCCCCGGCTAGTGGATCTGGATATTTCGCACCATTTAAATTTCTTCCTTAATTTGCTCAAGCATCAGATAAATTTACTTCCTAGAGGAAAGCTTAATTACTGGCCAGTTTAACATACATGGGTTATGCATGGGGCATGCAAATGAAGGAGTGAAAGATTATATTAGATTCTCCAAAGCGAATCTTTGGGGAACATAATCATTTTCGCGTTTAATTATATGTAATTTTCTATATATTTTCAAGTTTTTCACTTCATTACGCCAACTACTCTCCCCCATCCAAAACTCTATATAAACCCTCCACTGCATTCAGCTGAAGCCACAACACACAAACACATCACTTCTCTCCTCTTCTGTCTCATTTGTCTTTCTGAGTTTTTCAAGTCTCCCCAGCTTTCAGAACCTGATCAATATGGCCAATGGCAAGCTTATGTGCGCCAGTGTTTTTCTTCTTGTGTTAATTTTCTCTTATGGGATCATTTCAACTGAAGAAAGGCTGATGAGAACAGATCTTACAAACCAGGCAATATTACACCGCAAGGTGTTAGAAAATGAAGTGGCTGCAGGCTCTGCGCCACCAACGCTAACCTACGAGAGTGTTCCTGACGATAATTATCGACCCACAACACCAGGGCACAGTCCTGGCGCTGGCCATAACGCCGGCCATTCTGGTGGACCTGAGTAGGGCCAAACCAGTAAATTAATTATTTAATTATTTAATTATGGTTCGATTAAGTTAATGATTATCATGAACTGTTTGTATTATTATATATGCATGAATAATTTGGTTCAGGTGAGTATCTTATAATTCTTATGTTATGTAATTGCTTTCCTTTGTGTAATTTTGGATATGTAACCGATTGTATCAGTTATAGTTAATAAAGTTTGATTTTATTTCCCATGCATGTGTGTTACTTAATTTTGAGGATAGAAGTTGACATACTTTGTATCAATGCAAACTATTTTCTGTGATTTTTTGAGCATTTATATAAGCTTAAGTTTGTAAAACACAAGGATGATGAAAATGAAAATCTTTTACAAATGGGCCGCCGTATATATTGTTAAACATCATTGAGTTAGTGGAGACTATTCATGAATAAACGGAGCACTACCAAAAATTATTTGGAGAACAAATTTTGGCAAACAAATATGATAAGCGCAATCTTTCTCTTCTTCCTTTGCCTATGTTACATAAATGAGATCAAGGTAACATTTCTATTTAGACCGCCACATCTCTAATAAAAACAAGACTATAAATAAATGATTATTAAATGTGGTCCAAATAATTTTCGAAAATAAAAAAACTTGACTCGTTAAAATTGAGGAGACAAACTCCTCCTCAAAACAATGGCTGCATTTTGTAAATTTGGAATTAGTAATAATTCGTTTGGATATATATTTGCATGTGGATGTCTTACCATATTTTATGCGTTTTGAGGATATCTTACCATATTTACATATTACATTCAATAATGGTCAGTCATAAACCAACTCCTTGGCTAAACTCTATAAATACCTAGATTACACTCAGTGCAGACACATCTTGATCATCACCTCCCTTCACCCCTCTCTCAACTTTCAAACCCTAATGACCATGGCCAAGCTTATGCTTCTTCTTGTTGCACTGATTTTCTCTTATGGAGTCATTTCAACTGAAGAAAGATCATTGAAGAGCGAAGAGGCCTATGTGAACTCAGAGCCTATAAAACCACCCAGAAAAATCAACAGACCTCCTAACCATATTGGCAATGTTGTTGTAAACTTAGGCAATGAGCCTGCTCCACCCAGATTGGTTTATAGCATTAAAGAAGAAGAAGATGCCTTTCGACCCACATCACCAGGCACATTCCTGGTGTTGGTAATTGATATCTGTGTAATGGACCTCATGTCAGGTCATAATAAAGTTGGATTTTCTTTTCCCATTGGTTAAGTTAAATTCAATTAGTTACATTTCAATGTGAGAGAGTTTGAGCCAGACCGAGGGAGAACCTATATACATAATGGGCTTTTCGAAAGAAAAGAAAAGACATAACCTTGGGCTCTTTGTGGGGTTCCCATATGTGGGCCAGTAGAGGTCCACGATACCATAAACACAGACTTGTTTTATTTACCCAAAAAAGAAAAGAATTCTGGAACACTATATATGTAATCAACAAACTGCTGCATGAATGCCAAATCTAAAATTCTGAAGCGTTTTCAGCCTATTTTCTGGTAAACTCCTTCCTGAGTTCTTAAAAAGGAGAGAGCAGCAAAGGACCACTACACAGGGAGTAGCAAAGGCCCGCCAATGTAGTGGTTTGGAGTAAGTGCTCTTTATACAAGATTCTTGATTCGAATTTTAGCATTCGTGTAGTGTGTGTGAATTTAACATATTATCGTCTCTCTCAATATAAAAAATTCTCAAAAAGAAAAGGGAAAAAAAGAGAGAGTATTAAAAAGCTAACATCCTCTTAAATGAGCCTGTGAATTTTTCTAATAGTATTAGTGGCTAGGGAATAGACTTCTTCTTGAGTGATTTTATGACCGATTAAAAAAACAGGAAGTCAACAATAGATTTAACCATAAATGTTAAGTATAGATTAGTGATAAATTTGCTCATAATTTCTACAACTTAAAGAATTAATCCATGCTTATTGGGTTTAGTAAGTCAAGTAAACACTATAAATATTAAATACCCAGCATCACATTCTATTCTAGCCACACCTCTACCCTCTCCTCTCACTCTCTCTCAGCTTTCTGAACCCTCAAAATTTTTGTGCTCATTATGGCCATGGCCAAGCCCAAGCTGATCTGGGCAAATGAGTTTCTTGCATTGATCTTCTCTTATGATATCATTTATTCAACTGAAGCAAGATCGTTAATGTTGAACACAGCAGACCCAAATGAAACACACCAGATAATTTTGTCATCCAAAACCAAAAAACCAGATGACGCAACGCCGGCTTTGCCCTCAAAATTAGGTTACACAACTGTTACAGTGAAAGAAGAAGATGCCTTCCGACCCACAAGACTAGGCCAGAGTCCTGGTTGTGGTAACTGACCTACTGGATATGTTTTTATTTTATGATAAGCGATAGAATATCATTGATGTGAAAAAGCTAATACAAGAAGTTTGAACTCGTATCAAGAGCAAAGGAAATTTCTTGATCACGAGTTACAATCCTCGTACAGTACATCAGAAATAAAATCAGGAGGTTCCTCGAACCAGTATAGAGAACCCTCGATATGCAAGGCAAAATGCGCTAAACGATAATCCACACCATTGGCAGTATGACGAATATAGGTAAAACCTTCTCTAGTTACCTGTGTCAGCAAGCTCTTGGTATCCTACACCACTAGTCCAATGACAGACCTATCTATAGAGTTACTTCGAAGTGTTGTAATGATCTGAAGAGCATCACTTTCAAAGACAACATTTTAAAAAACCCATTTCCATCGCGAATACTGTATTTACTGGATATGTTAAATGCGAATGTTATAAATCTCATGTGGATGTTATGTTATTGGAGAGCATCACTTTCAAAGACAACATTTAAAAAACCCCTTTCCATTGCGAATATTGTATCTACTAGATATGTTAAATGTAAATGTTATAAATCTCATGTGGATGTTATGTTCCTGGAGAGCATCACTTTCAAAGACAACATTTTAAAAACCCCTTTCTATCGTGAATACTGTTCCTACTGGATATATTAAATGTGAATGTTATAAATCTCATGTGGATGTTATTTTCTTTAAATAAATTAAGTTAAATTTTATTTTCCTATATATAGTACTTTTCGGGGTTCTAGTTTTAGTATGAATTTTTATCATTGATTGCCTGTGTGAAGGAGGTCATTGCCTCCTAAGCCGGCTTTACACGTGCAATGTGATTTTCTCATTTTTCTTATTACTTAAAAGAAAAGTGAAAAAAACACAAAACAAAACTCCTCACGTTTCCTTTCTTTTTTTAATATAATAAAAAGAAACTATTCGAGCTTAGTCAAATTGATTAGAGCATATGTAATTCTAACTATGTACTCGAGTTTAAATCTATTTCGTAATTTAAATTAAATAAAATGAAAATATCATTTGTATAAAAAATAAATAAAATACTATTAGTTTACACGGGAGAATATAAAATTATGAGTTATTTGTTCCACTCATAAGAATATAAAATTACGTTTATTATAAATTTATATTCCAAATCATGGTTCAATCATCATTTTCATCACAATTTAGGCATAGCCCACATCCAGAGCCCACCCAGCCCTTAACCCGCCCAACACCAAGGCCCAAACTACCCTAAGCCTTGGAGCTGCCATGTGCCAGATGTACACAATAATTGCTCGACATAAATGCTTGAACTAAGATAATTATTATGTTACCTATAAAGTTGACCATACATACTTTGACTTTTAGAACATGTTTATTTACTTAAAATGTGTATTGAAAATCGATTTATACTTTTCCTTAAAGTATGTGGCTCCAACATTAAACTCCATAATCTAATGCCCGGAATAACCTAAAAATAAGATTGATCATGAGTTAATAGTTGATTGCTTATTCATTATTCTATCTCGTATGTTTCACTCATTCATTCCAAGTAAACATGTCATTCGAGTGTTTGAGATTTAGCACAACTCCTTTCTCTAATCGAACAAATACCTTTATATTGCTTTTTAATCATTTTATATCACTCCTTAAGATAAAGAATATAGGAGTTGACGAGGACAAATAACATATTCACCGAATTAATATTTAAGAAAAAATTAATTACACGAATTAATATTCTCATAGTTGTTGATTCTGGCTAGCATTTTCTCTTTATAAATCTAATTCTATTTTTTTTTCCCCTTCTGTTATATTCAGTGCCCAAAAAAAACACACACGCAGCAACAAAAAAGGTAACCTCAGAAATTCTGTTCCATCCAACAAAGCTTTCCACAAAAAGGGCCAAACTTTTGTTTGGGGATCAAAGATCTCCTTCTGGGTTCCCTGACCTGTACTTATCCATATTTGGTAAAAACCAAGATTATTTTTACCGCAATAAATCTTCACTGAATTAAAGAACAGATGATGACGTCACGCGGTGAATTCGACGTTTAAGGTAAGTTGAATGAATGAGAATCTAAAAGGCAAATCCAAAGCCCAAAGAAAATATATTTTTTTTAAAAAAGGGAAAATAAAAAACAGAAGTAAATTAAATTTAAAAAGGAATATTTTTTGTAGGAGGGCAAAACCGAAAGCAAGTGCAGCTGGCGGCGGATCAACAAAAACAGAGTACAAAACCACAACTGAGTCTCGATGCATATCTCATATCTATATCAGTTGTGTGACAAATCCAACGGTGGAGAACATACCCTCACCGTCTGATCCAACGGCTTAGAAAACAACCGCGTTTTACGAAGCCAACCCATGAATCCGTCATCCTCAAAATAAATCCTCCCTCTCCCCCCGCAGTCCAAAGCTCTCCCTCTCTCCCTCTCCCTCTCTCTAAAAACTCCAGATTCGGAAAAACTCTCTCTCTCTCTCTCTGCAACTCCAGAAGTCGTTCTCGGATTCATTGAATCTAACTTTCTTTTAAGTTCGAAACTGCGTCGTTTTAAGGGAGGGAGAGAGAGAGTGTTTGTGACGATGCAATCGAACGGCCCTGATTCGTCGGTGCAGCAGCAGGAGCAGAGTAATCAACGGCCGCAGCAGCAGCAGCAAGCGGCGCAGACTCAGCCGCCGCCGCCGCAGCAGTGGATGGCGATGCAGTACCCGGCGGCGGCTATGGTAATGCAGCACCAGATGATGCCGCCTCAGCATTACGCGACGCCTCCTCCGCCGCCACCTCAGCACTACATGGCGTACCACCAGTACCAGCAGCAGCAGCAGCACGTACAACACCTTCAGCAGCAGCAGCAGTTGGGATCTAGCGGCGAGAATAAGACCATCTGGGTCGGTGATTTACACCATTGGATGGACGAGAATTATCTCCACACCTGCTTCGCTTCCACTGGCGAGGTCCAATCTCTTCTCTCTCTCTCTCTCTCTGTGCATATTTATATGTACATGTACACGTCTATATATATTTCTTGTACACGATTTTCATGTGTCTATATATGGATTTTTTGACTGGTAACGTGGGTATTCGTTTAAAAGATGAAACTTTTATTTTGTTTTATTGGAAAAAGTTGGCATTTGGATTGAAAGTTGGAAGCTTTGAGGTTTCTGCTTAATTGGGTTGTAAGCATTTCGATGTTTGAAGGTTGGGTTTTTCTGATGTTGTTTGTATAGTGTTTTTTTTTTCAAATAATTTTCGTTTTGTGTGTGTTGGGTTTTATGGGTTGGAATATTTATCTGAACTAGATTTGGTATACATGACAAAATGTTAAAGGTGTAGCCTTTTGTGAATGAATGCAAGTGTTAAGCCGAACACAATTAGTAAAGGACTAAAGAGGATATGCAGTTTTGACTTTTGAGAGTAACTTGTTACTGAAAAGAAGAAGGCATGGTTATAATTGTATGCTATTGGAAGTTTTTTTTTCCCCTTTTGGTGGCTCATTTTGTATGAGAATGTGCAAGAACATTATATGTCTGGGCCCTTTCTCATTTGGGTGTTTTGAGGCAATTATGAAATACGCGAGCTCTGGAAGTCTTTTAGATGTGAAGGTAAATCATGACCATGAATCTGTATTACTATAATAGTAGAATATCAGGCTGGGACCTTACTAGTTTACTAAAAATGTAGAGGAAGTTGTTGAATTTAATCCCAAAAGTAAAAAACTGAAGTTTATATTTTGAGTGTATATGTTGGTCAACTTGTGGGTGCTTGGAGCTTCGTCTGGCTATTTCAATAAAATAGAACGGGCAAGAACTTTGGTCTGCTCACTTCAATCTTCTGTTATATTTTCTAATCAAATACATGCATCGACCTTCATAAGACCTGGTTCTGACAGAAGGTATATTTAGGAAAAGTTATGTTTTTTTGCCCGGTAGGAAAGACTATATTTATTTCTTTATTACTTTCTTTATTCTTTTTTCCCTTCTACTTTCTTTATGAAGCTTGTAGAATTTTAATTCATCACATCTCTTCCAATTAATTGAAGACTAAAACTGTTCTCAGCTGGAACATATTTTTCGAAAACAAACTGTCTTTTATTTCCCAGTTAAACTGATTTCTTGAAAAAAAATTACCCACTATTTTTTTACTGTGCCTTTTTTCGGTAACACAATTCTTATGTCATGTAGATTGCCTCCATCAAGGTTATTCGGAATAAGCAGACTCTTTTATCAGAGGGCTATGGATTTGTAGAATTTTTTTCACATGCAACAGCTGAGAAAGTTCTACAGACCTATACTGGCATTTTAATGCCCAACACAGAACAGCCCTTCCGTCTGAACTGGGCAACATTTAGCACGGGCGATAAGCGTTCAGATAATGCTCCTGATCTTTCCATTTTTGTAGGAGATTTAGCTGCAGATGTTACAGATAGTTTATTGCACGAAACTTTTTCTAGTAAATATCCGTCTGTTAAAGCTGCAAAAGTTGTCTTTGATGCCAATACTGGCCGTTCAAAGGGTTATGGTTTTGTGAGGTTTGGAGATGAGAATGAAAGGTCACAGGCTATGACTGAAATGAATGGTGTTTATTGTTCGAGCAGACCTATGCGCATTGGGGCTGCAACTCCTAGGAAATCATCTGGATATCAACAACAGTACTCTTCACAAGGTATTTAGTTCTACTTTTTGATAAGAAGGTGTGTAGTTCTAGTTTTTGATAAGAAGGTATTTGGCTCTGCTTGCCTTGTATATTTGAAATTGAACTTTGTTACTTCAAATTTTGTGTATATATTGTAAGGCTTTATAAGAGCATCTGGGTGCTGTAGTTTTACTTCTGTTATGGCAATGAGCAGCCAAGCTGTTTATCTCCTAACATTGTTCATTTGGTAAGTACAAGCCTGTTTTCCCATGTATTGCACATTAAAATGATATCTTTCTGGAATAGTTATAGTCATCAACCTTCTTCTTTTGATAAGCTATTCGTAATTTTCTTGTCCTTTGTGATCTATTTGTCCACCACCCGGGTAGATTTTTGCATGTCCAAACTATGATTTTATATTGTGAAAGAGGCAATCTTTGCATAACCATGGCTTGAATGTTATACTCTTTTATCTGATTATATTTTGGTTTGGTTTGTACAGGGGGATATGTTTCAAATGGTACACCAACCCAAGGGTTCCAATCTGATGGAGATTCTACAAACACAACAGTGAGTCTTTTAGCTTCTCATGGTTTTAACCAATGGAGACTATCTTTCTTTCTCCCCTTGGCTGACTTGTGTGTCAATTATAGATATTTGTTGGAGGGCTTGATCCTAATGTTACCGATGAAGATCTCAGGCAGCCCTTCTCTCAGTATGGAGAGATAGTCTCTGTTAAAATACCTGTTGGAAAAGGATGTGGTTTTGTACAATTTGCTAACAGGTAAACAGTTGGTCATGATATTGCTCTGCAACATTAGTGGTGGTATACTTTTTATTTGACAACGAGTTGGCACATGGTCCTTTTGATCTCATGTAACAGAAATAATGCTGAGGAGGCATTGCCGAAACTGAATGGCACAGTAATTGGCAAGCAAACAGTCAGACTTTCATGGGGCCGCAATCCGGCAAATAAGCAGGCATTGTTTCTCTCTCTCTTGATAAACCCCATCCCCAAAACAGAACCCACCTTTGTTATGTTTGGTTGTTTTTTATGAAGTACAATTATAAAGCCCCTGCCATGCCATTAGCGTGGACATATCTTTTATCAATCCTTGCTAGGGTAGTCTATGCATGTTTCACTGTTATAATATGATCGTCTTCTACAATAACACAATTGAAAAGTGAGAACTCCTGTAGTTCAGTTATTGCTTAGGAGACATTATCCAATATTTGTCAATAACCTTGGATGCCACTCATTTTATTAATATTATCTGCCACCAGTTTCCTCTTTTTCTTTTTTTCTCACCACTTTGTTTTCCTTGGTTTTGATTTTCAGCAGTTTAGAACGGATTTTGGCAACCAATGGGCCGGAGCTTACTATGGAGGACCTGTTTATGACGGTTATGGTTATGCTCTGCCACCACATCATGACCCAAGCATGTATGCTGCAGCCGCGGCTGCATATGGAGCCTATCCTGTTTATGGCACCCACCAACAACAAGTAAGCTGAGCCAGCAGCTACTCCTGTGCTGTAAGGCAGGTACCGACAATGAGTGAACCGAGCGAACTGCATGAGTAGTTTTAGTAGTCAGACTTGATGACAATAGAGTCTCTTATTCTGTAATTTGCTCGGGTCTCTGGAATTTTTTATAAAATCCCTCTAATTGTGGAGTGGAGCTGAATTTTGACAACTTGAGGTAGGTATGTAAGGATTTGGTTGATCATTTCTCTAGAATTACGTAAGTTTAAGAGAAACTTATTCTTGGATCAACACATTGACATGCCCCCATGAATTGAAAAGGTGCGAGACAATCTTGGGCATGCTTTTGCAGAAGCTGCACTTCTGTGATGCTATCTTGTGGTGCGTGTGCTTTGAATTGTCACCAAACCTAGTGTGGATCAATGAAGCATGCCTAGGAAACTGTCAAACAGAAAAAAACATTAGTATGAAGCTTTTACTTGGGCCTCGGGAAAACGTAAATTGTTCCCGAAATTTCGAATAACCGACACATCTATAATCCAGAGACTCTGGAGAATGAGATGGGGCTAGCTAGAAAATGCAGGTATATTCTTGATAATTAGAAGCAATAACTTGGAGGACAGGAAATAAATATTGAGTTAGAGCATAATGTGCGTAGCATGTGTTAATGATAATAGACAACAACTATCAGTCTATCATCATTGTGCATTGTGCAGGTCCCAAGCTTTTATGTATATATTTTACAGCTGAAATCAACGTACGAGGGGCCATATAACGTTTAAACTCACTCAAGAGTCATGTATCGTAAAAAGCAGAGAGTTTCAGAAAACACATACAGGAGGATGCATATAATATATTAGGGTAATGGAGCTCGCAAGTGTTGGAATCATGGGGCGCACAACACCCCAGGGTTGGGTTGGGACACATGGGGACCAAAATTTAGCAAAACACTAAGTAGTGGACGAATTTGATACGAAGGGTACGGTACGGAGACAAATATAAAAAGACTAGTGAATTTGAAACTCTTATTTTAGCCGTCTACACTTTAACTTGAATATCTTATTATTTTCTCTGCACTCGTTCTCAATCTTCAAACTTATTTATGCAACAACATCAATCAAATTGGTAATCATTTGATTAAGTATTTTTAATCAAAATATTTAGTTCTTCTTTATTTCATCATATTTCTGAGACTAAACGATTTATAATTTAGTTGATATTTTGCATAGATACACAGTTCCATCATCAATTCACGTTGCAAGATGAGAAAGAGATAGGAGGTACAGGGGTAAATGTAACGTTTTTTCTTCAAATTTTCCGATGTGAAAAATTCAATAAAAATACTTAGGCAACGGTGGGAGATTAAAAAGCAAGGAATCCTGTCCGAGCATTTTAAAAAAATCGCATATAAAAAAAAAATGGCGTGACTACGTGCCGCACAATCATTGCTCAAAAGACAAGCACATGACAGGAAGCTGATTGGTTGGATGCTCGGAGGACAGGCCACAGCCATGTGAATCCATCCAAGAACTGCCATGCGTCGCATATATGCATTTCCACGTGTCATACTTTGGCCGTGTGGGTCAGTTAACTTAGAGCATCTCCAATCGATGTGTCAAACGTGCCACATAGACATTTAACAGCTAGAAATAACATTTCACATTACTCCAACCGATGTGTCAAAACTGATGTGAAATGAAGGTTGGAGGTTGAGATGTTATTTTTGACATATGAAAAGCAAAATGTCAAATGAATATTTTATTATTATTTTTTCTTTTCTTTTTAATTAAAAATGAATCAACACTAAAATGTAATAAAATAATAATTTAATTTGACATATCGGGTGGAGTATAAAGCTATGTAAGATGTCAAATTGCCGCATCAGCCATCAAATTTAAATTTGATGTTTGGTATTTGACATCTCCCTTGGAGATGCTCTTACAGGGGACTAATTTATAATTTCAGAGGCTAAGCAGAAGATTAAGATTAATTAAACTAATGAATAGAATAATTAGATTGCCATACTCATATGGTAATAGCTGGCCTTGTGCGATCCTCTCTGCGCAAACACGTTTCCAATGGCACACCTTTCTCTTTCCTCTCTCTCTTCTGCTTCCTACTCACCTTCTTGTCCGCTAATTCACCGGCGAATCTTCGCGGTTGCTTCTAGAATCCAAGCTTCTTCTTCTTCTTCTTCTTCATCAATCTCCAATTCGAATTCGACCCCCAAAGTCGTCGTGACCAGAGAGCACGGCAAGAATGGCAAGCTCATCAGCTCTCTGGTATGCGTTTCTCTCCGTCTCCGCCATTTTCGTTTTGAGATATTCTTGAGGTGCTGGAATTTAGCTGTTCCGATACACCGTTGCGTTCTCTTCGATTTCTAGGGTTCTACATTTTGATTCTCAGTCGTTTTCGAAATCTTATATTGTAAATACTCTGCATTTGTTATTAATTGATGGTGTCGAACTATGCAAATCGTTTTAAATTTTTATGCCCGAGATTTGGCTTCGAATTGCCAGCGTAAGGTGTTTGATTAAATGTGAAAGTGATTGCCAATGTGCGGCATTTTCTTTTTTTAGCATTTTAAATCTTTAATTTTTATGTTTTGGTATTTTCACTGATTTTCGAATTTCAATTCTCTGATTTTCTCCTAGACTGAGACTGAGTTGTTTAAGTGTGAAAAATGGCTTTTCACACTTTAAATCAATAATCAGTAGCAGTAGCATTGCTTGGCTTTCTGGAATATCATATCCAGTAGACATATTTTTGCGCATCAAAACAATGCATATGTATACATTATTAATGTATGTATGTATGTATGTGTACATGCATGTTTCTATGTATGTATTAATATGTACTTGTAGAATATAGGTTGCTTTGGCTGATGAGATATTCAAGTGTTGAGTACAGGCCAAGCAGGGAATCAGCTGTTTGGAGCTTCCCCTCATTCAGCATACACGGGGGCCTGATCTGGATAGACTTCCTACTGTATTAAGCGGTAACTTCTCCAACTTTATTCTTTATTTTTGTTTGTGATGTGAAGCAGTTTTGCAGATAATGCCATCAGATTATATGATAAAAGGACCTTTCTTCCCTATGACAACTTGCTGGAGTAGCTATTAATTACATAGCTTTTTCCTTCTGTCACTCAGTCTACTGCCTCATATTCTTACTAAACCCATTCTGTCCTTTTGCCCCAAACTTCAACTGCATCTTTCTTTCTCTTTTTCTCCGTTTTCCTCTTTTAAAGTTCTAGTCGTGCTCAGCTAGCATAGTCCAAACAAATGTACTAACATTCTTCTTTTAATGGTCCTTGTTGGCAGCAGATACTACATTTGACTGGATTGTCATAACTTCTCCTGAAGCGGGTTCAGTCTTCTTAGAGGCATGGAAGTAAGGGATATAACTTAATAAACTAGAAAAGTGGCTAATTTTGCATTTAAAGACTTGTATTTTGTTTCTTTCTTGCTCAAATTTGACTTGAATTTGTCTTTGCTTCAAATTGATAGTATGTCCAGAAGAAGTATGGAGAAAAGGCCTTTATAAATTTCCTTTTAGTATAGACTTTGTTGATATTTTCTATTCTCCAAATTAATAGACTTTGCCCTGTTGTTGGCCTTTAGGGCAGCTGGAACTCCAAATGTTAAGGTAGGTGTCGTGGGGGCTGGTACAGCAAGCATTTTTGAGGAAGTAATACAGTCATCAAAACAATCCCTCAATGTTGCCTTTGTGCCATCAAAAGGTACTTATGCATATAGACTAGTGTAGGCAAGCATGTAATACCGTACAAAGTGTACTATTGCCTGTTATGCTTCCTTCAGTCATTAACAAGACCCAAGAAAGACAAACTTTATCTTAACACTTAGTGGAAAGCACTGAATACTATTTAAATCAAATTATAGATGGATTGGAGAATAAATATCCCCACACAAAAAAATTCTTGTGATGAAGCAACATTCTTCTAGCTTGCTGAGCTTGATTTTACTATCGTTTTCTTTTGTTCAATATATGACTCAATATTGTGGGTTATATTATTTTCTCGTTTTAGCCACTTTTGGATTCTAACCTTGGTTTTCTTTTGGGGCAACTGTAACTCCTCAGCAACAGGCAAGGTTTTGGCTTCAGAACTTCCTAAGAATGGGAATAAAAAGTGCACTGTTTTATATCCTGCTTCTGCAAAGGCCAGCAATGAGATTGGTATGTGGAATGCTTCAATCTGTATACCCGCTGGTTGTGGTTTACAAGATTAGTGTTGTCACTTTTTTATTTTATTTTTATTATCCTTTTTCAACTTGGCCTATTTGTTTCAGAGGAAGGCCTGTCCAATCGTGGATTTGAGGTGACGAGGCTAAATACGTACACAACGGTATGATAACTTATCTTCGGCATGCAAGTGTGGGCCTCCTTATATTGGTTTTAAGTAATCATCTATAATTTATATTGTTGTATAAAGGTTTCAAAAATTTGTTCTTATTGGTTAGTAAATACATATTTCATTTCTGTATGTTTATTGTCATCAATTGGTCATCTTTTCTATGTGTTACTGTTGAATTTCATCAAAGATAATTGCTCTTTCCAGGTTTTTTTAATTTATTTTAGGGATTATAGTTGTCTGCTGTAAATGTTAATACATCATTGATACTCATTAGGCGTCCCTCCTCCTGCTTCTCAATCATTGCCTCACTCTGGTCTAATGTGGACATGTGGACTTTGTTATGTTTGTCTGAACCTTTTTATTATAGGTTGCAGGTCTGCAGTTGTATGGTATATTAACACTAATTGTACTTGTGATAGCTAATGATTTATTTCAGTTAGAACTTAGAAAATGATTTTGGATATTTTCTTCTAGGCCCCTGTTCATAATGTCGATCAAATGGTTTTGAAGCTGGCACTTTCGGCCCCTGTCATTGCAGTTGCTTCTCCTTCTGCCATTCGGTGAGTAACTCGTTACTTGTTTGTCTTATGACATGTAGACTGGTTTCTCTGAGCTATCATGTCGGGATAGACAACTTTACTTAATCTGAGCTTGTCTCCATTGCAAACAGTGCCTGGGTCAATATTATTTCAGAGTTAGAGCAATGGAACAATTCAGTTGCCTGTATTGGTGAGACAACTGCTAAGGCTGCTAAGAAATTAGGCTTGAGAAATGTTTACTACCCAGCAAACCCAGGTCTTGAAGGGTAATATGAACTTTTCTAACCTTTTCTTATATACTATTATTACCACAACACTAGTTTGCATTATATAACAGTGTCAGTCATACAATTTAATTTGAATTCCTGAAGACTTTCATTAGCCTTTTCTTCTAAGTTTGGATTTCCTTATTTATAATTCTTCCCCCCGATAATTTTTCTATAATTTTTTAACAAATATTTTTTAATTTTTGGACGACAGAGGGTGGGGTAGCATCATTGAAGCGTTGCAAGCAAATGTCTGTCTGTAAACTTGTAAGCATTGTATTTTTTCCAGGTAGATTTTTGCTTGTACTAATTTTAGTAACCTGCATCTCCTTTTTTCCCGTGGGTATATAGTAGATTACATGAACAGTGCGTCTCCAGTTTTCTCCCAGGCCCATGAAGGCTGACAAGGAGATGGTGTCGAATTGAGGCAGCACGAAGAACAAACACATGGATGGCGAAATTTCACAATTTCTGCATAAACCAGCTGCAAAGCAAGGATTTAATATTCTGCAAGCAGTGGGACGGAAAGCTTCCTCTAAGCGGCCTGTGAAGAGGCTGTTGGGATCAAATGTGGAAGAGAAAGCTTGTTCTCTTAGATGTATAATTCGTTATTTAGATAAAAGGTAGGGAATTCTTTTCTCTAGCTTTGTACATTTTTTATTATTCTTATAGTGAAAGCTCATTTTATGAGAGTTCTTTTCATTTTCATCTTATGTCACACACTTTAACAGCCGTAACGATGCTGATGAATGAAGGATAGATTAGAGTGATTTATAACTTATTTTATTCTCGAGCTTCAATTATTGAATAAGAATTGAAAACAGGATTACAGATCAAGCACTGTTGAACCCTGGAAATAAATTAAATACATAGATTTCAAATAATATTGAGGGTAATTAAATAATTGAGTACTCTTAAGAGGAAGGAAGAAGCTCCCCTTGAGGAAAGATGAGATCAAGGTAAGCGCTCTCTGTGGTTGATAGCTAGGAACCATGTGCCCAGCTCCCCTCACTGTGGCAAATGTAAACCCTTGTACCCAATCACATATCCTCCAACCTGCATCCCAACCAACGTTGATCATGAGAAGAAAAAAACCCCAATCAAATTCAATGTATCGTTGACAATTCAATAGAGAGAGAGAGAGAGAGAGAGAGAGGATCCATTACCTCGTCATTAGAGTACCATGGCCGCCATGAAGTCCTGAGCTGCAGCTTAAGGTTGTTTATGGAATTGTCTCTCTCTCTCTCTCTCTCTCTCTCTCCTCTCTCTCTCTCTCTCTCTCTATTGAATTGTCAACGATGCATTATCAAAAATTTGTGGATGAAAATAATTGCGGAAAGGGGTTTTGATTATAGTTAAAAGCTTGATCAATTCAAGGCTCTCTCACCTATATATCCAAAAAACTTATCCCACTGGCTGTGAGCTGCTTTATTGTGGGTAGAACAGACACTGGGCTGTCCGTCCATCCAATATTACTACAGATAATGCAGAGAAAAAGAAAAAGGGTTAGAAATTCAGAACCTGTTTTTCAGCTAGTATATCATTTGAGAGGATCCAACTATAGAAAAACAGATCCTCAATGGAAATCAATTTAGGCATACCCGCAAGCTGACCAATTCGTAGCTTTAACATGAAGAGCTGATTGCACTTGAACAGATTTAGATACGCCTCCACATAATTACTAGAGCATGGATCGAAATGATGAACCTGAACATGTAAATAAAACCATTACAAAAGGCTCTGTTTTTGCTGTAAAGCTCTCTGGTTTTTAAAACCAAACCATAGTTTGTTTGTTAGAGACTTACAGAACCAGTTTGAGACAGATTTGGATTCTGATATTCTGCAGAGGGGAGCGTAGATGTTGTAAATGTCAACGTTATACTCTCCGCACTCGCGGTCTGATCGGAGTTGATATTTAAGACATGTGTCGGAGGGTTTATCGGAAGCAAAGTCAGCACAATGCTTGTGTATTTGCTGCATGAGTTTCGTCAGAGTTCAAAGCATGTGTCCACAAGTAATCATAAACTCCCATATCACCGTCATGATCATCCACCCAAGGATTCCCAATCTGCATAATTAGCAATTAAACACATCAACTTATGAATTAATCTTTGAGGTTAATTAATGAAGTATTATATATATATACTCACTGCAATGCCTTTGAGATTGATAATTTTTGTTTGATGGTGATTTGTGTTTTTAAAAAAAAAAAAAAAAAAAAAAAAAAAAAAAAAAAAAAAAAAAAAAAAAAAAAAAAAAAAAAAAAAAAAAAAAAAAAAAAAAAAAAAAAAAAAAAAAAAAAAAAAAAAAAAAAAAAAAAAAAAAAAAAAAAAAAAAAAAAAAAAAAAAAAAAAAAAAAAAAAAAAAAAAAAAAAAAAAAAAAAAAAAAAAAAAAAAAAAAAAAAAAAAAAAAAAAAAAAAAAAAAAAAAAAAAAAAAAAAAAAAAAAAAAAAAAAAAAAAAAAAAAAAAAAAAAAAAAAAAAAAAAAAAAAAAAAAAAAAAAAAAAAAAAAAAAAAAAAAAAAAAAAAAAAAAAAAAAAAAAAAAAAAAAAAAAAAAAAAAAAAAAAAAAAAAAAAAAAAAAAAAAAACCTGTTCATAATGTCGTCAAATGGTTTTGAAGCTGGCACTTTCGGCCCCGTCATTGCAGTTGCTTCTCCTTCTGCCATTCGGTGAGTAACTCGTTACTTGTTTGTCTTATGACATGTAGACTGGTTTCTCTGAGCTATCATGTCGGGATAGACAACTTTACTTAATCTGAGCTTGTCTCCATTGCAACAGTGCCTGGGTCAATATTATTTCAGAGTTAGAGCAATGGAACAATTCAGTTGCTGTATTGGTGAGACAAACTGCTAAGGCTGCTAAGAAATTAGGCTTGAGAAATGTTTACTACCCAGCAAACCCAGGTCTTGAAGGGTAATATGAACTTTTCTAACCTTTTCTTATATACTATTATTACCACAACACTAGTTGCATTATATAACAGTGTCAGTCATACAATTTAATTTGATATTCCTGAAGACTTTCATTAGCCTTTCTTCTAAGTTTGGATTTCCTATTTATATTCTTCCCCCCGATAATTTTTCATAATTTTTTAACAAATATTTTTAAATTTTGGACGACAGATGGGTGGGTAGCATCATTGAAGCGTTTGCAAGCAAATGTCTGTCTGTAAACTTGTAAGCATTGTATTTTTCCAGGTAGATTTTTGCTTGTACTAATTTAGTAACCTGCATCTCCTTTTTTCCCGTGGGTATATAGTAGATTACATGAACAGTGCGTCTCCAGTTTTCTCCCAGGCCCATGAAGGCTGACAAGGAGATGGTGTCGAATTGAGGCAGCACGAAGAACAAACACATGGATGGCGAAATTTCACAATTTCTGCATAAACCAGCTGCAAAGCAAGGATTTAATATTCTGCAAGCAGTGGGACGGAAAGCTTCCTCTAAGCGGCCTGTGAAGAGGCTGTTGGGATCAAATGTGGAAGAGAAAGCTTGTTCTCTAGATGTATAATTCGTTATTTAGATAAAAGGTAGGAATTCTTTCTCTAGCTTTGTACATTTTTATTATTCTTATAGTGAAAGCTCATTTTATGAGAGTTCTTTTTCATTTTCATCTTATGTCACACACTTTAACAGCCGTAACGATGCTGATGAATGAAGGATAGATTAGAGTGATTTATAACTTATTTTATTCTCGAGCTTCAATTATTGAATAAGAATTGAAAACAGGATTACAGATCAAGCACTGTTGAACCCTGGAAATAAATTAAATACATAGATTTTCAAATAATATTGAGGGTAATTAAATAATGAGTACTCTTAGAGGAAGGAAGAAGCTCCCCTTGAGGAAAGATGAGATCAAGGTAAGCGCTCTCTGTGGTTGATAGCTAGGAACCATGTGCCCAGCTCCCCTCACTGTGGCAAATGTCAACCCTTGTACCCAATCACATATCCTCCAACCTGCATCCCAACCAACGTTGATCATGAGAAGAAAAAAACCCCAATCAAATTCAATGTATCGTTGACAATTCAATAGAGAGAGAGAGAGAGAGAGAGAGAGGATCCATACCTCGTCATTAGAGTACCATGGCCGCCATGAAGTCCTGAGCTGCAGCTTAAGGTTGTTTATGGAATTGTCTCTCTCTCTCTCTCTCTCTCTCTCTCCTCTCTCTCTCTCTCTCTCTCTATTGAATTGTCAACGAGCATTATCAAAAATTTGTGGATGAAAATAATATGCGGAAAGGGGTTTTGATTATAGTTAAAAGCTTGATCAATTCAAGGCTCTCTCACCTATATATCCAAAAACTTATCCCACTGGCTGTGAGCTGCTTTATTGTGGGTAGACAGACACTGGGCTGTCCGTCCATCCAATATTACTACAGATAATGCAGAGAAAAAGAAAAAGGGTTAGAAATTCAGAACCTGTTTTTCAGCTAGTATATCATTTGAGAGGATCCAACTATAGAAAAACAGATCCTCAATGGAAATCAATTTAGGCATACCCGCAAGCTGACCAATTCGTAGCTTTAACATGAAGAGCTGATTGCACTTGAACAAGATTTAGATACGCCTCCACATAATTACTAGAGCATGGATCGAAATGATGAACCTGAACATGTAAATAAACCATTACAAAAGGCTCTGTTTTTGCTGTAAAGCTCTCTGGTTTTAAAACCAAACCATAGTTTGTTTGTTAGAGACTTACAGAACCAGTTGAGACAGATTTGGATTCTGATATTCTGCAGAGGGGAGCGTAGATGTTGTAAATGTCAACGTTATACTCTCCGCACTCGCGGTCTGATCGGAGTTGATATTTAAGACATGTGTCGGAGGGTTTATCGGAAGCAAAGTCAGCACAATGCTTGTGTATTTGCTGCATGAGTTTCGTCAGAGTTCAAAGCATGTGTCCACAAGTAATCATAAACTCCCATATCACCGTCATGATCATCCACCCAAGGATTCCCAATCTGCTAATTAGCAATTAAACACATCAACTTATGAATTAATCTTTGAGGTTAATTAATGAAGTATTATATATATATACTCACTGCAATGCCTTTGAGATTGATATTTTTGTTTGATGGTGATTTGTTTTTGTGAGAGAATGGTGTGAGCAAGTTCAGGCACATAATGGCCAGCTAGCTCTCTCCAGCGATGAAGAAATCTCTGGTTTTATATTGAGGAAACCTCTCCAGCCAGTTTACAAGAAATGTGTAAGAGTCCTTCGCCGTTTGCTTGTCACCCAAGCTTTCGTAGTCAGATGATGTGTTGGAATATGAGAACCCAACTCCTGCTGGAGACTCCAAGAAGATCACATTTGCCACTGCCCCCCATGCAAATTAATCTCACTGCTGATTAGTACTAAACTCTAAAGTGCAGAGATTAATTTGAGATTAGAACATGAAATGCATTTCTTACCCTTGTTCCAAGCGTATGTCATTACGGTATAGCGTCCTGTTATCACTGCTGACCCTGAACGGTCCAAGTTCTTCCATGGCTCCATATCCAAGCGACGAGCATCCTGGTCCTGCATTAAGTACACAATAGTCCAGTTTAATCCGGGCCACCAAATGTAGCCTATAACTTTGATTAAAAGGTATATAAATAATGTACCATATATATGCAGAGCAGAGGAAAATTCTAATTAATAGTTTTAGGATGTATATTATTTACCTCCATTTAACCATAACACTAGAGGTTTGGTTGAAGAATTATGGGGTGACTCTACAAAGTAGTAGAACAAAGCTCTCCCAGCTTTAGGATCCACAGTAACATAGCCTGCATATTGATCAAAGTTTACTCCTTCAGCTGGTTGGCCTGGCAAAGCTTCAATTTTATCAGCTTCCTTCAACCCATGTTGGGGGCCAACGTACACCGGAGAAAAAGAGTCCACTACATCATCTAAGCCAACCCACGATTTACGATCATGAGGAGGATTAGTCCCGGATTTGCGAGACTTAATCAACTTATTGAGGTTGTTAATTTGGTGATTAGCATTGCATGATATGGAGAGCAAGGCTAATTGGTAGCAAGAGAGGAGCAGCAAACATGTTGGCAGTGAAAGTTTCATGTTGATATAATTTTGGGTGGAATATTAAGTACTGAAACCAAGCTTGGGATGAGAATTTATACAAAAAATTTGAGATTTGACGAGTGAATTTATTGCCAGGATTATTATGAAATGAATCCATTTGGATATGGAAGGATTGAACGAATTTGAGATTTGACGAGTGAATTTATTGCCAGGATTATTATGAAAACACTGCATATTATATATACATAGATACTGTAATATTTTTTTATATAATTTTTTCCCCGATTTTTGTTTATCGAAAAGAGCAGTTTTGGAGCATTATCCATTACTTAGGCCTGGCTGTGAGGGTCTTTTTTTAAACTGTTTTTCCCCATTTTACACTGTTTTTATTAAAAACATAATACTAAAAATTAATTATATATATATAATAATAAAAAGAGAAATTCGTATTATGATATTCAATCGGCTTATACTGTGGAAAAGAATTCCATTTACAGCGTATAGCCGAGTGGCTATACTTGTTTCACAAAAAAGCCATGCGTTAGACTCTCAAATAGTATAGCCGCACGGCTATATTCTGGATTTTTTGTATATAAAAAATAGAGTATAGCCGGGCGGCTGAGGGTCTTTTTTTAAAAAAATTCTTTTTTTATAAATCGTGATCTTTTTGTGATTATTATTGTTTTTCCCCCATTTTTGTTTATCGACAATAGTAGTTTAGAGCATTATGTTTTACTATTAGGCAATTACCCGAGTTTCCATTGTTCTCTTTTGAGTTTTTACTTTTCTAAAGTTATTACTTGTATAAAAAATTTAGAATTTTCACTTTTAATACTCGTATCGTACACGTACGTAATATTTTTCATGTTTAATACACTTTTTTTTTACAAAATTATCAATAATACACACAAATTCACGTATTATACACAAAATACTCACTATTATTGATAAAAATAAAATTTATAAAAATATTTAAAATACTAATATTCACTAGTAAATAATATATTAAAACATAACTACTAATTAAAGTAATTAAAAACGAGAAATCATATTATGCTATTCAATTGGTATAGCCGCACGGCTTACCTTTGAAATATTCTAATTTATTTAATTTTTTTTTTTTTTAATGTGCAACATATTGCACCCTTTTAAGTTTAAGTGCACGTCGTTTCACACCATCCATTATCAATTAATTATACATTTCTTTTTTATGATGCAATAGGAACAATATGAAACATCTTCATCCAATCCAACCCAAATTTTAGATTATATATTATATATAAAACATGTTCTTCTGGATCATTATCATTATAATTTCAATTATCGAGTATGAATTTCAATAGGGGTTACAAATCAATACTTTTGAATGCTTCGGGTTAAATATAAATATATCTGAATATATTCAGATAATTAATATGGGAATTAACAGCATGTAATCGGGGTTTGATTAAGTTTAGGAGGTAGAGGAAGCTTCCCCTGAAGGAAAGATGAGATGAAGGTGAGTGCTCGCTGTGGTTGATAGCTGGGAACCATATGCCCAGCTCCCCTTACCGTAGCAAGTGTCAACCCTTCGTACCCAGCAACATATCCTCCAACCTGCCACCCAACACCATAAGGAAAATGTGTCAATCTTATTTTCAGTTCGATGTATAATAATATATAAGTGATTTTATTTGTACCACATTTACTTGTCATCTTATTAATAAAATACGTAACTGTAATTACCTCTGTATTCGAATACCATGGCCGCCATGCAGTTTGTAAAGGCAATTTTAAGGTGTGTTAAGGCGTATCTAGAAGATGTGAACGGTACTCGCCCATCAGTGTCTCGCTGTAATTGTATTTATCATGAAATCTCAAAATTATTTATGTTAAGTAATTACAACTAATATGTTGATAAAACACACCCATCCGTGCATGCATTTTTCAAAGGGAATGGATCATGAAATTAGATTAATCAATTCAGGCTTTTTTCCCTCACCTATACTCCATAAACTTATCCCACTTGCTGTGAGCTGCTTAATTGTGGGTAGCATTGTCGTTGGGCTGTCCGTCCATCCAACACCACTAATATATACACAATGCATGAAGGAAAAAAGAAGAAGGATTAAAGAAATATTCTAACAAAATGATAAAAATAAACCTTCTGATCTTAATCAAACAGTAATTAAATTATATACCCGCAACCCGACCAATTTGTAGGTTTGACATGAAGAGCTGCTTGCACCTCCACAAGATTTAGATAGGTGTCCACATAATAATCAGAGCATGGATCAAATCCATTAACCTGCATAATCCAAATTAATCATCTCTAAGCTTAATTAACTCATTCTAATCCATAACTGGGAAATTAAGCTCTAGCTAGCTAGAGACTTACAGAACCAGTGCTAGTTGAGGGAGATTTGGCTTGTGATATTTTGCAAAGGGGAGCATAGATGTTGTAAATATCAACATTTCCAGCCTCGTCCATTGCTTGGTTTTGATATTTATCACATGAACTGGAAGAATTATCAGAAGCAAAGTCACAATATTTGTGTATCCCTGCATTGGTCTCGTCAGAGTTCAAAGCATGAGTCCACAAATAATCATAAATACCCAGTTGACCCGTGCTGTCGTCGATCCAGGCATTTCCAAGCTGCAAATTAATTAACTTAATTATAATACATCAGTTGACAAATGAAGAACAGAGAAAATAATTAATTAAGTACAGTACTTACTGCAATGCCTTTGAGGTTGATAATTTTTGTTTGGTTCGTGGCTTTGTTGTGTTGGAGAATGGTGGAGGCAAGCTGAGGAATGTAATGGCCGGCATAGCTCTCTCCAGTCATGAAGAAATCTCTGGTTTTGTATTGGGGAAATCTCTCCAGCCAGTTTATGAGAAACTTTGTAGGAGTCTGGGCTGTTCTCTTGTCACCCACTTTTCATAGTCAGATGTTGGGTTGATATGAGAACCCAACTCCTGGGACACTGCCACAGAACAGCACATTTGCCACATTTTTTTTTTTTTTTTTTTTTTTTTTGTTTTTTTTTTTTTCTGGGAATTAGTCTTAAAAGTTCTCTAAAATGGTATTGCAAAAGTTTGCACATGCTTATTACATATGTAATAAGCTGGTTAATTAATTACCGTTGTTCCAAGCATATTCGTTTCCGGAATAGGGTCTTTCTATCACTATTCACTCTGAAGGGTCCAAGTTCTTCATGGCTCCATATCCGAATGACGAACATCCTGGTCCTGTACACAACACATATCATCCTATATTATAGCATGTGAATGGTAACAACAGTGTTTCGTACCTGTACCATATAATCATTTTTTCAATTTTAGAATTTTCTTCATAATGATTATGAATTCCTCACAATTTCATGGTCCAATTGTCATTACATTAGGGGTTCATAACTACATACCAAATTAACCCAAGTGACTAAGACAAGAACAATTGGAATTGGTCAATGTTGAATGGTTCTTCTAGTTGATGATTGTTAATTTATTTGTTTGGTATAAGTGCGTCTCTCTCGGGTGCTATATTTTCCTAAACAAATGAAATGGTATGCCCACTAGAAAGTGGGGAGATGCTCTATGACACATTAAATGGCTGAAAACCATTGAAGCCACATATCAATTGTAACAGTAGTTATTGAATCTGCAGGATAATAAATATCTTCATTTTAGTGGGGGTGGACCTCAAGACTTTTAGCGCTCAACATGTTTGAAAAGCAAATACAAAGGGGGACTGTTTGGTGATCATGTGAGATTGGAAAAATTATTGCAAGTGTGGAGCCCTCTCTTTGTGCACCTACCTACTTGGCTGTAGAGCCCCATGCATCATTCTTTATGTTTTCTGGGACCCCTAGACATGAGCATGCACTTGCTTTGCTTCTATCAATGGCCATTGCCGGTTGCTTTGCTTTCTATCAGTTGATGATAACGATCGATGGCTAAACGACAAACCGAATATTTATAGATAGTCTAGGTCGATTAATCATAGATAGTAGTTGTGGCTGTTTTCGATTGTTCTTTTTCCTTCAAATATATTATCGATCCATTTGTTGTTTTCCTTAGAAAACTATAAGCCTTGCTTCCAGTGGTTGTATGGTTTGTTTCTAAAGATATATTTTTTCAGCCAAAAAATAATTGAAAAGTAGTTTATGTATGTATGAAGTAATCAGATATTCCTCGAAACAGGCATGGGAAATTTTTTTATTATCTGTATAAGGTAATGTTCTTTAATTATTAGATAAATGATATTTTATGTTGTCGACTCACATGCCAATTTAGACTACACACATTCATTAATTAACTAAAATTTTACTTGACCATGCTCGGAATTGCGATAACATAACATATTAGCTAATCCGATGAGCTGTTTGACAAGATAAATTTTTCTATGTATGAATGTCTCCGACGTGTTCAGTGTGTGCATGCATTCTAAATTCCTTAGGTACAATGACGAGATGCTGAAGATATACATGTACTAATAAGGTTTTGGTTGCAATTCAAGAATCATATATATTCACTTATAGATATAGCTAAAATGTATGTAAAACTTACCTCCATTTAACCACAGAAGCAAAGGTTTAGTTGAAGAATCCTGAGGCGACTCTACAAAGTAATAAAACAGTGCTCTTCCAGCCTGAGGGTCCACCGTAACATAGCCTGCGTACTGATCAAAGTCTACTCCTTGAGGCTGGCCTGGCAAAGCACCAATCTTATCAGCTTCCTTCAACCCATCTTGGGCTCCAACATACAAAGCAGAAACTTGGCCATCTGCAACATCCAAGCTCTCCCATGACTTGGGATGAGGAGGATTTGCAGATTTACGAGACCTGAGCAACTTGTTGAGGTTTTCAATTTGGTTGGCGTTGCATGATATGATGAGGAAGGCTAACAGGCAGCCAAGCAGCAGTGAAATAAGCTTCATGGTCTTTTAGTTTTTTGCTGCTTGAATATACGAAAGGACTGTTTTTTTAGTATTTATAGGACAAATTAAAAGCCGTTATGGACAAAATGCAGCGTGTAATTTAACGTCTGTTTGGCTATGCGTGTAAGCTTTGGCTGTGCTGTCATTGTCTCTGAAAGACTTTCTTTGGATATATGCTCATCAAACTAGCATCTAGCCTAGAATATTAGCGAAGTAAACAATCCGGCTTGCTCGACTTTCTTTCTCTAGGCAATTACCTAATCAATATTCGCCTAATTAAGCAAGTTACCTCAAAGAGCATCTCCAACCGATGTGTCAAAAGTGTCACATAGACATTTAACGGCTAGAAATAACATCTCACATCACTCCAACCGATATGTCAAAACTGATGTGGAATGAAGACTGAGGTTGATTGTTATTTTTGACATCCCAAAACAAGATGTCAAATGAATATTTTATTATTTTAAAAGATAGTTGGCTGTTACTTTCATTTATTATTTTCCTTTTTATATATTTTTTTTCTTTATCTTAAATTATTTGACTGTTACAATAATTATTTATTTGACATTGGGTGAGTGTAAACTGTGTAAATGTCAAATTGTCACATCAGCCATCAAATTTAAATTTGATGTTTGGTATTTGACATCTCCCTTGGAGATGCTCTAATTAAGCTTAAAATATGATTTATTATACTTTTATATTCCAAAAGTACCCCACTTAGAGTTTACTGTATTAAATGTTGGTAATTTCCTCAATTTCTTGTGTTGATTTCTTTCCTCTCTTAAATTTGGTATTTATTACAAATTTGACTACTCACACATTAATTTGTTTTAAATTTCAAAATGTTTGGCACATACGATATATTAATGCACACACAAATATATATTTTTGGGTAAGTAATGCACACCACAAATATTTCTATGTGCTTTACACAAATTATTTATTTATCATCTAATACCATCCCTCGAAAATTGTACCTATTATGAAATATAGGATAATGTACTTAATACAAATTTATAAATTCTTCGAATTGTCTATCTAATAGGATAACGTAATAATGTACCTAATTTTTCTTAAGAATAATGCACCTATATTTTGCTTATAGATAATGTACCTTTATTTTATTTTTTTATTTTATACATAAGTATGTATCTATCTATTTACCTATCTTGTACTAGATATGTGGGTAAATTATTTTTTGCATGTACCTATATTTTTTCCAATATACAATTATCTAATCAATATTATTTTAGACAAAAAGAATAATTTGTTTTAGGTATATATTATAATTTATTTAATATTTGATATATTTAGGTAGTGCACGGTTTGTAATACATGATTATTTATGTATTCATTGATTTATTTTTTCAAAACGTTTCAATATTAAATTGGTGCCTAATTAAAAATAATTAAATATAAATGCTAAACATAAGAGATTTGACAACTAAGATAGATGGCATAGTGTGTAAACATTTTGTAATATTAGGACAATTATTAACCTATATTCAAATGTGGGTTTTTGATAATAGTTTAAAATTAAATAAATTGATATGAGAGTTATAAGGGCCTATCTCGTAACAACCCTTTTTTTAAAGTAATTTTTTGTTGGCAAGGGAGAGCTTGAGGAGGCGAATTAGAGCCTCTCATTGATTGTTTTAAATGAGAGCACGTTGTTCACTCACATCTAATGATTCTAAGCTATGATTTTTGGTGTCTAATCTTTATATATTAAGATATAATAGTTTTATATTCAGGCAGACGTGGGTTAGGTGAGTTAGCTAAGACAGTGAATCCGTCCCTTGAACCCAAGTTGAATCCCCCTTTTCGTATATAGATTAATTTAAAATAGATTATCGTTTTATAAAATTATATTTAAAAAAAAAAGCAAGCCCTACACTTTGGCCCACGCAACCAGCAAGCCTGGCTACAGAAGTTAGATTGGACTGAGAAAAGCAAGTAGTTAGTAGCGTTTGTCTTCAACCCATTTTTAGTCCTTTTTTAACTTTCAATATGATGTGAACGGCAACAAATGTAGAACACTTTGAACCACCAAAATGAGATAAAAATCACAATTGACAACTAGCTTCACATTATGATCAGAGGACAATATTGCATATAATCGGTTTACATATCATCAAGTCTGAACTTGGTTATTATTACTTATTCAATTTCATCAATACAATCAACTGTGTCTAGATCTCCTCCAGAAAAGTGAAAACTAAACGATCATTGACAACTGAAGCTTACAACAATGTCACGTGGCAGCGGAAAATGATTTTCTCTGGGAATTAGTAGGGGGAAGGAGGAAGCTTTCCCTCAAGGAATGATGAGATCAAGGTGAGTGCTCGTTGAGGTTGGTTGCTGGGAACCATGATCCCAGCTCCCCTCACAGTAGCAAACGTCAACCCTTCGTACCCAACCACATATCCTCCAACCTGCATTGCCATATACACAAACATGAATACCGTAAGTGCCCCTCATATATGAATTAATTACTTGCTAGCCCTCTGTATATGAATCAATATTAATTACCTCTTCCTTATTAGAGTACCATGACCTCCATGGAGTCTTGATGGGTAAGTTGAGGATGTGCAGGGCGTATCTAGAAGATGTGACTGACAAGAACCCATCGGCGTCTCCACTGTAATTAAACTAATTAGTTACCTTAATTATGAAATTAATTTACCATATACATAATATTATTGTAATCTAATTCATGTTTGTTAAATTAAATATATACAGCACCATGCATGGCGCCTCACCTATATATCCAAAAACTTATCCCACTTGTATTGATCTTGTATTGTGGGTAGCATGGTGTCTGGGCTGTCCGTCCAATCAGTATCACTAGAGACCAAAACAAAACAACAACAACAACAACAAAAGAAAAAAAAGGGTTACTTCTTAGATATACATATATATTCAAATGATTTATATAAATTCGAATTATATATATATACCTGCAAGCTGACCACTTTGTAGGTTTAACATGAAGAGCTGCCTGCACCTCGGGAAGGTTTAGATAGCTCTCGACATAGATTTCGGAGCATGGATCAAAATCATCAACCTGATAATGTAAACACATGCATGATGCATCATATAATTGATATCTTTGCTTGATTAATATATAATTAATTATAGAGATGTTAGGTGAAAGACGGTGTAACTCATATTTCTAAACAATAATCCAATAATCCAATTATTTTTAACTATTTTACAATTAATGCCATCCAACTATATATGGCATTAAAACGTAAATTTTTACCATCTTAATTAGTAATGAAAGTAAATTATAATCAATACTAATGCCAACCATGAAATTTGTAATACATCCCTAAACCCTACACTTACTGCACACAAAAGATCCCACTAATTTACCTATAGTAATTTGTAGGTATACTTAGGTTAATTTACCTACACTTGTAAAGATTGTTTACCTATATTTTGCAGCTATACTAAATACAAAATTCACCTACTAATTTACTTATATTTTGTAGGTATACTAGTTTAAAAATATCATACTAATTTACCTATATGTTATTTTTTAAAAATAGGTATGCTAATTTAATTAGATTGTATAGGTAAATTATTTAAAAAGTAGGTACATTATTTTTTATACCAAAAAAAGTTATTTACTTTGTAATAGCAAAATTCTATACATTTTTTTTTATAAATGAAAAACAAGTACATAATAATTTTGAATAGTATATATGCTATTTTTATTAAATCACGATAATAGGTATATTATTATCTATAAAAATTAATAGGTATATTATTATCTATAAAAATTAATAGGTACAGTAAAGAATTATGTTTCGCAATAAAAGTAATAGGTGCGTTATTTTTTCAACATAAAATTGTATATATATGTATATATAATTATATTTATAAACAATAATAAAATAGATAATTAATCACGTATACTTCTTAAATAAATAAATATTAAAAAATTTGTGAAATAATCTGATTAGGTATGTTAAATATGAATTTTTTGTTAAATTTAAAAAAAGTTTCGAAATTAATTCCTACATCCATTTGGAGATCTTTCCAAATTCAAGTGTGTCATTAGTTACAATAATTCAATTAAAAATTGTTTCTATATTAGTTTCTACATTAATATACAAAATTCAATAAGGCTTAGTTGGGGGTATTTTACGAATCGAAAAAGTACAATAAATTCGATTTTGCGCTTGATTAAGTAATATGCTGAGTTGGATCCTAGTCATTGGGTTTTATTTAGGAAAAACAGGATTTTATTCAAACAAAAATAAAGAAATGAATCCTAGTTGAGCAAAAATGACTTTCAAAGAATTACTCTAAATTTACTATTAATTATATTTACAAGCCCAAATTTGCTCTAATGGAGTAACAATATTATTGCATATAGGATAACAATAAATTAATATTTCTTCTGTTCCTTCCTGCAGGTATATAGTATATTATTTTGTTGAAATCAGGTTTGGAGACTTTACAGAAGCTGTTGAGACAGATTTGGGTGTGAAATCTTGTGGATGTTTTGCAAATTGGAGCGTAGATGTTGGAAATATCAATATCCTCCCCAACCTCCTCGATTGCTTGTTGCACGTATTCACCACACACGTTGGATTGCTTACCTCCTAAGTCAGTAACGTTACAATATTTATGTATCCCTGCATTAGTTTCGTCAGAGTTCAAAGCATGTGTCCACAAATTATCATAAAGGGCCAGTAGAGCGGTATCAAGATCGATAAAAGGATTCCCAATCTGCAAATACAAAATACCCATGTATGAACACACGACTGTAAACATAGCAATGTTCTCTTGTCATACTTATATATATATACTGCCACACAACATCGTCTCGTTAAAGAACATATACAGTCTGGTTCTCTTGTAACACATATTTTCTCTAGTACTACAATGAAAAAAAATTCAGCAATTAATCAAGTACTCACAGCAACTCCTTTGAGATTGATTTTTGTTTGGTTTGTGATGTTGTTGTTGGAGAGAATGGTGTAAGCTAGTTCAGGTGCGTAATGACCAGCATCGCTCTCCCCAGTGATGAAGAAATCACTGTCTTTGTATTGAGGAAATCTCTCCAGCCAGTTCACAAGAAATGCATAAGAGTCCTGGGCCGTGATCTCATCACCCACGTTGTCGTAGTCAGACGATGTGTTCGAATACGAAAACCCAGTTCCTAATGGAGTCTCCAAGAAGAGGACGTTTGCCGCTGCCATGCATTTTTAATGGAAATTAATTAAGAAATTGTATTGATTAATTAATTAATTAGAGACTAATTAAGTTGCACATAATTTAAATTAGTACCGTTGTTCCAAGCATAATCATTAGGAATTAGTGTCTTGTTATCGTTGCCGACTCTGAATGGTCCCAGTTCTTGTAAGGCTCCATATCCAAAAGCCGAGCATCCTCCAGGTCCTGTAATCAGTTGTAATTAATTAATATAAGTTAATTAAACTAATTTTTTCATAATAATAATAATAATAATAAATATAATATTGTTATTTACCTCCATGTAACGATAGCACCAGAGGATTGCTTGAAGAATTATTTGCCTCGACAAAGTAGTAGAACAAAGCTCTCCCAGCTGTAGGGTCCACAGTAACATAGCCTGCATATTGATTGAAATTTACTTCTCCAGCTGGTTGCCCTGGCAAAGCCTCAATCTTATCAGCCTCCATTGACCCTTCTTGGGAGCCAACGTACACAGGAGAGTATAAGCCATCCCATGATTTAGGGTTTCCAGCAGATTTGCGAGACTTAATCAACTTCTTAATGAGGTTGTTAGTTTGGTAATTAGCATTGCATGATATGCTAGAGATAGAGAGGAGAACCAAACATGCAAGCAAGGAAAGCTTCATCTTTCAAGTCCTTGCTTACAATAATGAATGCTAATTAGAATTTATAGACCTAATCTGAAACTTGGGACGAGATTACTTAGGCGTTTGGTTGTATAATTAACTGATAATTAATACAGCATTGGCTCGAAAGAGAATGAAATTTTGTAATTCTTTGGATTGGTTGGAAAAGTTGACCCATATCCAGCCTAGACTAATACAGAAATTAATAGTTAAATAAACAATGCGACGACATGAACAATCTATGATACCAAGCGTTGTAAACAGGCTGCAAGGCCTCGAGTCTCATCTGTTTGTTTTGAGTGTGTGTACAACTATTATAAACCCATTTACTTTATAATCAAAATATATGTCCCATAACTTTGATGTTGTTGTTCAATATTCCTTGCACAAGAGAATTTGTGCTTCAAAGGCCCGTTTGGTTCGTGAAAAGAATTTAAAGAGATATCATTTTTTAAAGAATGGGAAATGGAAGATTTTTTATTCTTCTCACGTTTGATAATGCTAGGAAAGTAATGAGAAAATACCACTTTACTTTCTTTCTCATGTTTAATTTGTGTAGGAATGGAAAACAAACTTTATTTAGTTTTCCATTACAGCCCAATTAGAAATATGAAATAAACAAAACAAAACAAAAAGAATACCAAGAGTGATAAAATTGTATTTTCTAAATTGTTAATAGGGACAAATTGGCCATGAAAAAAGATTAATACTTGTCTTGGTTTTCCATGGGCATGAAAAATGAAACTCAAGGGGGATGGAGGGTTTCATTTTCCCCCATCTTCTCTTTTGGGCCAGAAAATCATTTCTTATGCCTGAACTAGACTTACTAAACATGAGAAATCATTGATTTTCCCTTCCCAAGCCCAATTTTCCCATAAACCAAACACACCCCAAATGCTGGCATATCTCCCATATTCCTCCAACAAACAAATGATTTCAATTCCCTTTTTGCTTTATGCTAGGCCAAAACAAGTTTTCTTATATTAGTATATAAGTTTAGTTGACTAGTTTCTAATCGAAATGCTATAATGAGTGGATTTAGGGTGAGGGGGTTCAATCCCACTATCCAACTGAGAATGCTACAACTTCTGCTTTCAAATTGAAACCCAAGAACTGGCTGACCCATAAAATTAATTTTTGGGTTATTTTAGTACTTTTCGAATAAAAATAGTTTTTAACCACTTTAACTACAAGTCCTTTGCTTGATAGTAATTTTTTTATTAACGACTTTGATGTGCCTAAAATAAATTGGACTGAAAGTAGAGCCCATAATTTGCTGACCCATACATTCTGGGCCAATTCTACCTTGGACTGTAATCAACAAGCCTGCTAACAGTTGGACCACAGATTTATTCATGAGATACAAAGTTGGACCCAACAATTCAATCACTACATCTAACACTCAGAAGAAGATTTTCCAGTTCACCTGAATTAATTGCTCAAATGTAAAACCCATTCGTTTTACTTCATCGACAATGACTGAGTTTTGGGTTTGGAATTTGGAGAGAAGAGAAGCGGTATGAACAGAAACAAACAGGGACCAGCACTCCTGGTTCGAGCTGGCAAACCCAAAAAGAAAAAGAGAAAAAAACCATAGCAGCTGAAAATGACAAGTCCATGAAACTTTGAACAACCTCTCAATTCTCCGTTTGTTTTACATGCAGCATTGTCTCATTTCCCATCTTCATTACATGAGAAATCATTGCAAATCTTTCACAAGCAAGAAGCCAAAAGCTAAACCTAAATATAATTCACTTCTTTTTTTATTTATTAATTTATATATTGTAGAAGGTAAAACGTCTGTTTTAACATGTTAGATTGGGTTTCCTAATGTCCCCTCAAGTATTAACAATGCACAAACAGATAAAATATAACATATAAACAAAATATATCACCAACTTTCGCCGTAACGAAAAGGAAAATACATCCCTCTTACATTCTTGCCAATAACAGTGTGACGTGTGTATAGTTTTTATTTTTGTGTTTTTGATGAATTATTTTTACATATGTGTCAAACTATGATTCGCATGAAAGAGGCAAGCAGTACACTCATGGAGATCTGGTATGTCCTATAATGAAAAAGACAAAGTTAAGTATGTAGATTAAAGGATACAAAAATGGTCCCGCTAGCTGGCAAACTTTTGTCCTGTGAGAGCTATGAACAGAACCCAGTGGACATTATTTTTACCCAAGTGTGAAAAGCAAACCAAATCTTTCAATTTATATTCTGTTACTTTGCTGTAACTTTCAAGATCTTGAGCTTTATTATCCAATAATCCAATAATGGAGATTTCTTGCTTATTGGTGTCACTTCATCTGGTCTAAGAGTGGACCCTTTTCTATAGGAGACGCCAAACATCAATTTGACCTCAAATTAAGAACAAGCAAGGAGGAGAGCCCCAAGCCAAAGTAGACTGGCTTTGATTCTTATATGGTGGACCTAAAAACATAGACTTTTTAACAAATTTTCTTTTATTTTTTTCACTTTTTGTTTTGGCCAGATATGCATCTAAAAAAGACCCCAGAAACCCATGGCCTGTATGTGCAGAGTAAAACAGAGGCCCCAGCTACCGAAAGCCCACACCCAGCTTTAGACCAACATTCCTGATTATATGTATGCCATTTATTTCCTAAATTTCTTCGAAGATCAATTTCCCGAACTATGTAGGTAGAAACTCTTACATTCCTACCAATAATAGTGTGATATGTTTTGATGAATTACTTTTGCATATATGTCAAATTGTGATTTGCATGAATAAGGACATCTCCTTACAGGGAAGGAATGAGACAACAGTATCCTTTCCAAAAAGATGAATTTTGCTCTTGGCATAAATTCATGTTCCCAACATCCCAGAACAATTGGGTAGGTTAGATTAATTTCATAATTGCTTAAATGAAAATGTGTCGGTTTAATTACATGGTAAAAACTACAGAAACTATAAGAGAGAATAAAAAGGATTAATGAAAGCTACGAGCTCTCTGGATAGGCCTCAAACAACTTCAGTACTAATCAAAGTCCCCCACACTGAAAAGCTCTTAAAAAGCAGATAAAAATAAGCACTTTAAAAAAAAAGTTTGAAAAAGAAACAAACATGGCTGAGTAGATGGCTTTTGTGCAAGAAATGACTTGTGGGGGTTGGTCTGCATATAAAAGGCCATCAGCTGAAGCAGGGCCACCATCAGCTTCTGCAACCATTGGAAGAACTCCCAATCAAGATTATCAACTATGTTTTATATCATATTATGACTAAAAACCCTTTCTCAGTTTTCACTTAACTTTATAATAACAGTAATTTTCATTTAATTAGACAGGTTCCTGCTGTATTAAGCAGCTGTTTATGCGTGTCTGATCTGATGCAGAATCTAATGCTCAACAATTATAAATTTATAATATTTCCTTCCTTCCACTAGCATTTTCCCCATTTTGTTTATGGGTTGGTCAAACTGAAAATCAATGCATATAATTTGGATTAACGTGCATGGAAGTAGAATATGAAGATGGAACAGCAGCAAATCTATTCTAGCTACTCACGCAAATTCATAAAATAAAAAAAAAAGCTTGCAATTAAATTACTTGGGTGATTTGAGATGCCTCAAAGCAGCCTCAACCAAAGAATTAATTAATTTTAAGCCAGGTTTTCAACCCATTTACTTACTTACTTCCACATTGCAATCATGTTGAACCCACTTGATTCATTATTTATAGCTAGATTGATTAATTTGATTGAATGATGAAACCTACCAGTCGAAAATGACATTTACTTGACCATCATTTGAACGAAAAGTGTCCGCTTATACATAACTTTTTATCAAATCCCAACTATCCATGCTTCAAAAAAGTCTAACTTAGTGGAAAATGTCCTTGATTTGCAGATCATAAGTCTCATATTCGAACCCCATGACATTATCGTTGTGTGTACTTGAAAAATCTTTCTCCCTTTTAGTTTAGACTATTACTTGTGCTCACCAACTTTTTCAACCTACGTACGTCTTCTGGAAAGACTGTTACCAACTTCTTCCGGAAATCCAGAAGAAAAGAAAAAGACTCAATTACCAATGTTTTGCACACAAAAGAAAAAATAATTTGCACACGAAAGGTAGCCGATCCCAGTTCTTCTGAGTTGTTTCACTTTTACTGATCCTCCTACTCCTACACCAAAATGACGAAACTACCCTCACACGAAATGTGGCCTAAGGTCATTTCACAATAATTAGCCGTTAATCTAATCTCATAATTAAGTGAAGCATTAAAATAGGTATCGTCATCAATCACCACCCCGTGTTTTGCTTGCTTGGGATCACTCTCACGTGGCTGTGGTGCTGCGTCCATATCTTCTGGGTTTTCTTTTTCTTTTTTTAAGTGTTGGACCATTTTTTTGGATTTCTTTTTTCTTTTTCTAATTCACCATCTGTTGGGATTTTATTATTTTATAATTATTTTTTTATGAATATAAGTTTAGAGGAGGAAGAGGCTAACGTACGGATTTAATTATTTTATGTTTACAGAATGTGTCATTTTGCTTGCACTCACATATTTGCAAGTGTAATTTCCACCCCCATCAACATCATGACAGCTTCCTTTCAGCACACCCCTTCCAATATTCCATGCGTGTATGATCATCTCCTATATCACAATCCAAACCATTATTATTATTATTTTATTTATTTATTTATTATGTTAACATATACTCATAGATAATTAAGAAGATTAATGATGATTTGACCCCATCTCTTCATCTTTTATTTGTAAATGGTAACAAGAAGAACAAGTATGAATCAAATCTTGAATGGTTCAATTCAAGCAATCCAGGAGGAGTGTTCATATTTGATTTGTTTTTCATATTAGTTAGTTGGCAAACATGTGATTTGGGCAGCTTTTGCCTTCAAATGAACACTCCCCCCACAGCCCTTATTTAATGCATCCACCTCATATACTTGTCACTTGAATTTTAGAACCAAGAAATAAATCCCATATCTTTTTTCTCAGTCAACTTCATCACCTCCTTGTTAATATGAAGAACATAAATAAATACAAACCTTTGATTTTAATATTTTGGTAACACAATTTATGTCTCCCATTGAATTTTTTTCCCATTTAATTTTGATACTTGTGGCATCATTCAGGGGCATTTTCGGAAATAATAAATAAAAATAAAAACTAAAAAAACTAAAAAAAGAAAGAGAGGAAACAGGGGAAAGAAGAAGATGTAAAAGCAGCAGAGTCGGTGCTACGTTGCAGGAGCTTAAAAGAGAAAGTTGCACGTTGGTTCATGATGACGCAAACAAGTGAGCACCATACTGTTAGTGCGTGTGCTGTGCTTTGCTTGTAGCTCTGTACGGCTCCACATTGCGCTTGCCCTTTAATCTTTATGCACATCCAAACCCAATTCACCTTTCACTAAAGCCTCTCTCTCTCTCTCTCTCTCCTCTCTCTCTCTCTCTTTCTCTCTCTCTCTCCGAGTCTTGAGATGAAGCTTTTATAAATCAAGCGGTGTGGAAGATAGAGATTAGACAAAGAGAAAACCATCCAGTTTGTGTTTTAGTACTGTATATTTATAGGTGGACTTGCTTTTTCATTCAGTTTTGCATATTCGAAAGCGTCCCAGCTCGAAGTCCCGAGCTTTTGTTACATGGGTTTGGTTCGTTTTTGCATTTTGCTTCACCATGAACGAGGAAGGCAGGGATTGGACTGTTTGGTGCCAATGAAGTTTGTCTTGGGTTTGTTGAAAGGAATGAACTTTTTTTCTGTAAAAGGGTCTGAATCTCAACTCTATTTATAGCAATTCAACGTAGTGTCTTAATTGAATTTGCCCACTTCAAAGTCTGTTTCTTTCATGAATTTAATGAAGTTCTTGGATTTGGTAACATTGGTTTGATCACAAAATCACAACTTTTGCAGATATTAAAAGAAGTAGGAAGAAGATGAATACCAGAGTGAAGACAAGGCTGCAGTCTATGAAGCCTCCTCTGAAGAATGAAAAAGTAATCTTACGTTGAACTCTGAGCCAAGCTAAGCTATGTGCTTTTGACATTTTTTTAATCATAGTTTTAGAAAAACAGTTTTCACTGTGAGAGGAGCCTATCCCATATTGCCATGGAGCGCATAATTATTTCCATTTGAGCTAGCTTTAACCGTTTTCACCACAAAATATGGCTTCAAATTCGATGAGGAGGCTCCCAAAATTCTTAATTTGCTCGCATCTTTGGATAGATTTCCGAGATGGGGTCTTCCATTTCAATCTGAGTAATTGTTTATCCCCATTCCTTTTCTCAATTTTGGTCATTGGCTTGACTGTGACCATCCCCTGTTTCACAAAATTTTCTTCATTGTCCCTACAGGAGACATTAAAGTTTAACTTCTTTGTTTTATTTTCATTATGGGTTATAAATTTCTCTGATTTCCCATTAGTTCTTCTCCTCTTCTCTTCCCAGTAGACTATTTTCTTGTGGGAGCTAATTGTTGTATATATTTAAAGGCGAAGGTAAAAATGCAAGGGAGTAAGCTAAGGGATACCGCAAAAACAATCACCAATGGACGAGCTTCAAGCAGAGAAAGAAAATTGGCTTTACAACAAGACGTATGTTTGAATTTTTGTTTTTATTTTTTAAGTTTTGTGATTTCATATCCTTTGTATCTTCTATTGATTATTGAGTATAACTTTCTAATTTTCTTAGGTTGATAAGCTGAAGAAGAAGCTTAGACATGAAGAGAATGTACACAGAGCTTTGCAGAGGGCATTTACTAGACCCTTGGGAGCTCTACCTCGTCTACCTCCTTATCTGCCTCCTTATGTTAGTAATTCACTATAATTTTTCATATAATATATAAATTCATGGAAGAGGAGTTTAGGAAAGTAACTTGAACTAATTAAGTTAGAGGAATTGAAGGTAATTTCAAATTTTCATTGACACTTTGAAACTCTGTAGACATTGGAGCTTCTAGCCGAAGTGGCTGTTCTGGAAGAGGAGGTGGTTCGGCTAGAAGAACAGCTAGTGCATTTTAGGAAGGATTTGTATCAGGAAGCTGTCAACATATCAACCTCCAAGAGGAAAATGGAAACCTCAGCTGATTTGTGTGATTCATACCCCATAAAGAATCCCAAACAGGAGCAACCCAAATCTCAAGCTCAAAGAGTAAACAATTCTACCAATGCCACAGAGAAGCATTGGCCATCCCCTTCTGGTAAGCTATAGGTTCAACCAAATTAGCTGTAAAATCCCTTGTCCATTTCTAGTGTTAGAAAATTTGGAGCAGGCCATGAAATTCTTAATGTTCTTTGTTGCAATTTCAGATGATAAGCAGGGGAAAGAGAACCAATCTTCTAACAATTCGACGAAGAAGAACAATGAGAAATCTTTGATCCATAAAGCCCAGGTTAGGACTCCAGTGAAGAGACCTCCAATTGATCACAAAACAGCAGAAAAGCGTTCAGATCCTCAGAAACTACAGGTACATACTCAAATTACCACATTTTCATCAAGTTACTCAAACTCATTTCAGTGCCATTAACATGGTATCTTTTGTGTCTTATGTTCAGGTAGAATATAGAGTCATGGACCAAGAAAGTGCACAAGTACCGGACAAAGAGATGTCCGGAGATGAAAGTCCCAACAAAATTTCTGAAAACATTCTGAAGTGCTTGTCAAGCATTCTTATGAGAATGAGTTCAGCAAAGGGCACAGCCGAAAGTTTACCTTCCTTCTCAACATTAGCAGCTCAAGAAAATAATGAACGAAAAGAATCTTGGGATCCTTATGCTATTTGTTCCGAATTTGGACAAAGAGATATCGGTCCATATAAGCAATTACATGCAATTGAAGCTGAAACTATTAATCCAAACCGAACAGCAAATGCTTTGTTCCTACTCCGAAGATTGAAGTAAGTTTTCTGTTCAGAATGTTAGGTTGGTTTTCCACCTTTTGCATGATACGATGATAATTCTAAGAGTTAAAGTCATTTCATTGGCTGAATTCTCAGGCTACTGCTCCGAAAACTTGCTTCTGTAAATTTACAACGTCTCAGTCATCAGGAGAAGCTTGCATTCTGGATAAATATCTACAATTCCTGCATGATGAATGTGTGTAAATAGTTTATGTTCTTTGTACATTCAAGTAGTTGCCTTTGTTAAGGAATTATTTCATCTGCTGCTCTTCTACAATACTGCAGGCATTTCTAGAGCACGGAATACCTGAGAGTCCTGAGATAATTGTTGCACTCATGCAGAAGGTATGGAATATCCAAGATCCTAGAGCTTCTGTTTATAATTACAAATACAATTTTTCACAAATTCCATTTATATGAATAAAGCAAGTGATTAAAACACTTCTGCTGGTCAATAATTCATACTGTTGTATTTCTTCTTACTCAGGCAACAATAAATGTTGGAGGACACTTGTTAAATGCAATAACTGTTGAACACTTTATCTTGAGACTGCCTTATCACTCAAAATATGTAAGTGGTGTCGACTTGTACAGAGATTTTTTTATTTTGGTTTCGTTTTTTTTTTTTTTTTTCTTTTTTTTTTTTTTTTTTTTTTTTTTTATTTTTGGGGGAGTGGGGATTGGCAAGCATGGAAGGAGATAATTTCTCATCAAAATTTTAACTCCTGACCAGACCTTATCCAAGGGTACAAAAAATGATGAGAAGACAGCAAGAAGCATTTTTGGATTGGAATTATCTGAACCTTTGGTCACATTTGCACTATCATGCGGAAGCTGGTCCTCCCCTGCTGTAAGTTTACACATGGAATAAAAAAAACTGTATTTGTACAAATTTCTTCACAGGTTCAAAGTTCCAAGCAACTGACATCAGTAATAAATGGTCTTCTGCCAAATGTAGGTGAGAGTATATACTGCATCCCAAGTTGAAATGAACTGGAAGTGGCAAAAAGAGAGTACTTACAAGCTGCAGTTGGAATTTCATCAACTAAATTTGCAATTCCAAAACTCTTGAACTGGTATCTGCCTGATTTTGCAAAGGATATAGAGTCACTGCTAGACTGGATCTGCCTTCAGCTACCAAGTGAACTGGGAAAAGACGCAATTAAGCTGCTTGAAAGAGGGAAAAATGAACCTCTTTCACAGGTTGTTCAAATTATACCTTATGAGTTCAGTTTTAGGTACCTCCTGTCCACATGATCAAGTTTTTGCGCTCTCTGCAAATTATTGTTTTACATGATTGTAAGGGTGTTGGGGGTTGATTTTGTACATAGCAGCTTATATCAAAATTACATGAATAATATCTGCTCTCTTGTAACTTGTAAGTAATCATGAGATCAATGGATCGGGTTTATGTCAAAAGCACCGGCTATAATCGCAAGAGGCTTAAGTGGTCAAAAGTATTTACTTTTTTACTCTTGACCTCCTGTGTTTCCATGCTCGAGAATATTCATCAGAAACAAGTGGGGTAAGTGGTCCTTAACATTTGTCACTTTCAATGCATGGATGTATCAGCCACATCGAAGTAAAGAACAAACCCTGCTTTTCAAGGTCGAGGGGTCACTGCCAAAAGCATAAAAATGACAAGCCTGCAACTTTCCAAGCACTCATACAAAGTTAAACTATCTTCATCTAACCCTAATTAAACAAGTTAATCATGTTTAAACAAGATTTTCTGTTGAATTTAAACAAGTTTCTACGCCCGTGATAAATCTGGATCCACCTCTCACTGCCCAAAATAGTATGGGAGGTTCGTATCAAACCAAAACCAAAGGGTCCGCGTTGACTTTGAGGCCCAAACCCAATTAGTGGCTTTATCCTCTAGGGCCCCAATATCTTTTTGCAGATAAATTTGGTCCTCTTGTTAAACCTTGGACAACAATTGGACATTGTTATCTTCTAAGCTACTAGACAACCGTACTTTTGGGCCCTCCATTTTATTTGGCGGGAAAATTGCTCAAGTAATTTTGGCGTTAAGACCTATCAACATTATATATTTGTTTTTACTTTTCCTATTGAAATAGACAATAACATACTAAACTCACACAAACTATACGAATGCTAGGACTTGAGCTCAAGACCTTTCCTGGAGAAAGCATTTGCTTCAAACCACTTCACTAGTAGGTCTTTTGCAATAATGCTCCAAACCACTATTAACATTAATCTTAACACGACACAATAAAAGTGGCAGTATAAATGATCACAACATTATTGGCTTAGTAAATATCGTCAAATTAATTATCAACTAGTTAAATTTTATAAGATATGTCACGTGATGTTACTGTTTTCCATGATAATTTATTATGGTTCGGTGCAAAAAGATAGCATCAGCAGGCTAGCAAATAGCATGGCCCCACTCAAGAGTTAGAGCCCGACCTAATGGGAGTGGTGAAGACCATGGTCTAAAATATCGATGATATCTGAAATATCAATTGTCCAAAAATATGGAAATTTCGATGGAAATATCGGGATATTATCGATATTTATAAAAATTGAATAAAAACCACGGAAATTGTAAGAAAAACTTGGAAATTTTTATTGAAACTTTGGAAAACGTTTATTTAGTCAATTATCTATTAGTTTATCAACAAAAAAGAAAGAAGGAAATGCATTACATGATGGATTTAACTTATTTAAGTTGATTATACAGCGAGCTGGCAAACACTGTGAGTGTAGAAAATATGTAGTAATTAATGAAAAAAATATTAAACACACCATAATAATTTATATATAATGATTTACTACAATATTTTACACTTTATACATTGCATTGTAAGATACATGAGTGGCTTAGTAACATATAGAGTTCCTATGAGGTTCAAATTTTTCACTATCTTCATCATCTCTATGTGTAGAGTAAGTGTATTGTGAAGAGTATTCATCAAATGATAAATCCCCAAAATAATTTTGCATGTAATTGTTAACATGTCACCCCATATAAATATAAATAGTTTAGCATATTATCACTAAAACATAAGTGATGTATGGTGGTTAAGGTGTTGGAGGAGTAAAATGGGAGGGATTCAAAATCCCCTTTGTGTTTTTTTTTCCTCCCTTTTTTTTTTCTTTACATCGATATTTTAACGATATTACACTGATATTTTGACATATTGCTGAAGTGTGAGCGAAATTATCGACATCGATATTTTCTGATATTGTCGATATTTATACGATATGTACATGAATATGTTCTGAAATATCCGTGATTCGAAAAAACCGAAATATCCTCGATATTTCGTCGATATTATCGATATTTCAAACTACAGTGAAGACCTTTTAGAACATGGATTGGCTGAAGATTATGATTATACCCAACTCCCAACCCAAACCCAATCGTTTTTTGGGATTGACATGGTCATGATCAAAATATATGATAAAATAATCCAAACCGTTGAAAACGAAGTAAAAAAGAAAGAAGAAAAGGAAACGAATCCAACGATATGCAGCACGTTTCACACGTAAGGAGTTGAGAGATGTGTCGTAGTATAAGACTGTTGTCTAATATGGGAGTATAGATTAGAAGATGCCAAAATGGTAATTGCATCATTTGAAAAGACAATTTGATTTAATTAATGAATGAGTGAAATAATCCAACCAATTTAATCATCTGTATTATTTTATTTCATTTTTTGGATAATACCCTGATTCGAAAAATGAAAAGCCCTCCCTCCACAACAAGCCAAACTGATCACATTTCAAAGTCGTTTTTAGATGTGTCTAGACAAAACGACTGGTGGAACCTCACCATCTTCTATGTTCAACTAGCTTTGCTCAAACCAAAACCAGCAGTCGTTGATTTGAAATCTGTAGGCTTCTGCATGTACCTCTTTTTTCCTTTTTTCCGATCAAAGTTAGTTATTTGTCATGAAAGAAACTTCCTTGTCACGAAAGAAACATTTTTGTTATAGATATGCACTATATTCATATTTTTATATCTTTATTTATGTGTGATTTATACGAGATGAAGCGATAGACAAACACAAAAGTGCATCACGCGTAGCGCGAAGTTATTTCCATATGCTTGGACATGAAACTTGAAAGGGGCATGTTTATTTTATGTGTTGTGTCAACTGTCAATGTGTGCTTGTCATGAGGCGAGCCTTTTTATTTTTTTTAATTTATTTATAATATATTTATATAAAAATTTGCAGACACACGTACGAATACGGCTTGTTTTGAATTAAGTATGTATATATAGATGTGCAGTCATGTGTGTATCAACCACATTTTGTTATTACTTTGATCAGCCAAGAAATTCAACTCCATGAGCTGTCTTCACTTCTAGATGGTCTTTTTTCTTAACTCTCATTTGTTTTAGGAATAGATTTTTCAAATTACCCATTTAGATTAAACAAAAAGAAGGAGGCAGCTAACTTTTCTCATTCATAAAAGACAATATAAGAGCTCCCGCTGGTTTTCATTTTACGTGGTTGTTCACTTGTGACCTACCTAAGAAAATGATATCAACCACGTATATATAGGAATTTAGAAAAGGAATAAAAAAAACAATGCAAGAGCTCCCAATGTTTTCATTTTATATGGAATTTATAGTTGAATTGATTAAGAGCATTTATTTTTGTATCGGCAGTTCTAAGTTCGAGAGTCCCCTATCTCCTATCACCAGTATATTAAAAAAAAGTAATGCTATACTTACCACATTTTTATTCCACATTTCTATATCACATGATGTGGCATGTCCATATCATATGTCACATCAGTTAAATGAATGAAGTGTATTTTAATAAATAAAATAAGAAAAACAGAAACTATTATTTTACATGATGTAATATGTACACATCAGCTGCTACATCATGTGATATGAAATTGTGATATAAAAATGTGATAAGACTAGTATTATTCATTAAAAAATAGGAATTTATAAATATTCTCTTTCCATATTCTACGGATTACATATTTAGAGAACCTGTAATCCGAATTCTTGATTTGACAACATAAATATGTCCCACAATACAAATCTATTGACAATAAAATATATACTACCCTAGTAGACATTTTTGTCTCTACCATCCACAAATAGACACATCAATCCAACCAAATTAATTTTCAAAACTAAAAGAGGGAGTTTTGGACGGCAAATACTTGTCCCTATCAAAATATGTAGTGGTGAGCTCAAAACGTGCACCAACAAATGAATATGGCATTATTCATGCTGCCTTAAGTTAAGACTAAATTGGTCGTCTGCATTCTCCAACCCCATGTGGTGTGTTGCATCTCTCCAAGCCCATGTATATGTGTGTGTATTGGCACCGTAAAAAATGTGAATTTTATGGATAATGCGACATTAAAAGCAACAAGAAAATAAAAAAATAAAAAAATAAAAAAAACTAATTTCTGTATAAAGCTTGGATAAATTATGGTCAGGGACAAAAATTGTGTGAGGAAGATTTTATTGTGGACAGGTGTAAAATGTGATAAGATTGTTCCCTACCAACTCTGTTTTTTTGCATCAAAAAATCAAAAAAAGGGGCTCTGGTTTGAGATTGTTCGGCTAAATTTGTCAGCATTTAGATATTTTCGGGACCCAAAAAGGCCAGATGTAGGTGCACCCAACAACATCAGTCTTAGACTCTTACATGTAACGTTCAATTTATAAGATTTTCCCTACATCTCATATTTTTCAAGAATTAAAAGCTTCAAATTCTAGAAGTCATTTGATTTTAGGCACGTTTATCAGCCATTAAACAAATCTTGAATTAATTCAACTTGTACAGATCTTCAGGTAGATGGGCATTTTTTTTTATAAATAAAACAATTAATTAGGCGAGATTAATTCCTGTCATCAGTAAATGAGTATTAAAATAGATGGATTAATTTACAATACATCAACAAAATATTGTATCCTAAATAATGGGTAACCATCATCAGGTTAATTGGTTTACGTAATTAACTTTATTTTCCCTTAAATTTTACTTCTTCATCATCTCCAAGGCCAACCCAACTGGTATTCTGTAAATAAATAAATAAACTCCAATAAAACTTACATGTTTTACCATATTTCTGAAGCAATCCAAGTCATGTTCCCTATGTCAAGACATTTTTTATATATTCGCATCATTTATTCTCATGGTTTGGTTGGGCTTTGCAAGCACATACCAAACTTGTAGTTATAATTAATCCCACATTTCAGGTGAGGCAATCGACTACGTTGACTGCATGCTTTGTGGTCAAACCAATTAAGCTTGGAGGAAAAGGCTCACAGGTGAATCAGTGATGCCATCCATTGCGCCATGATTACTCTTCTACCTTTGTATATTTATTTGTTTTATCCCACCATCATAGACACTAATTTATGTGAGAGTTATTTATTTACCATAGATAAATGAGGTGAAAAGAGTGTCCAGAACGAAAAGAAATGAGATAATATATGTCCACGTCGACCTCGAAAGGGTCCACTTCAAGGAAAATTCGTACCGTAAAAAAACAAAAAACAAAGGAATGATGAAGGCTTCGGCATGTGAGGTTTTATTAGTGTTTTGTAGCTCAAGTAATAATAGAAAAACCACCATGGTTTGCTACAAAGTATTTAAAGGCGGCTCCTAATCTCTACCTTTGATGGTCATGGTCAACAATCTCGACCTTTCTCATTTCTATGTTCCTTCCTCTACTTGCCCTCTATATATATATTATTGTTCGCCCTTTTCATTGTCTTTGTCCCTCTCAAAAACCAAACTCTCTCAACACAAGAAGCAAGCAATCATGGAGGTGGTGATACCAACCAGAACAGCCATGGATTTCGACTTCAATAGCGCCCGATCTTCGCCATGTGTGACGGCTCCTACGACGCCAAGGCGGTTCGGGGAGTTCTACATGAGTGCACCAACAAGCCCAACTAGGATGTCTGAGTTTTACAGGGAGTTTGAAGAGTTCTCCAACAGCAAATGGGAAGATGATGAGCCGCCAACTCATGAAGGAGCCACACCAAAATCTCCCAAATCGCCTAAGGATGAGTTTGGCTTTGAGGACTTCGCATTTGATGTTAGTGAGGAGGTGGACAGAACTTCTCTCTCAGCTGAAGAGCTTTTCGATGGCGGCGTTATCCGACCCTTTAAGCCTGCTCCTGCAACTAACACCCCCAGAACTCCATCCTTTTTCCGTCAAGTTCTTTCGCCTAGATGGAAAAAGGGTAAAGACCATCCACTTGGGCCGTCGTCCACGACCCAAATGGACAACACCACAAAGAGAAGTGATCAGCACCAAAGAGGAAGAGACAGAACTCCTGCAGCCTTGTCATCCTCTGTTTCGGGCCATAGAGCAACAAGGTCCCTATCTCCTTTGAGGGTTTCGGAGTATCAATGGGAAGAAGAAGAAAAACAACAGCAACAGCAGCAACAACAAAACAACAGACAGTTAGCTCCAAAAGCCATGTTTTCTCCCTCTGCTGCTGCTTCAGCTTCAAAGGCTTCAAAGAAATGGAAACTGAGAGACTTTCTGCTGTTTCGAAGCGCATCAGAAGGAAGAGCAACAGATAAAGATCCATTCCGAAAGTACTCAAATCTGTTCAAGAAAAACGAAGATGTCAAGAACTCCAGCTTCAGGTCCATAGACAGCCCGGCGGCCCCGAACTCAAGAAGAAGAGGGCCAGTTTCAGCTCATGAGTTGCATTACACTATGAACAAAGCAGTGTCTAATGATATGAAGAAGAAGACCTTCTTGCCTTACAAGCAGGGCATTTTGGGTCGATTGGCCTTCAATCCTGCTGTCAGTGCACTTGCCAATGGCTTTGGGTCTCTTTCACGGTCCTGAATCTGCCACAGATTTTTTGTTAATTTTTGAGAAAATTTGCTGTTTTTCATCAATTTTTTTCTGCTGTAAAGTTGCCTATTTATTTGTTTTTAGCAGTGTAGAATACATACTAAGAGGATTGTGGTTGATGGTTTGCAGTTAAAAACACAAAAATCAAGCATGATTATTGCCCCCATTACTGCATACACATTCTTTCCTTCTTTCTTTGTTTTATATCAAAGTTTGTAATTGGAAGAATATATAAATATACATGCTGGAAGAAAGAAGCACATATTTATCAAATCTTATATATGTTATCTGTCTGCTGCACCATCAATTTTGTTAGCGATCTCAAATCAAACACTTTTTTTGGTTGGCTATGGAACCCTAAATCACAACCACATCTATTTAATACCCTATAGTCAATGATTTCCTCAGAAGATGAACTCAAAAGACCTCCACCTCAGGGAAGGAAGAGCTATGTCACCAAGGTAATTGGCAAGAAAATCAAATATAATTTTTTAAGAAAAAAATTTGACTTCTAGCACAATCAATCCATTAGGCAAAAGACTGAGAACACCTGAATGACTCTGGACCGTTGGATAAAGTGGGTCTCACAGTATAAGACCAACCATCAAGGGCTGACAATTTCCTATATGTGTGAACCAATACTGGCCAGCAAAGCTATCTCAGACATGCATGTATTTGGTGACACCAGATAAGAAAAACAACGGTATGAAACATAGAACACGAAATTCAATTTTTGTTAGATTGACTTCTTATTTGATTATCCTAATTCATCAATCTAGAAAGTCAATACGTCATGATAGGACAACTGTCTTTTTTTTTAATTTTTTTTTTCGGAGAATGGAAAAATAAAAGTTCTATAAAACATGGGCGGAACTACTAGATTGATTATAGATAGAGATGAACCACTAGACTCATTTTTTATTTTAGCTAGAATGGGACGAAACACTAGACTCGTTTATTCTTCTACAATTTTTAATGTTTTTCCTACGGGGTTGCTAAACAGAATATAACGGGTGGTAGGCAAAACATATTGTCAACTTCTAGAGGGGAGAAGGGAGCATTGCAATTTGCAATACCAAGGTGGGATGTCAAAGCAGTTTATAGAAGTTAGCTTTAAGATTCTACAACCATATATACATATAATTAAACTACAACTCATAATTTACCCTAATTCGAACCGAAACCTTGAGATTAAATGTGACATAATAATAGAACAGAGAGCATGTAAAGATCGTAAGTCATTTCCAGTTTGAAAAAAGAAGAAGATAGTAAGTCATTTCAGTTTTCCGGAACAAGCTGTGAATCAGTTCATGCTCATTTCATTTTTGTCATCCATAATAGATCCGCAAATTCCTTAAAACTAGCAAATTGTTCTTGGTCAGATTGAGCGGAAACCAAATAACAAGTCAAAACCTGCAAACGTATTGCCTCATATAAATTACAAAAGTACACAGAGGAGAATTTCAGAATGTGGCACCTCTTTTAGTGAATGCTTAATTGAAGTTATCAACTTTGATTGGGGTAATGTCATCTGCAACCTTGAAGTGTCCAACTAACCGTGCAAAGAAAACCATTTGTTGCTCCAGCGTGAACTTAATGTTCTCAGCCTGTGTACAATACTATATCAGTTTGTTGTATCCAATCATTAAACTTTTGTGAGTACGTACAACGTAACATTGAAAATACTTTGCAGAAACCATGTTGTTCCTCCTTCGTACTCCACGAGAGCAACAGGCAGACCCTTATCCTTTAAAGCATGGTATATTGTACGAGCTTGTACTGGGGGTACAGACTACAAAACATAATGTACTTTCCAAACTCAGTCTTTAAGTTCATGAAACCACTAGATACCATAATTTTATCTCATCTCCTCTGTGCCGAAATTATCATCCTTAGTTATCACATGGTGAAAGAGGAGGATTAAAAGAAGTATGACAAAGAAAAGAAAATGCTACAATTTTCTTACCTTGTCTTCCAATCCTTGAAATAAGATAATGGGGCAAGAAATTCTATCAATGAAGTTGATTGGCGACCTTTCAAAGTAACCCTTTTCACTACCTGCAACCAATTATGTTTGCTTCAACTTCATGGCATCAATAAAGTAAAGCCTCAAATGTCATCTTCTGACTTACCAATCAATATAGTGAGACTCAAATTTTTGAGTTTCTGCCCTCAACATTGTCAAGTCAGCTATCTGTTCATGGACCAATATATGACCCAAAAAAATTGTCAGTTCTCTAGTTCATAGCGCATACTATGTTATGTAAAAGGATATCAGTTAATGATATAAAAAGGAAAAAAGAAACGGAATTAGAGTATTAATGTGTCATCAAGCTTCAAGAAAGCAAAGTTAGTATATAAAGGGAAGAGTACAGAACATTCACCGCAGCAGAGGCCTAGTTAGAAAGATTATTCGGCAACATAATTTTACACGATGCAATAATATAACCACTGGTTTCTTCTGATATCACTGTCCACAAGAAATGAATAGTAAACTTAGTATAGAGTTAGACACTCACACCATACAAGGAAGCTCCTGCCTTAAAGGTGTCTCTAAAAGCAAGAGCAGCCAAGGTTGTATAACTACCTGCAGAGTCCCCAGTAATACACAGCCGTTTGCCATCTACCTTCCCAGAATCCACCTAGATAACAAAAATATATATTACCATGGCTTGATGGGTGCTCTACCAAATTCATCAACGTCTAGGGTAAAATGAATACCAAATATCTAGCACAGCTGCAACAGTCATTTACATCCACAATTCCCCATTTCCTCAAGAGCCTTTCACGATATTCTCTGTCATAACCTTAAAACCCATTGTCTAAGATATGATGGAATATAATTTGAAAAGAACAAAAAGATTGAAATGTTGACAGTAATATGAGGATTCATAAACTCAGGATCAAAGGACTCCAGAATCATCATTGTGCAATAAAGAGATCCCATGAAAACGAAATAACAAGCATAGACTACAATATAAGGTTAAAAGCAAACCACTGCTTCCACCATAGTTAACAGCAACAAATGCCCCACCCCGACTAGTCCAGTACTGAATACTCAGATTTAAGATTCCGCACGATTCAAATGTGGGTCCTCCTGCAGTAAATCAAAGAAGAAAAATGCTATAACAAATAAATTCACAAAAACAGCTAAACTATAGTACCATTCGTTTGAGAGAAGGGATAACTCCAACAAGGGCACGTAATGAAAAGGCATTGAATAAGCATGCTTAATGTAGATAATGTAGGTGGGAAATAGTCTCCTTTGCAATAAATTATCCTATTCCCTGAATGAAGTATCTTTTCATTGCAACAAGTAGATAATATTGTCCTCTAGCTCTGAAAGGCTCACCTGCATCATCCCAGGAATTGCAGAACAACATTTGCAAAAGAAATGCCCCAATATGGAAAACTTAGGAATTATAACTAGGAAACTTTTAAATCAGAGCATACCATGGGCTTGCAATAACAGTGGAGGCTTTTCTTCCTGAGTGGCTTGGTAATCAGGATTTGATGGTGTGTAAAAGTATGCAAAGGCAGTTTGACCAGGAACTTCTGTTGGGAATCGAATAACTTTGGGTAAGCTGAAGTAGGACTTGTATTTTAAAAAATCAGGTGAAGAAGACCAAATAATCTTGAATGCAACTGCTTTTGATTTATGGTCATCTAAAGTCACCTACACCAAAAGAGAAAGGTTTAAAGATACGAAACAGAAGTGGCCTAATTCACAACAATAGCCTTCACCATTATATGCTGCAACAGAGAGGTGTTGTAAAATGGGACATCAAAGATCGCAAAACACCTTCGCTACAGACAGTGGATGAACTTCTGATGCTCCCTTCACGTATAGGCAATTGATCCCTAAAGTCAGCATAGACAAATATGCAAGTTTTGAAATGTATAGGCCGGTCAAATACTTAACAGCTTTAGCACATAAAATACTTAACAGCTTTAGCACATAAACTTAATGAGCATAAGATTTTTGGAAGTACAATATTATCTGTATCCGTGAAAGGAATATTAAGCACGGAGAATGAGCTCTGAACATCATCCAGATTTCCAAGATATGACCTTCCATTTTGCCTACATGTAAACATCCAAAACTCATTTCTTGACTAAAGCAGATAGACAATAATCATTTCCAAGTACAAGATAAACACAATACAGCCAAACCTAACTTTCCTACCTATAGCTGCAAGCAATTAAGATATTTTGCTCATGGCTCTGAATAAGTTCATAAGAATTCATTCCAAAATTCCATAATGGTCCGGAGAACTCAGCATCCCAAGAATAAACAGATATCACCTCATTATTAGACTCAACCTCGTCAAAGAAAATCTGAATTAGGAAGACATATAAAATGATGAATGCCAATTAGCACCAAATAACTGTTGTTCAACTACACAAAATGTTTAAGTATCGTAAAATTTCAGTATATAGATCTAGGCAAACAGAAATGTTAAAGTAAGAAAATTACCCATTTATACAGATTCCAATACGCATTTTGTCTGTCAGTAATAAAAAATAGTTCCCCTGCACCACTCAAGCATAACCAATTAAAGCATAGCATGAAGCAAATGAAAGTCCAAAATTTTCTTGGATAGAGTAATAGCAACTATTGAACTTGTAAAATGTGACTCCCACAATATGAAATTAACAAAAGCAGATACCTTGAGGTATTCTATTTGAGCAGTAAAAGCCAATAATTAGTCAAGGAACTCTTATCTTGAAGCGATTGTATGCACAATAAGATTGTTGATCCTGCCAGTACTTTCAAAACATGAAAGGAGTTCCCTTTTTCTTAAGGATGTACATTTATCCTCAACAGAGATGCAATGGATACTTGTACTCAATGAAGTTCAGTCAAGTATCTATCAAGTATGATATTTTAATAATGACATTTCAAGTTGAAATTTGCTCCTCAACCAAGTAAATTAATAAAAAAATCACCTTTAGATGACCACTTGGGTTCAGTTGGAGACTCTCTGATTGCAGGATCACAGCCAGCAACACAGATCCGTTTGTAGACTTCTTTGTATGAAAGAACCAAGAAGATTAATTAACCCTGCTAGCAAAAGCATGTATCATCGCAGAAAGAAGCGCTATATCATCCCGAGAAGAAATTAGCTTACCCTATCTCAGATATATAGCCAACCCAGAGTTGAGCTTTATCCCATGGCATGTCGGGATGAGACCACTCAATCCATGCAAATCGTTCACCTTTGCGGTCCAGACGAGGGAAGGCATAGAAGTCGCTTCCACCTACTAGTACTTCTGGTTCTGGATGCCACATGGTGCCACCCACATTACGCAATACACATCAGTCCTCGGTACATCAATGTTATAGGGACAGGGGTTTAGTTTTGACAAACTCTTGATAAATTTACCCCGAATATCCGTGTTGTCAAGCTCTACTGCCACGATTGTTGTGATGGGATCAGTGGTGCTTTGACGAGCATCTACACATACACAACAGAGAGAGATTGGATTGACGTTTGACATATACATAAATGGCTTTATAGTAGTAAAAATGGAGGGATGACATGCCTTCCCGCAGAGTTATATAACGATTAAAGCGGGCATCAAACACCTCATCAGCATAACTCACAATTGGTCCACCATAATCCGGAGTGAGTGGTGTAGGAGAAGAATCTGGTAAAGACAGGCATTTCACAACAACAACAACAACAACAACAACAACAACAAAACAACAAAAACAAAATTAAATAAATATAGCAGCTTAATTTCAAATAAGCATTTCATGTATAATAATATATATATTTGTACCAACCACCAATAGTGGAAGAAGTTAAGGACTGCTTGTAAAGGCGTTGGTCGCTGTAATTGGAGAAAACTAGTGTATCTGTATCCGCTGAAACTCTGAAGGCACCGCCACTTTCGGAGCCCTGAGCCATTGTGCGCACCGCATACTCCTTGGGGGTAATATCAACCGGTCCCTCCCCTGCCCTCTCCGGTTCTCTCACCACCACCATTCGTCAGTAAATAAATAAATAAATACCCTCATGACCATGACCAATGACAATGAGCATGAAGGACTCAAATTTCAATTAATGTAGAGCTAGAAAACAGACGTACCCGGATTCATTGGGGCGAGACTCGAGGCAGAGGAGGCGGCCGAGGGAATCGACGGAGGTGCCAGTGAGTAGCTTGGAGGCGGCGGAGACGACGTAGGCGGTGATGGGAGATTTCCAGGAGCCATAGGGAGCTGTGATTTGCTTAACTTCCAAAGGAGTAGTAGCCGTTGGCTTGAGGTCCTGCATTTTAGTTGGAAGGGAGACTCACTCTGGCTGCTGGCGATGATCAAATTCCATGGTTTACTTAGTGATATGTTGAAGTTGAGGAGGACGTATATGTCTGTGTGATGATGAGGAGGAGGAGGACCGGGGAAGAAAGCCATTTGACTCATCATCTCCTCCTCAGAAACGCTCGCCACCTCACTCCCTCTCCATTCGACAGTCACCACCTCATCTTTACTGCCACATTGTTCCCTTTTCACATTGTCCAAATGTCCATTGTTCCCTTTTCTATTGTCCAAATGTCCACTCAAGCATACCTAAAATAAAATCCAATCCATTTGTTCATTACTTAATTATGAAATTACCTTCCACCAAAATATATATATATATATATATATATGAAATTACCGGTCAATAGGGGTTTATTTCAGTGAAAAACGGCAATTTTTTATCAGTTGCAGGGGAGATGGAGACACGAAAAGAAAATATAAAATAAGAGCCAATCGGAACTAATTCGATAGAAAAGAGCTTTGACTTGTAAACTAGTAGTCTTATATTCAAATCCCCATTGCACCTTAATGTTAATAACATGTTTGAGAAACACTTCTTCCCTTCATAGTTTATACTACAACTTATACTAAAATAGAAAAGTTGCAGATGGAGACGAGACTCATGTTTTTGTTTTTGGTGAACAAATTCTGAAATTAGACATAAAATTGCACAAAATTTTGTGTGGTGTGCAACTAATAACTCAATTATAACCTAGTCCCTGCCAAGCCACCGAACGAGGAAGCAACATTTTATACATATCATCCAACGACATTTTGGGCTTCCATTCTGCCATTGATGAAATATGTTACTAGTAGTGTAACTATTCATTACATTTTGTATTTTATTTAGTCAAGTTTTTTATGTGGGATTCATATTCTTCAACACACCCCATCATATGGGACCACCATATAGTGGGCCACATGTGGAGCCAAATTCATATCAAAGTCAATCATTCAAGCCCAACACGTGAGCACTACATATTGAGTAAAGAATAAGGGTAAACATTCAAATCAAACATGTGAACACCATATATTGAGTAAGAGTAAAGGCCCAATTTAGGTCCAATCAATCAACCTGGCTCGGATACCATGTTAAATTTCAAAGAGACGAACTAATAACCCACTACTAATAACACCGATATTATCCACAACTTAACCACCTATAAAGCTCAATAAATGTGAGATTTTATCACAAAAGACCTCGATATTATTAATAATGTAACCATTCATTATCTTTTGTATTTTATTTAGTCAAATTTCCTATATATGACTCATATTCTTCAACACTCCTTACGTTACTGATCACAACACTTCGCACAGAGCATCGCATGATTCTCGAAATATGTTAATGGAAACGAATACATATCATCAAAGCCCATAAGGAAACAGAATTGCTTCGATACAAACTTCACACAAGGTTTAAAAGTTACACGTGTCATATGTACATCAAGTCAACGCAAAAGGACTGTGACAAACTTGACATCGAACGTGGCATAATAGACCAGAGAACATGTTAAACATAGTTAAATTCATATTTCTCACGTTGGACATAACACATGCATACATGTAGGTGTAATAGGAGATCTACAAGTTCCTTCAAACTAGAAAATTGTTTGTGCTTCTCAGACGGCACAAAAATCTCTTGAAGAATCAAACCTGTAAAACATAATTCATCGCATGAAAACTGAGACTGACTCGGGCATGAGGCATCTCTCTTTACTAAATGTTTAATCGAAGTTGTCAATTTTGATCGGATTAATCTCATCAGCGACCTTGAAGCGTCCAACTAAACGTGCAAAGAAAACCATTTGCTGTTCCAACGTGAACTTGATGTTCTCAGCCTGTGCATGTAAAAATACAACATCAGTCTACTCTTTCCAATCATTTCAATTTGTTACTTAATGCATCAACATGGAAAATATAAACAGAAAATACCTTACGGAAACCATGTTGTTCTCCTTCGTACTCCACAAGAGCAACAGGCAAACCCTTTTCCTTCAAAGCTTTGTATATTTTACGAGCTTGATCTGGGGGTACAACCTACAAAGTAAATCGTATTCATAAACTCATAAATAAAACCCAAAAATACCACCACTGAATTAAACAAATGACCCGTTTTATTACATGGTGACTGCTGATAGAAGGGTAAAAGAAAAAGATTATCGGGCAAGATCTGCTTACCTTGTCTTCCAATCCTTGGAACAAGATTATCGGGCAAGAAAACTTATCAGCAAAGTTGATTGGTGACCTATCATAGTAATCCTTTTCACTGCCTGCAACAAGTTAAAATTGCCTCAAAGCAATAACAATAAAAGAACTAAGTATAGCACGGTGGCACCCAATGTCATCGTCTGACTTACCAACGAGATTATCAATATAATGAGATTCAAATTTGTGAGTTTCTGCCCTCAACATGTTTAAGTCGGCTACCTGCTCAGGGACCAAATAAACAAAGAAAATTCAGTTTTATAGTTCATTGAGAATTATGTGCAATGTAGAAGGATGTTAGTTAATAAGAGAAGAAATTAAAAAATATATATAGGACAAAAAGAGAAGTAGTGAATTTCTATCAAGCTTCAGAAAGAATGTTCGCATATAAAAGCAAAGAATACAGGAGATTCCTTGAACAAGAGGCCAAATCCTAAATATTCATATACAACATAGTCTTTCATAATGCAAAAATATGACCCATCCCTCAGTTCTCTAGTTAATAGAAAACCAAGGGATTGGTTAAGAGAGACAAAAAAAATTAATAATAAAACCAAGTAAAGAGTTAGGCACTCACGCCATACAAGGAAGCTCCTGCCTTGAAGGTGTCTCTAAAAGCAAGAGCAGCTAAGGTTGTGTAGCCACCTGCAGAGCCCCCAGTAATACAAAGCCGCTCCCCATCTGCCTTTCCAGAACCCACCTAGATAAAAAAGTATATAGTACCCTGGCTTGATGGATGATCTATTAAGTTAATCATGACCATTTAGGTAGGGGAGATGAAATGAATACCAGATATTTAGCACAACTGCAACAATCATCTACATCCACAATTCCCCATTTCTTCAAGAGCCGTTCACGATATTCCCTGCCATAACCTTAAAACCCATTGTCTAAGATATAGAGGAATATAATTTGTAAGGTAAATCTTTTACTGGCCAAACTAACTCCATCAACAACAAAAATAAGCAAATATAGTAAATGAGTTTGAAATATAGTGTAATCAAAGATAGCATAAACTCAGGATTGACAGACAAGGGGCTGTCTTACTAGTGCCATGAATATGCAGCAAAAAGATCTCATAAAGATAAAATAAAAAAACAACATAAGGTTAAGAACAAACCAGAGCTTCCACCATAGTTAACATCGACAAATGCCCAACCACGACTAGTCCAGTACTGAACACTCAGATTTAAGATTCCACGTGATTCAGCTGTGGGCCCTCCTGTAGTAAATCAAAGAAAAACAAAGTTGTAATGAATTCTGTTTATAAGAACAGCTAAACTATACATTGAAGAGAACAGACATATTTGACTATAAAGGGCACCTAACTAAAAGGCATTGCACATGCGTACTTCTAATGTTACTACTATAGGTAAATTACGGTTGAAATGATCTACTCTGCTATATAATACTGTATGTTCCATTGTTCCCTGATCTAAATAACTTGTTGAAACTTATAAAGTGTAATCCTTTTTAAAATGAAAGACTCACCTGTCATCCTTACAGAAAGTGCATAACTATATTTCAAACTAAATGCCTCAAGACCATTTAGGAATTATAACTACGAAAATTCAAATCACACGTACCATGGCTTTTCAATAACAGTGGAGGCTTTTCATCATGAGTAGCTTGGTAATTGGGATTTGATGGTGGATAAAAGTATGCAAAGGCAATTTGACCAGGAACTTCTGTTGGGAATTCAATTAATTCAGGTAGGCTGAAGTAAGACTTGTATTTTAAGCAATCAGGTGAAGAAGACCAAATAATCTTGAAATCAACTGCTTTTGATTTATCTTCATCCAAAGTCACCTGCAAGAAAGAAAAAAAATGGAAACATGTGACACTAGTGGTTCAATTTCCAAAAAATAGCCTTTGCCTGACAATAGGAAGAGGTACTTTACGATAAGCCATAAAATATGTTAAAAACCTTAGCAACAGACAACGGATCAACTTCTGATGCTCCTTCCACGTATAGGCAATTGATCCCCAAAGTCTGCGTAGACAAATATGAAAATTTTAAAAACCTATAATCAGGTCAGATAATTAACAACTTTAGCACAGAAACTTAGTGAAAATAAGGTTTTTAGAAGTACAATATTATCAATATCCGTGAAAGGAATGCTAAGCAGAGATAGTGAGCCCTGAGCATCATCCAGAATTCCAAGATACGACCTCCCATTCTGCCTACATGCAAACATCCAAACTTAAGCTAGACTAAATTGCATAGTTAATAATATTTACAAATTACTAGTCAAAACAAGATTAATGCAAAACAACCACAAATAATTCTTACCTATAGCTGCAAGCAATTACGTTTTTTTGTTCATGGCTCTGAATAAATTCATAAGAGTTGATGCCAAAAACCCATAGCGGTTTAGAAAACTCAGCATCCAAGGAATAAACTGATAGGACCTCATTGTTAGACTCAACCTGTTGATAAGTGAATTAAGAAAATGTATATATTATAATAAATGTCAATTGACGCCAAATAATTGTTGTCTGACTAGGCAGCATGTTCAAGCAACAAAAATTGAGTATAGTGTTATTCAATTCCAAATACAGTTGTCTGATTAAGAAAATAAAAAAAGAAGGAAAATTTGTTGTCAAACTAGGCAGCATGTCCAAACAATGTTAAATGAAGTATATTGTTCTTATTATTTGCAATAAATAAGCCAGACAGAAATGTTAAAGTACGAAATTTACCCATTTATAGAGATTCCAGTACCCACTTTGTCTGTCAGTAATAAAAAATAGCTCCCCTGCACGATTCAAGCATAACCAATAAGTTCAACAGTTTTTTGTCTATCTTAATAATTGAAAAAATAGCTCCCCTGCACGATTCAAGCATAACCAATAAGTTCAACAGTTTTTTGTCTATCTTAATAATTGAAAAAATATATCAATTTCACTATACAGAATAAACAAGAGTGAAAGAAATCGGTAGAATCTAAGAAACCACATAACTTGAAGTGTTCGATTGTGAATAGTAACTGCCAAGAGTTAGTCATGGAATGTGATCCTTAATCGATAAAATATTGGTATTCAATATTGTTGACCCCACCAGTGCTTTACAAAGATAAAATAAATTCCCCTTTTAGCCAAGGATGCACATATAGGTTTTCCCTGCTAAAAGATGTACCCAATACTTGTAGTAAGTTCAGTACATTATACCTTGTTAGCATGAGCCTTTAATAATACATTCCAAAGTTAAATATGTTAAATATGTTCATCAACCAATAATTTTTAGGGTACCTTTAGAGGACCACTTGGGTTCAATTGGAGACTCCTTAATCGTAGGATCAGATCCAGCAACACAGATTCGTTTATGGACTTCTCTGCATGGAGCAGATACAAATCCGTTCAGAATTTAAAAAATGAACCTCCAATAATGGATATGGATTTATTATTAAACCAAGTGACCATAGCGTAGGACAACAGCAAGAAGAAGAACGGAGTTACTGAAAGACAGAAAAGCTATGTAAAAAATGTTATTCTTATATGCACCTTTATAACAGTATTGAGTAAATATAACTACATCATATGTAAATAGAACTCAAAGAATGCACGAAGTGTGCATATTACAAGCCATACTTTGAAATATTAGTGTCTTCAGTGGTGACCTAATGTTTCTTGTAAAGATAAATTTTGGAACTGAAAAATGATTTGCTTACCCGCTGTCAGATATATACCCAACCCAAAGTTGAGCCTGGTCCCATGGCATGTTAGGATGGCACCATTCAATCCATGCCAGTCGTTCACCTTTGGGATCCAAACGCGGGAAAGCATAGAAATCAGTTCCGCCTATTAGTACTTCTGGTTCTGGATGTTACATGATACCCGCATTAGTTAAATAATATCAGATGTACTGCAATACTTTTAGTGTTACACATATACTATGGCATTGGAAAATGAAGCAAGACATGGGTTTTTGACAACCTCTTACCCCGAATGTTCTTGCCATCTAGCCCTACTGTTACAATTGTTGTTGTCGAATTAGTACTGCTTTGACGACGATCTACGCAAAATGAGAAATGGGATTGACACATAAATGCCTTACTGACTATATAGAAACGAAAAGCAGAAGAACATGCTTATACTAATGCGCCACATCCATATCCACATACCTTCTTGGACAGTGACAAACCGGTTAAACCGTGCATCAAACACCCCATCGGCATAACTAACAACTGGGCCACCATAATCTGGAGTGAGTGGCACAGGTGAAGAATCTGGATGGCACCAATATTAACACAAGTCATCATCTTCCAAATTAAACATTAATATAATTTTGCTTGAGAATTCGGAAAACAACAAGAGTATATAAACAATTATATGGAAAACATCATATACCATTGGGACTCAGGGACTGCTTGTAAAGGCGTTGATCCTTGTAATTGGAGAAAATGAGTGTATCGCCAGAAACACTGAAGGCGCCACCTCCGTACTCCTGAGCCAGAGTTCGAACCGCATAGTCCTTGGGCGTAATATCAACTGGTTCACCCTCCGGTTTATCCGGTTCTCTCACCAGAACCGCTCGTCTATTCATACACCAAACAGTTCCTCGTTGGTCAAAATACAAATAAATCCATGAAAAATTACAAAAGTATAGATAGATACCCTGATTCAGAGGGACGAGACTCGAGCCAGATGAGGCGGCCGAGGGAATCGATGGCGGTACCGCCGAGTCGCTTGGAGGCACCGGAGACGACATCGGCGGTGATTTGGGATTTCCAGGAGCCGTAAGGAGCTGAGATTTTCTCTGATTGCTTGGGCTCCGTGGGAGAAGACGAAGAAGACGACATTTGCAGGCGGTTGTGGGTGTTAGTTGGGGCTCGGGAGCTGAAGCGTTTACTAATACGATTGAAGGAAGAAGACGAGAAGCGAGTGAGAGTGAGAGTAGCTATGGACGTCATTTTGACTCTCTCGAATCTGCGTTTTTATATTTTGGGGCTTTCTCCGTTACGGATTACTAATTTGCGGATTGAATGCGGATTTCTATTTGGAACCGTTAGATGTCATTGCCGGTGGAGATTTAACATAAAAAGCAAAACATAAAAAATACCCCTTTGCACCGCCATTTGAGAAACAAAGAAACAACAGGCAAACCCATCCAATCCAGAGACCCGTGCTTCTCTATCGTCTTTCCCACCAAAGAAACATTTGCCCACAGTTCTCTGGCAAAATTCTTCAGGTAGGTTTGTGGTTTGGACTGTTGGGATTGTGGCTTGGACTGCTGGGGGATTTTATTCTTCTTCTTCTTCTTGTGCTTGTGGTTGTGCTTGTGAGTTTGTGGCGTTGATGTTTTTTTTTATTTTTTGGTTCTGGATTTAAAAAATAGAACATTATCACTCAAGGTGGAGGCAGGCCATCGCTTGTCAATACCAGCACCAAAGAGGGAGGAGGCTGTGAAGCCTGGGTTTTGGGTCATTTGGGACTTGGTGTCTTCTGCGTCTAATTCCATCAGTACCAAGGAAAAAAGAAAGAGAAAAAACTGTTGAGAGACTCTTCTGAGAGATTTGAGAGGTCGGTGCCTCTTGGGTTTGCTGTCAGAAAAGATAAAAATAAAAACTAGAGAAAAATTAACTCTTGTGGAGAAGCTCTTATTGTTTGCTGTCAGTGACTACACTTTAATTTAGTTTGGTGTGAACTATTTTGGTTCTCAAATTCTGTTCTTTGAGCTATTGCCCCTTGGTATGGAGCAAAGCTTGGAGCAAAATTCTTCAGGCGGGAGAGAGAACTCCGAAATGCACGGGGAAGAAATGTTTCTTTGGTGGGAAAGACGATAGAGAAGCACGGGTCTCCTGGATTGGATGGGTTTGCCTGTTGTTTCTTTGTTTCTCAAATGGCGGTGCAAAGGGCTATTTTTTATGTTTTGCTTTTTATGTTAAATCTCCACCGCCAATGACATCTAACGGTTCCAAATAGAAATCCGCATTCAATCCGCAAATTAGTAATCCGTAATGGAGAAAGCCCCTTTATATTTTTAAAATAAGACCGTGTGTAACGTGTTTCAAGAAATCGCACCCCAGAAAAAAAAAACAGTTTTTTAAGCATGTGCATAAACACACCGTGTGGACGTTTTGGAATGGGCGGGAAACCGCGGGCTTTCAAGGTTTGGGCTTCAAACGCTACTATGGCCCGGGTAAGAAAACCGTCAAGCCTCTTATGAGCCCTAAAATCACTTTTATGGCCCGAGATCTCGTTAGTTTCAAGCCCAGAGGTGGTTTGCCAGTTTCGTTTGACTTTTAATACAAGAAGCGTTTGGGATCAAATTGGATCAAACTGCAATTATTTTGGTTCACTTCGGTTTGGCCTATTTTAAAATAGTCTATGATATTGATTATTTCGATCTGTTATCAACATTTACAGTTAACTTTCATCTCCCACATTGATATTAACCATTTATTACCAAAACAAAAATTCTTAAAATGTTTTGGTATAAGAGGAAACGATGGAGCTAAATCAGTCACTATATGAATTGATTTGATTCAGTTCATACTATTAATTTGAGGCATATATTTAAATAATTTGAATCGTGATGTTACATATTTGGCATGTGGATTAAAGTCAAACTCGAAGCAAATCAAACAGTGCTCACCATATTCCATTTAACTATTTACCAAGTTCATATCGAAGTTAATCATTCAAACGCAACATGTGAGCACCATGTATTAGGTAAAGAATAGTGGTAAACATTCAAGCCCAACATGTAAACACGACATATTGGGTAAAGGTAGAGGCCCAATTCAAGTCCAGTCAATCAACCTGGTTCTGATACCATGTTAAACTTTAGAGAGACGAACCAGCGGCTCACTACTAACAACACCGAAAATCCCCAACTTAATCACCTACAAAATCCAGTTGGCGTGAGGTTTTATCACAAAAGACCTCGGTATTGTTAATAGTGTAAGCATTCATTATATTTTATATTTTATTTAGTCAAATTTCCTAAATGAAACTCATATTCTTCAACACTCCTTGCGTTACTGATCACAACACTTCGCACAGAGCATCGCATGATTCTCGAAATATGTTAATGGAAACGAATACATATCATCAAAGCCCATAAGGAAACAGAATTGCTTCGATACAAACTTCACACAAGGTTTAAAAGTTACACGTGTCATATGTACATCAAGTCAACGCAAAAGGACCGTGACAAACTTGACATCGAACGTGGCATAATAGACCAGAGAACATGTTAAACATAGTTAAATTCATATTTCTCTCGTTGGACATAACACATGCATACATGTAGGTGTAATAGGAGATCTACAAGTTCCTTCAAACTAGAAAATTGTTTGCGCTTCTCAGACGGCACAAAATCTCTTGAAGAATCAAACCTGTAAAACATAATTCATCGCATGAAAACTGAGACTGACTCGGGCATGAGGCATCTCTCTTTACTAAATGTTTAATCGAAGTTGTCAATTTTGATCGGATTAATCTCATCAGCGACCTTGAAGTGTCCAACTAAACGTGCGAAGAAAACCATTTGCTGTTCCAGCGTGAACTTGATGTTCTCAGCCTGTGCATGTAAAAATACAACATCAGTCTACTCTTTCCAATCATTTCGATTTGTTACTTAATACATCAACATGGAAAATATAAACAGAAAATACCTTACGGAAACCATGTTGTTCTCCTTCGTACTCCACAAGAGCAACAGGCAAACCCTTTTCCTTCAAAGCTTTGTATATTTTACGAGCTTGATCTGGGGGTACAACCTACAAAGTAAATCGTATTCATAAACTCATAAATAAAACCCAAAAATACCACCATTGAATTAAACAAATGACTCGTTTTATTACATGGTGACTGCTGATAGAAGGGTAAAAGAAAAAGATTATCGGGCAAGATCTGCTTACCTTGTCTTCCAATCCTTGGAACAAGATTATCGGGCAAGAAAACTTATCAGCAAAGTTGATTGGTGACCTATCATAGTAATCCTTTTCACTGCCTGCAACCAGTTAAAATTGCCTCATAGCAATAACAATAAAAGAACTAAGTATAGCACGGTGGCACCCAATGTCATCGTCCGACTTACCAACGAGATTATCAATATAATGAGATTCAAATTTGTGAGTTTCTGCCCTCAACATGTTTAAGTCGGCTACCTGCTCAGGGACCAAATAAACAAAGAAAATTCAGTTTTATAGTTCATAGAGAATTATGTGCAATGTAGAAGGATATTAGTTAATAAGAGAAGAAATTAACGAATATATATAGGAAAAAAAAGAGAGAGAAGTAGTGAATTTCTATCAAGCTTCAGAAAGAATGTTCGCATATAAAAGCAAAGAATACAGGAGATTCCCCTAAGAAGAGGCCAAATCCGAAATATTCATATACAACATAGTCTTTCATAATGCAAAAATAAGACCCATCCCTCAGTTCTCTAGTTAATAGAAAACCAAGGGATTGGTTAAGAGAGACAAAAAAATTAATAATAAAACCAAGTAAAGAGTTAGGCACTCACGCCACACAAGGAAGCTCCTGCCTTGAAGGTGTCTCTAAAAGCAAGAGCAGCTAAGGTTGTGTAGCCACCTGCAGAGACCCCAGTAATACAAAGCCGCTCCCCATCTGCCTTTCCAGAACCCACCTAGATAAAAAGTATACATTACCCTGGCTTGATGGATGATCTATTAAGTTAATCATGACCATTTAGGTAGGGGAGATGAAATGAATACCAGATATTTAGCACAACTGCAACAATCATCTACATCCACAACTCCCCATTTCTTCAAGAGCCGTTCACGATATTCCCTGCCATAACCTTAAAACCCATTGTCTAAGATATAGAGGAATATAATTTGAAAGGCAAATCTTTCACTGGCCAAACTAACTCCATCAACAACCACCCATGTGAAAAGTAAAAAAAATAAGCAAATATAGTAAATGAGTTTGAAATATAGAGTGTAATCAAAGATAGTATAAACTCAGGATTGACAGACGAGGGGCTGTCTTACCAGTGCCATGAATATGCAGCAAAAAGATCTCATAAAGATAAAATGAAAAAACAACATAAGGTTAAGAACAAACCAGTGCTTCCACCATAGTTAACGTCAACATATGCCCAACCACGACTAGTCCAGTACTGAACACTCAGATTTAAGATTCCACGTGATTCAGCTGTGGGCCCTCCTGTAGTAAATCAAAGAAAAACAAAGTTGTAATGAATTCTGTTTATAAGAACAGCTAAACTATACATTGAAGAGAACAGACATATTTGACTACAAAGGGCACCTAACTAAAAGGCATTGCACAAGCGTACATCTAATGTTACTACTATAGGTAAATTACGGTTGAAATGATCTACTCTGCTATATAATACTGTATGTTCCATTGTTCCCTGATCTAAATAACTTGTTGAAACTTATAAAGTGTAATCCTTTTTAAAATGAAAGACTCACCTTTCATCCTTACAGAAAGTGCATAACTATATTTCAAACTAAATGCCTCAAGACCATTTAGGAATTATAACTACGAAAATTCAAATCACACGTACCATGGCTATTCAATAACAGTGGAGGCTTTTCATCATGAGTGGCTTGGTAATTGGGATTTGACGGTGGATAAAAGTATGCAAAGGCAGTTTGACCAGGAACTTCTGTTGGGAATTCAATTAATTCAGGTAGGCTGAAGTAAGACTTGTATTTTAAGCAATCAGGTGAAGAAGACCAAATAATCTTGAAATCAACTGCTTTCGATTTATCTTCATCCAAAGTCACCTGCAAGAAAGAAAAAAAAATAGAGACATGTGACACTAGTGGTTCAATTTCCAAAAAATAGCCTTTGCCTGACA